CCTTCGATGAGTACCGTAAAGGATTAATGCGAGGAAATATCCAACGCAAATGGTTCCACCTGCACTTCCACGGATGCAGCCCATTTTACGCTTGCAAAGGTCTCGGGAAGGAAAAAGGGGCTTCCGTGCTGATGTGACCTTTCTTAACAGCATAACCTCGAGTACAGATGCGGAATATTTCAGTGCCTATTAGTCGACCATTTGCCTGGTTATTAGGTCTCCTAGCAACATTGTTAGACACCCAAAGGTGTTCCGTCACAGAAGCACTTCAGAATGAAGGTAGGCGCCACACAATAAACATCGCCATATATAATCACAAACTGCAGGCTGTAACTTCTGCACATTGTCTGTAATGGATATGTATTCTGAGAATTACTTGAAAGGTGACTTGGATTACATAACGCCCACTATTTCTCCCAATGAGCTTTACTCCAGATCCTCCAGAAGGTACGCTTGAAGCGTCAAACACTCAAAGTAACGTAATAGATGCGACACGAAGGATGACCTTCTGCTCCACAGAGAGATACTCTGCTGCACTGAAAGCAGATGGGGCATCATTTGCTATCAACAGAAAATGATGAAGAAGCAGTAATAGAACGATGTACATTTATTATATACGGAATACACGAATGATAATGATCCACTTCCATCGCAATTTGATAGAGGCATGCAGGCCCACTCTTTGCTAAATGGGAAGCGTTGGGAGCACTCAAATAATGTTTTCCCTTAGAGTTTTTGACCTTTTGAACTGACACGTAGTGTTTGGGGATAAACACACGTAGAGGCTGATTTCATCTGGCAGGAGCAGGATAGTGACTCCAGGAACTCATATTGTAAGGTTTTATTCACGCGTCTCTCTCATGTCCTTCAATCATGAATAACAATGTGCTCTCTTCCTCTCTGATGTGGAGGTGACCTGTGGGAGTTGATTCAGCACCACCTTCTTCAGGGGGTGGGGGGCACATATTGTGACACCTAAGGCTTTATAATTTGAAGCCAGAAAGAGGAATCCTTTGAGTAGACTTGACGCATGATTTGTATGTGTATGTCAACTCTGCTTCGTGCTTGAATGCATGGATGACCGGACAGGAACGACCCCGACAGTCTCACTCAGAGTGTAAATCTTTCCAACTTCATGCATTTCTAAAATTCCATTCAGGGGCCGATTATCCCCCATTCAGTACCACGCGGTTGGTTGTTGATTGTCCCCCCTTGAAAAAGTGTTTCAAGCATTCTAGTTGGCTGTAGCTGTTGCTTGCCCCAATTTCAGCAGGGTTATGTTGAAAAGGAAAAGACCGCACGGGTCAAATTCAGTGATCAGATATTTTTTCTAATCACATACAGAAAAGAAAGAGAAGCTTTTTGAAAATCAGCAATAGCAGACTTTCTGAGATAGAGAAGCTATTTTTGAAAACAAAGTAAATTGTTCAGTTTATGAATAATCTAAAAAACAATCAAGTTCATTCCTATGAATATTTGCATGGCACTTTATTAGCTGACACAGTAAAGTCTGAAATATTTCAGCTGCTTTCCTCTGACTCAAATAACCCGAACACAGAAGGTCGTTTTCTATGGAACATTTAAATTATGCATGAATATACAAAACAGTACACTGGGTTCAGATGTCTCGACCTCCTGACAACAAGGATATGCATATGGTCTCTCTCAGCCATCCAGATCTGGTATGGATTACAGTAGTGCTGTGTCATTGTCCCTCTGCACATGCCAAGGCTCAAAGACACAAACAAGAGCCAAGAAGCCCCCTGGGCTTTTGTTTTTGCTTAAATACATCCCCCTTTGGAGAGGAATTTGTTCCTCTGGACTTTGATGCAGTGCAATATCTTCGGTTTTAAATAAAGTGACTCCGAAAACACAGATGACTTCCACATCTGATAAGTGGTTTATAGTTGTAATAGCTTGCATTAGATGCATGGTTAATTCCTGCTGTTTATCTGTTCATAACTTGTGAGTTGGGTGGTAAAGACCACCAAGCTGTCAAGGGCTGGCACCAAGTCGAGGACATTTTATCTCTCGGCGCAATGACTCGTGCAGTGACGGAGCTGGAGAATGTATGAAAGGCCTGGCGAGTCAGTTTCCACACATTTATTCTGTGATTCTTACAAATGCATTAATTCCCGGTTTCATCGAGAGGAAATATTCTTGCAGTGTATGGAGTTTACCATAGAAAATATATAGAACAATTTGCAATGGCCACTTGAGGTATTATTTGGACAGGGCACAAGCCTTTTGTGCAGAATGTGAGGACCATGAAGTGGAACTGGGCAGCTTAGCAACAGCCCTCGGGTAACGACATGGCCTTCTGGTTGCAAGCGGCATCTAGAGATTCAAGGATCCTTAGAAATATACCCCTAACACAGAAATATAGCTGCAGAGAAAGTCGATTCAAAAAATCTGCTGCAAGTGAGGATTTGGTTAATGAGATAATACTCTCTCTCACGCTCCCATTGTCTAGAGTGTTAAAGTGCTATTCAGCAATCTATCGCTCCGATTGATTAGCGTAAGAGGGAAGTCCAGCTAGAGCAGCAGCCTCCTACACAAGTCTCTGTCACCAGCACAATCCACGTCAATCCTGCCATCTGCCCCACACATTAATATGGACAAAAAAGTGACGAGTTGATGAAAGAATAAATTCAAGAGATGCACAAAACTGCTCTGTCAGGGGCCATTTGGGCTGGAAAACAAATATTCTCTCTCTCTTTCTGAACCTCTCTCTCCTCTCCTGTAAATAATGGAGCAATCAATAATGATCAGCAATCATATGCACAAAGCACATGCATTCTATATTTTGTGCGGTTAAAAAAACTGTTTTACCGTAAAATTGTTCCGTGCATTGCTGCAGCACAACCCCCTCTGAATTTAGGGACTGTATGCATTTGTTACCACTCTTTTGCCATTATCGATCCCCATTAGCTGGATGTACAACATAGACAGCCTTTATAGAGACAAATGTCATACGCAAAAAGATGTCCCTGCAAGATAAACCATATCAATGGAACAACCAAAACAAGTGTTAGAGGAATTTTGCGAAAGAGGCAAACGATCTTTCCAATGATTCCCCACTGAGAGAGGCTGGGGGGAGGGACCATTTGTGCCCTTTCTAAATCCCTCAGATGAAGTGGACTGCTATGGAGTACATCCTAAAACACACCAACTCTACTTTGGCAGGGACATGAAGTACTGAACAGCTCTGAGCACAGCGGGAGACTTTGGCCACCTGCATACTGTGGAGCGGCGCTAGAGAGACATATCCAACACTGAAATTGGTGATGGACACGCCAACATTTCGTTTTCCCCACTCAAAGGATTTTAGCAATTTGTTTTTAAGGTTTAAACTGTGCTTAGATATTAGGACAGGCATAAGACAAATTAAATCTGTTTCCCAATACTTTAGGCACCTTTACAGTACAGGAAGAGAACAAAAACAGCTATTATTGTTCCCCAGATTCCAGAGAAGACCTGTGTAAAATGTAAACAATGTTTGAACCGTCCTCGTTACAGGGGCCAACTACTGTGCAGTGTTCATGGGAGCGGAACTGATATCCAAGAAACACAGAGGCTACTGTGTCTTTACATCTCAGAATAGCAAAAAAAATTAGCCTCCTCTCCTGGTCCCTGCAGGCAGGGTCTCAGAGTCTCCAATCACTACTTCTTTGACAGCAGGATTCCTGCAGAAAACTGGGAGCGCTAATAGTAGAAGATGCCTGATAAACATGTTCTCCCATATAACTAATATAATATCATTGTACGGCTTGGCAGCATGGCCTCCAAACAAGGTCAAAATGTGGGGATGCTTGGCAAACAGAGCAGCTTGAGCAAAATAAATAAATAAAAAAAGAAAAATGGCATGCAGTTTTAGTTGATAGTCAGCTCCCAGTCAGATTGGCTGTTTTCCATCTGCTTTGCAAATTTAAAAACTGCATCTTCTGTCCACACTGGCACATAATATTGTTGAAGGAGAAAAGTTGTTTTCATGAATATATAAAGTACACAATTCCATACAAATCCCAGATGAAAATATAAAAGATATCACAAAATGACCTACTCAGAAGCTCTACCAAACCGAATGAACTGTGTGTGCATTAATGTTAAACCCCACTGGCCTTCTATGTTGTTGCACAGGGCAGCCCTCTCTGTCCGTGGGGGCGCCGCAATAGACTTCCAGTGCAGCAGATGTCTGTGGCCGAACCGTTCTGTCTAAATCACAGGGAGAGTGGCACGGTAAACACAGACTTGCTTGGCTTTGTCGAGCTAATGACTTCCTGCTCCAGTGGCTTGTGAAACAGTATTGGAGCCGAAATAAGTCAAATCGGGAGCAGAATTTAATCTGTCACTCAATGGAAAGCCTTTAAGCAGAAACACGCAGCCACCCAGAGGGTGCACGCAATGTGAGTGGAAATAACAGAAAAAGCTCCCTGGAACAGAGTGAAGCACCGAAACAGGTTGTGTACAGGGATGAGGAGGACTACAGATTGGTTGGATAAATAGGGGATTCTTGAAAGCAAAATACACCGAGTGTGAATGTCAATCAAGGTGGTAATCTAAAAGCGTCATTCCCTTTGAGGTTAGGTAAGCTTCAACTAAGTAGAATAGAAACAGTGTGTTTGCTCTCGGGTTTTTGATCCATCTGAATTTGCCCTAAGCTCGTTTTTTTGAACTGCTTAGCGGTGTAGCACAGTTTTAACAAGCCATGTGTTGCAAGGTAGAGCAAGCAATTCAGTCTTCCAACGGCTCCAGATTAATCATTTCAATGAATTGTTTGTTCCCCCCCCCCCCCCCTCGTGGTCTCCTGGGAAAAGTGGATGGGTATGATGAGAAGTTACTCTGGGGTGGGTGAGCTAAAATTAATCAAACACATCAATGGCTTGTTTTGCTAAAAACATCCTGCCTCCTTTCTAACCTCCTTTTCTCTCACTTCGGTGAATTTGAAACAGACCTCATCCAAACCACACCTCTACGCAATTACAGTGAGCAAACACTGATTCTGGAAACAAACAGACACATTTATTATTTAAAAAACCTACACTCACATCATGACGGATCCGTTGAATAACCAAAATAGGCAAGCCTTTTGTGTACAAAGTGTACAAACTTATTCAACTTACATGATCAGCAACTCCAACTTTGAGGCAATGCAACTCAAAGCGTTTTAGTTTTTTCCAGTTAACAAGTCTATTTTAAATCACTGACATCAAAGTTTCCTGTGCTCCACATTAATATTCATGTGAAGCAAAAAAAAAGGAGAAAATAAGACAAGAAATGCAGATTAGCCTTTTCTGAGAAGATATGTAAATGTGAAGTCAGACACGCTTTTCTTTTGCACACAGGCAGACATGCACATATTCTGTATATGCTTTCTCATTTTAATCTACCTACATGCGAGTTGAAAACAGTTTTAAATTCACAAGCTCAGAATCATCTGCGAGGCCAAAAATAGAGAATACCAACGAGGTTCATGGGTGGAAAGCTAAAAATAAAAAATATCTCTAAATATAAGAGCAGACAGGCTTTGAATTAACAGAGCTTTTGGCAGTTTTCTAATACTGAGTAGACTAATCGAGTACAAATAAATGAATAGTCTGACGTGGACGACCCGGCCAAAACAGTCTGGGAATAGCTCAATAACAACATGAGAGCTACTTATTCATGATCATGAACAGAACCTCCAATAACCCAAATTTTCTCAAATGCAGAAATTACCAGTTTAAAAAAAAATGTGTTTGGCAACTTACAATTTAAAGAACCATTTTGTCCTGAAAAGGGTATTATTATTGTACTGCTTGAGCCAATATTGCAACCATGTAAGAGAAACAAGCAAATGAACCTTTAAAATAAATCATCCTTCTGAAATTATTCTGTTATTGTATTTGACATTAAAAGGAGCTTTAATTTATGATATGAGGTCCAGAGTTTGTGCATTCTGAGAAAAGAAAATGCATCTGTAAATGTGCATGGTCTCGACAGCTCTAAGGAAAGCTAATTTAAAATAGCAAACAAACACATTCCCTTTGAACTTGAGAAATCCAACACAAGCAGACAAAAGCGCAGAAAAGCCTCAAAAAGAACAAAATTATTGTGGCATGAAATATGACATAAGCCTTATTTTAATAGTGTTTCAGTCACGAGGTTTAAAACAATCTTAATTTGTATCTTCTTCATATTCCGCATAAATTATATTATATATCTATGTATACCATATAAATACACATTAAAATCATTTTCAAACATATGCATCACATCTAACAGCTTGGCTCGAATAGAAATGTAATTCCTAAAAATGATCGCACTTTGATGACAGCAATCATGACCGAGCCTCCCCTAATTATAGACCGACCAAGAGATTTAACTGAAAAAAGGGGCCAACTTCTCCCAAGTGCTGCAGTCCACAATGATGGGGGTGTGAGGAGGGGGGGATGTTGATGGCCAGTCAGACCTTGTTGGAGGAGCGAAGCCAGAGCGGGCTTATCTAAATCCTCTTTGCCAAGCTATCTGAAAAGTCGGGATAGTGCAGAAGAGGGCACATATTTGCCTGAAAAGCTACTCTTATAAATTAAGTAGAGCAGGACATTCTTCTGATAGAACTTCCCTGCTCCGTATGAACTAACTTATTCAATATGCGGTGTTAAATGACACAACAGCACATGGAGGCAGCATCACTTTGTTATGTGATTAAGTGTAATAAGAAGTTTAAGTGTAATAGGAATATATATATATATATATATATATTATATAATATATAATATAATAATATATATATATATATATATATATATATTATATTATATTATATATCTTTTGTGCGTCTGTCCATGCCATGAACAAGAATTGTTCGCCTCTGTGTGTCTGATGTCACTGGGAAGCGCGAGTTGGCCCGAGTCGGGGCTACGATGTGCTCTCTGCCGGTGTGCCTTGTCTGCCGCTCGGCCCGGTCGACTCCCTGCCGGCGTCTCTGTCCACCTCATCCTCTTCGTCAGATCTGCAGAGACTCAGGTGTCTGCGGCACACAGGAGGGTCGAATCACACACACAGATACGGCATTATGTTACTAGTTGGCTACATACAGTTGAAATACAAATGTGAGTAAACAATGTAGAGAAGAAGATTATGCCATGGGGAGAAAAAAGGGAAGCATTTTTGGCTGTAAATATTCTCCTAATTATTCCTGGTCCGCGTTACTGGAATAAACAACGGAAATCTACAAAATCACTTACATAACACAAACAAATCTACAGGAAAGCCATGCACCAGCATTGAGACTATGACAAGATGTCTACATATTAGTAAGTTGTGTTTATAGTTAATAAGGTAAATGTCATGCATTAGCATAACCCTGCTTTACGTTGCTTCTACCGATCGCCTTAAAGGTCATTTCAAAACAGGGCTTTAAAATCCTTAGATAGCGTTGTCATGACGACGCATGGCCTGACAAGCACACAATGCATTCTTTGAATTACCAATGAAGAGATTCCATACGTCCACATTAACATGAACAGTGCTCTTTAAGGAAAATAAGCATAACAACACACAATATTTTCTTTTAATACAATAACCCCCACTAGTACATGTGTTTGTGATTATTGGATATTTTAATTTCAGAGTGCTCGGCCATACCAAATCCTGCATATTGGTGCTTCAAGATGTCTACGTCTAGACAGCAATGGGACCTTAGAACGAGGACTATGGGTGAGAACTGAAATGACTCACAGCAACGTTCGTCCAGTGATATTTAATTTGAAGGAGGGGTTTATCATTTTGGGGGGGGCCGGGGTATTTAGCTGGTGTTGCCTCGTCTTGGCAAACTGGTAGCGTGGATGCTCTCGGGGTGTTAAGATTACATTTTTCCCATTCACCCTTTTTAGTTTTTTCAGTACAAATCATAAAACTGCTCTAATGCCTTCAAACTCAAAACTCTCTTAATTTACTGTACTGTGATTAAAAACAGAGATCCAGTGTTCAACTAGAGAGGCAAACGGGGACAAATGAAAAAAAAAATGAAAAAGAAAAAAACTTAAGCCCGCACGCATTTTTCAAATTCTCACAGGAGGCAGAGCTGCTCAAACGATCAGTGAACATACTCTCATAACAGATAGGCTTTTGAAGCTTTGTGCTAGTGTTTTAAGTTTAATGGGAAGTGTTCCCTTCAAGTAATGTCACCAGCCGTGTAACACCTCTTCTAACTCTGCTCGGTTAACACGTTAACACAAAAACTGGTGTCATTTAAGTTTTTTGCCTAATTGCCAACATCTGTTTGTGCCACAGCCAAATCACCCCCTCTCAACACGACACAGCATCAAGCACGACGTCAGGAGAAACACTCCAAGCAGGAGAGAGACAATGCTGCGCTGCTTCTGAGAAACGTTGCAGTAAAACGGTGATGAATTGTCATGAAATTGGTATGAAATGCATCCGCATCCGTTTATTATGACATTTAGAAATGGATAAATGAAGTGCCTGGATTTTGTCGGTAGTGAACGTTGGGGGCGTGACTACAGTAAAGCAGATTGCTGACTTTTTTTTTTGATGAGGACAAATGTTGGCAGGAGCATTGGGAAAACAATCGGTGGCATGCACTAATTGGACTCCTGCAAACGTAGCTGGTGCTTATCCAGGACAATGTGAGCCGTAATTAGGCTTTGACTTAATCTAAATCAGATTAAATACAAAAAAAAAATCTCCCACGCCAAACAAGTTAGTTTGTTTTAGTGAGGCATCCCAGATCAGTCTCGGTTCGGCCATGCTATTGAGTTACTGTCACACGGTGCATCACCTTCCACCATCCGCGTCAGTCACTGTCGGGCTTATAGCGGTACTTCATCACCAGGCTTTCCACCTTCTTCTGCTTCTTCTTGGAATCCTTTTTACTCGATGGCCCCCGACCCGCAGGCTGTGGCTCATCATCGTCAGAGTTTTTTTCCGGGGCCCTTTTGACACTGCTGGAGCTGCGGTAGGAGATGGTCGAGTTGGAGGAGGAGGAGGAGGAGGAAGACGACTTGGAGGAGGAAGATGAATCATCTGACTTGCTTTGCTTCTTCTTAGATCTCTTCTTGGACTTCTTGGCCTTCTTCACCCTTGAGCTCTTTCTGCTGTGCCGGTCGTCTGAGGAGGAGGAGGAGGAGGAGGAGGAAGAGTCGGACGGCGAGACTTTGCTTTTCTTGTCTTTCCGACTGCGGGAGCTGCTGGTGCTGAGGGTGCTAGCCGGACGGTGCGCGTAGTCCAGAGCGGAGCCTGACGCCGAGCGAAGCAGGCTGGCTGTGCTGCAGCCGAGCCCCCCGTCTTCTCCCCTCTTCCTTCCGTCCTGGCTTCCTAACCCCTTCTTCTCATCCTCTTCCTCTCCACTTGACTCGTCGAGCTTGCTGCGCTTGAACTTAATAGGCTTGAAGCTCAGCACCTCATTGATGGCGGCCTCCAAGTCGGGGTCCAGGTAGTTGCGGTGGGTGACCGTCTTGATGTCCGATGAATCCGGCGGATTTCGGTCGGAGGAGCGCGGTTGGGCCGGGGTAGAAAAGCTACGACTGAAGGAGCGGGGACTGAAAGAGGATCTCCCGCCCTCGGTGAAAGCCACACTGTGGCCGTCGTCGTCGTCGTCCACGCGCAGGCCGAATTCACTGAGGCCGCAGCTGCGGGCGACGGACATGCGCGAGCCGCCGCGTCTGTCCTCTTTCCAGGAGCTGCTGCGAGACAGCGACCGGGGGCTGGCGCGGCTCACGCTGCTGACAGTCGACTTATTGTCGTCGTCCGTGTCCAGCAGTTCCCTTCTGGTGGACATCCTGCTGGGAGCCAACGAGGACACCGTGGAGTCCTTGTCAAATTCCGGGCTGCTGCGGGCGGCCCAGCGGGACTCCAGGCCCTTCCTGGCTCTGCTGGTGGCCTCAGAATAGGCCAGGGAGATGACGGAGCCTTTGTCGTCCAAGTCTTCCTGCGCCTGGCTCTTCTTCCAATCCTCCTGGTTTACGCCAGACTTCGACTTAGCTTTGCGCATGGAGGCCTGGTCCGGTCCGTCAGGCTGTTCTTTGAGAGTGCTGAACAGGGAGCTGTCATCGCCTGTCCCCCCTATAGAGTCTTTTAGGTTGGAACGCTTCCTGTAGCTTAAGGAACTCATGACAGACATTGATCTGCTCTGCTCTACTTCTCTCCCGTCTTTACCGCCGTCATTCATCTTCTCCTTACCCTCTTTCACCTCCTGTGTGTCAGCATTTGCTGAATATCTAAAAGGTTATGTAATAAATGGACACCAGCGACAACCAAGACAAAAAGAAAGAAAGAAAATCAGATCGCTACATACTTAAGAAATTCCAAATTGTTGGCCTGTTTAGTTTAATGCACCATGTGTTAACAAGGACTTTTGGTAACTTGACAGAATATTGTATTCGTCATTTTCCTTTTGTCCTTGGGACCAGTCAAGAGTCTATTGCTGTTATGTACAGTATACACTGCCGAAAGTGAAGCAATCTCCCAGTGAGGAGATCTATCTAACTGTGGCAGGGGCGTCATTAAGCAGCCGTGCCAACTGGCCACAGGCCACTTCAATAAATTTGACAGCAGCCGCTTCCCCGTTCCGCCTCCTGCCATTAGACAGATTACAGTGAAAAAGAGACGACACCTAATCACATGAAATACCCATCCTTCTGTTGCAAACTGCCCTAAGTAATCCTGGGCCTTCTTTAAGGCCGGGCTACATTTATCACTGCGTCTCCACAGGGATGTACATGGTTATCTGTCGTCATGCACAAGGATGTGGGCACTCACCTGGTGCTCTTCAAACTTCCCTCATCCGACAAGGTCTTTGTGGAGCCTTTGTTCTTCGAGAGCCAAGACTTCACCCCGTCCACGCGGTCCTCCACCTCAGAATCGGTTTCTGCCTCGTCCCCACTGCGAAGGGACAGAATCAGCTTGAGTTTGAGGAGACGGTGCTTTCAGGGTTCGATCGATAATGCGAGGTGCGTCCGCTCCCGCCGCCCCACTCGCCATCCACGCCTTAAATCTTCGGCTGCTCTCCAGCCACGCCGTCTGCCAAGGGCCCCCTTTAGAATAACTTATTTTCCCCGTTAAGATGGTTCAGCTACTGTAAAGAAAAGGGCGCCGTCTCTCGCTCTTTAATCTCATGAAGTGCTCGGCAAGAACGACTGCTTTATTTCTCCTGAAACAAGCTCCATATCACGCGCTTGAGCGCCCGCTCAGCATCTTGCCGTCGTAGACCGAGCTTTGGCATGTTTGGCATGCAGAGCGCCTTGAGCGCCGTGTACAACCAGTCTGGATCAACCAATTAACCAATTGATCCATATATAAAGCGCTCCGGATTATAAGGCGCACTGTCGTTTTTCGAGAAAATTAAAGGCTTTTAAAGTGCGGAAAATACGGTAGATTTTCTGACAATAAAAATCCCTCATTATGTTAATATTCTAAGCAGCCTAACATCACATGAATTACACATGCAAAATGATGTTCTTTTTACACACATCACAGGCGTTTTGTTAGTTATGTTACAGTTGTTTTCATTCTCTTCGATCAAAAGGCCAGGAAGATGCAAGACAAGCATGATAATATGATACGGAAATTACACCATCAAGATTGACGGAACATTACACAGACGCAGAGGAGTGATCTGGGCAGAATGTGGATGAAACTGTTGGAGGCATAATTAACTTGTTTGGCTGGTTCGGGGCTGCAAGCATCTGTGTGGCATGTCACCGGCTTCTGGTGATTGTTATTGGAGCGGAGCCACGAGGCGGCCCTGTGGGCCCTACGCTTGACATGACAATCAATATAGAGAAACCTGTGGATCCGGATGATAAATCTTGGTAGATCCCACCTGGATAAGGTCAAGCCTCATTCATTTGAAATCCAGGGTGAGTTTTTTTTTTTTTAAATAATGCATTGCGTTGTTCTCTGGGGTTAATGTGACAGGATATGGTGAGTGTGCAGAGTGGTGTGACTTCAAAGTCAATCCCGCAGTCATAGTCGGAATGTTCTCCTCCGTGTGGTTGAGGACACTCTGCTTTCACAACGCTGATACGCCGTTGTCCTTGGCTACATGATGTGTGAGTAAAAAAAAAAGTAAAATTGTACAGCAATGCATATGTTCAGAAGTCCTAAAACTACCATTGACTTGTTTGAGAATACAATTTTTAATTCTTTATCATTTGGGTTTCAGAGCAGGACAACCGCGTACGTTAAACAAATACCAGGCCAATCCGCGGCGACGATGGCAGGGCTGCAACACAGGAAGTGCAATTTTTAATCCCAGATCGTCATCCTCGGCAAAGCTTCTCTATCTTCGCCTTGGGACATGGTGCTCAATGTTTGTTCCTTAGAAGTATTATTTTGCAAAACACAATATTCAAAGAGCTGTGAGATGACAGACAGCTGAGCTCTATCATTTGTCCACATATCCATCTATGTAGTGAGCAGCGTACCATTTCCTTTGTCACAGTGCCTTGTATCTCATATTCAGTTATGTTTGCTCAGAGAACAAAGCGTCCCCACTGCTCCAGTCCCTTTTTTCGGTGGTTTGCCTAAAAGCATCTCTTTTTTTTTTCATACACAGGGAAGCGGTGCTAGTGCCAGTGGTGTGCACTCGCACATTGTGACAGAGCAAGCAGAGACGTAAAGAAGCATCAGACTCTTATGTACCGAATGGAATTGACCTGATGATGATATTTTTTTATGATGATGTATGATAATTTTGTGTGAGAGGGGCTTTAAGTGGCGGCGAGAGAAAAACAACAGTCCAAGTTCAGCCAGTATATCAAAACGTCATACTGAATGCTAGTGATGGACACCAGCCACAACAAGATAATAGGCTCATTAATGCTCAAAAATTGTTGACAGCTGCTACCAATTTGTCATTGTGGATAATATGACTTCTTTTAACCCGACATATTGCACCACAAAACACTGAAACCAGCCCAAAGCAAAATCATCTCCTCCTTTCTACACACACAAAATAAAAGGTGGCTTGCAATTGAGTGCTGTGCAAATGGTGTCAAAAGTGATTTGTCCGTGGCCGCACACTGGTAGCTAACCAGTCCTGAGGCTTTCAGATAGAAACAAGCCCCCGGAATTTAGAAGTGAACATTGATAGCTTCTGACAATTGGCCAGCACTGGTTGTAAATCTTTGTCACAAATACTTACACTGAGCATCAAATCTCGTATGGCTTGGTGTTATTGGTCTAGCACTTGCGATACCAACACCAGTATCTGCTCCATATTGGCTAATTATACATAAAAAAGATCAAAGTGCATACGCTTTTATTAATGAAATAGCGTGCACGCACTGTGAGGTAATTCATCACATGTTGAAGGGAATTTAGCATTAAAGGTGAAGGAAATAACGCACAGATGAATATTCCTATACATTAGATGTAACTCCTGTACTTGGCCTGCTACCCTGCTGGCAAGGGATGTTATCTTCTCATGCAATAATAATAATCGAGCTATCATAACGTTTTTTAGCATTGAGCATAAAAACGTATTGAATAGGGATGTAAATCATCTGGAAAATCCACCTCATAATTCTAAGAAAACACCTCCTCCATTATAGTTCACCCATCCTGCTAATGCAATGATGCCAAATAATGAGAGAGAAAAGGCCATTAAATAACACAGAAAAGCTGTGCTCTTTTCCATGAGTTGCACAAACTGAAAAGCAGCGTTGATAAAAAAAAAAAGGGCGCCATGCCACAACTCTATAAAGGAGCAATCAGAGGTTAAAGCAGGAAATTATGGACGGGTTCATCTGGCACAAACTAAAAACTTGATTTCTTCACTCTGCTCTGATGAAGGTTTAAATTACGAAACATTCCTAAAAGATTCCTTTCACTGCATAGTAACTGAAAAAAGTGGTATTCAAATCAGTCAAAGGAACTTAATTAGCATATACAATCAACACATTTTACAAGGAAGACAAGGTGAACAATGAGATTTTATAAGTTAAATCCTTCACAGCACTATGGAACAACATTGACTTAGTGGAGTATCCGCATGCACGCATGGAAATCCACAACCGAGCTGTGGGTCTAATCTTTTCAGTGGCGCGCTGTGGGCCGTCACTGTCTTGCAACACTTGCTGACGGTGCAGTTGTGGACAGACAGCCGGGCTGCAATCATTTTACAGTCACCAGCATCGCTCACACAGTTCCGCCTCAGGCCTTCCAGAGCACGTGCAAGTTTCTCCTCAACATGATTAGTTTGTGTTAAAGGCACAATACAGGCCATCTCTTCATGAGATGCCTTGACAATGCGTGGAATCTATTGTAAAAGGGGTTTCCTTGATATGTATGTTTTCACATGGACATATTGCCTGCAATCACTGTAGTCAGGCTGAGTTGGCCCACCGGCTGTACTGTAATGATTTATACAGATAAATCTTGTCTAGTTTTGATTTCACATGAATGTATCATTAAATGAAAATAATGGGCAGTACATTCCCTGTACCAACTGTGACGTGCAGGCTGGTTGCATTTTCTTAGTTTGCTGGGTAAAAATTGAAGCACATGCATGATAAAGGTGTATTATAAAGCTGCGACGGTCGTAAAGAGACAATGATGCAGTATTACAGCCGGTGTGTGTTTCAACAGCAGTGAGACAGTGAGGTCTTCTGTGGGCCATCCGATTTTTTTAGGATTCTCCAATGTAGTAAAATAAGCCCCAAAATCTCCAACTAGCCGTCTGTGCACAGACACATCAGGACCGTTAGCAAAAAATAAAATGAAACTAAAGGAAACACCGGGGCCATCCTTTAAGCGTGGCTTTTATCTGAGATATACACCACAGACAAAGCTATTCCAATCTATTTAAAGAGACTTCTTCTCGCTGTGTTGTGAACAACACAGACTGAGAGGCTATGAAATACTGCATTATTCTCTGTTGTGGTTAAAAAACGTGTGAGAAAAAAAAACACAACTTGCAAATAACCATTCTGACAGAGACAAAGGATGCATTTTTCCATTCTCACGTTTTGTTCTTTCTTTTCTGATATTTTGTCACCGTGTCTTGCAAACTGCCAGAAGTGTGGAAAACACCATAGGGGGAACAAAGGGAAAAAAGAGAAGGTGAGATACACAAACAATACTGAAAGAAGACAACCAGCTGAGATAACAGTAAATAAATAGTTTCATACTTACACACGCACATGAAATGACTATCCATTGTAAAGCAGTGACTTGGTAAGCCTTGAGCCTCCTCAAACAGAGGTAGCGCGTGTAATGTCTTCCATTTTTAAGAGGTCTGTATTACTGCAGTTACCTTAGCGGGCTCAGAGGGAGCATAGCTCTCAATCCCTTTGCAAAGAGGGAAGGAGCAACAAAACAGGGTAAACCGACGCAGAGACAAAAGATCAGAAGCAGGGAGCCGAATGAAACCGTGTGAGAGAAATAAACCGACAAACTGTACTATGACTCACAGAGTACTAAAAAGGTTAGACAGGAACTGGTGTAGGAAGATGTGAGAGACAAATAAGGAAAAAAATACAAGTTGTGATTGACAGGCCATTAAAAAAAAAAAAAAACAGCAGTTCACTTTTCTTTAGTTTCTTGCAGCAAAATAACTTGCGCTGGTTCAGTGTTTCAACTACGGCACAGTATCACCAGAGGTACCTAACATTAGTTACTGTGTTGTCCTTTTTAGACGGCTACGTCTGGGCCTTACCTGTTGACTAAGTCGTCATTGTCATCACTCTCCATCTCGTCCTCTATGGCAGCCTGCAGGTCACCTATCCTCTTGAAGGCCAGCTTAAGGTCCACTTGTAAGCTCTGATTCGCTGCCTCTAAGCTCTGGATGTCCATTTCCTGTTGAATGGATGACAGCACAGAAGAAGTACGGTTACCTCCTCTAATGTGAGCTCAGTTAAATAGTATCACCTAGCAGCCTTACCAACTCGTGCTTCTTCCGGCTCGCCTCGGCCTCCTTCTTCGACAGCTCTCCCATCTCTTCTTTCATGTCCCTTATCTGCCTCTGCATTCGCTTGTTCTGATCTTTCTCCCTGTTTTCCGCAGCAATCCGTTGATTTTTCTCCTCTGTCAACTTTTCCATGTTCTCCTTTAGACGACCCACCAGGCTCTGGGGAGGATTCCAGGTGAGCGGAGAAAACTTGTTCTTACAACCAGTCAAGTGAACAAAAAGGATCTCCCTTTTACCCTTAAATGTTTGCTGCTAGCTCACCATAGCTGGTCTAAACCTCTTATCCCGTCAATATATTGAACATGAAAGGAATATTCAAAAATAACTTCTTCTCACGACAAAATGAGTTATTTTTGTCATGCGGAAAAACAAAAACAGACAATTATATTTTAGCAAAGGTGCAGTCCATAGCAATCTAAATTAGTTGCCAGAATCTTCTGTACTCTTTGATATAGTCATTTTAATAAAATAATATTTGCATCCATTTGCGTACCTCTTGGTAAATAGAAAACAGAAGCGTATCTAGGTTCGTAGAGCACGTCTCTACCTCACCTCCATGCGTTTGATTTGTGTCCTCTCGTACTCCAGCTTGGTCTCCAGCTCACGGATCTTGGCCTCCTGACGGCACACAAGAGACTTTTCCACCATGGACTGTTCTTGGAAATCCAGCTGGCTCTGCAGCGAATGAAGCTGGAGGAGACACACACGAACACACGTAAATACAAACGCTCCCTCCCTAGGGACTAGTGCTGACCCTCTTGATCTCAGCGTTTTCACTTTGTCTTTAAGTCACAAAATGCTGCGCGCTACGTGTAAAACAAAATTAATTTTCACCGTTACAACCTTTTTCGCAAAGAGGTTATCCATCTTGGGGGAAACATGCATTCAGCATGAATGATGAACTCAAGATGAGCTCCCCGAATCTTACCGAAGTCACAGTAATGTCCCAGGCTTTGGTAATGAGCATGCATTCATTCAAAGCACGTTTGTTCCATCTGAACTTCTCATGACTGATAAAAAGGGGAAAGATACGTCACAAAAAATGGTCCGAAAGGCAGTACCTAACTGGGGACTTTGCATCCGAGTTTCCCTTTTGAAATGACTAAAGAAGCTAGATTTCCCTCCCACTGGTGATGCGATAACCACTTCAAGGTCAAATGCGTCGGATGACTATCGTCGCCTTCTCTGGCAGTTTTAACAATGCCTTACATACTGCTATGTATCTCTAAAGCGGCCAAAGATGTTTTGATGGGATGGTTTTGCACACAACTAAGTGTACCAAAGCTTTAGCATTTGTATTGCTCAATCGAAACAGGGTCTGCTGTTAGTATGGTCAAGAAATCAATTCTGTCCTTTAGTGGAATTATATTTAGACACTTTGTGTTCCAAGGTAAGTGGTTTGATTTTGTTCAGTGAATGCATGTCGACACTTCCTCAGGGAGTCCTGTCACTCTGAGCCTGAGCGTATGTAATGTGCAGGCAAACAAAGCACTAGATTGCCTTATTCGAGGTAAAAACCAGCTCTGATGGTGCATGGGGAAATTCATTTTGGAAAGAAAAGCCTTAAAAAAAATAATGAGCATTCATTAATGCGTGACACATACGTTAGAGGTTATCCTCTGAAAAAACACTGTTATTATCAAAACATTATTACCATAAAAGCACTATTATCACCATAAGCCTGAATCAGGTGCATTAACCTTTTTACCACATGAATACACATTAAGCCAAGCCTTAATCATTTAGCTGACGAATCAAAAACAGAATACAACAACTAAGCTAATCAGCCCAGAAACATGCTAAATCAGACAAGTTTTATGACCCCCATGACACTAAAATATTAATCTTTTAACAGTGAGCTGTGGGCCAGTTGTGCAGCATGCTTGCATAGTCACAATGAACATGCTGTTTAGCAGATTTAATGTTCACCAAAGGCTGTCTTAGCATGCTAACAGTTGCATATTAGTGCTAAACACAAATTGCATCTGAAGTACAGCAAAATATTTGCAGGCTCACTATTTGCCCATATGAATTAATGGATTCCTTTGCAACATTGATATGCATGTTACAGCAATCCAACTATTAGCTGTTGACAGACGTTTCACTTCAAACTATGCAGAAAGCGTCGTTTCAAAGACATAAAAGATTCATTATTTTGTATTAAATGTTCATGATGCAAGTATGTCATTCTTCTTGGAATGACACAAAAAGGCACACAAATGAATATCTTAGGGCCACTCCTCTTGTCATTGTAGTGACTGAGTGTGCGAGGCAGCTAGTAAATCCAGAAGTCACGGGGCAGCAGCTTGACATTTTGTGTATGACAGCTGTGTGCATCTGCTGGAAGGGATTTTTTTTATGTTTGACAGTAAAATGGCGTCACTGTTTTTCCATTCTAGTGCATCAGAGTACAATAACAAGGTATTGCTGATTTTGTGTCCAATTATTTAATCACTACAATAGTATCCACTCCCTAGAGTCACCTTCTCATTGCCTTGAACATTTTTTCTAAAGTTCAAAACAAAAGAAAATATATACATTGGCAATCCAGCGAGGCCAGTGTGCAGTGAGAAGAGTGTTGATGCAGCAAGCGGGTTCCTAGCAGGAAACTTCCGTGTTTTTTTAAATTCTTCTTTGTACCTTTTCTTGGATCTCCTGCTTCTCCTTCGTGGCCTCTTCCAGTTGAGCCTGCAGGTCACTGATCTGGCTCAAGTCCCTGGCAGACTACATATCCACAAAAAAAAACGAAAATCAGGATATTTATGTGTGGGAGAGGAGAGGTTATTAATAATATTCATGTGTGTCAATTTTATGCAAAAGATTTTTTTCCCTTTTTAAAAATGTACGGTTAATGAACGTTGTACTTTTGTGCCAATTCATTTGTCATGTGATCTGCTGCAGAACAGCTTGCCTCGCCCTGATTGCAGAGCGCACAGTGTGTTTAGAGGGGACTATGTCCTCCAAACCTCAAAGCCACACTACTTAAACATGCAGAGAAGAACGGAATGTTAATGATGATAGTAAAGACAATACACCACAATTTCTCAAACTACAGGAATTACACTGCTTTTTGTTTGATTTTGGGGGGCGCATCGGCAACATAAGTAATTCATAATTTCGAGGCTGTCAAACTGCTCACCGAGGTATTAGGCATGTGGGGTTACCTGGGCAACTGCAGCTTTGTGTTTCTTCATCAGCTCATTCATGTCCTCCTGATCCTCCTCCATTCGGGACTGCAGGTCATTCTTCTCTCTCTGCAGACGGCTGACCTGCTCCTCCAACTGAGGACAAAATGAGGATGAGGAGAAACACACATTTGAGTATTGAATGACAGGGCTTATTCATGAGCTTTGGAATATGATAAATGGTCATTAGCTGGCCAGGCCGTGGCAGTCCTGAAATCTCAGCTGATGGCAGTGAAATGCAATCTGGACGTGGTCTCTGGCCGAGGGATGAGACCAATTGGAGATAATCAATTGCCTCATTTAGACACGGACAAGCACAGCCAGTAAAGCACATTGCTGATGTCCTGTTTGCAGATCGTCCTCTGTGTTCGGAGGCCGGGGGGGGGATTCAGACCTCCAATATGCATTCTCTAATCGGAGACATTTCCAGGACCTCTCCCAGCCATAAATGCAGCAATTAACAAGCATCGGCACTAAGCACTCAGTGTGTGCCAGCCCCAGAGACAAAAATGTCTATGAGTTTGACATGGAGGCAATACTCTCATGAGACAGCCATTAATGAGCAGATGGAGAGATGGAGAAGAAGAAAAAAACATTCCACAAAGCTTATTTATCCATTAGAGCAAAAACATTGAAATCAGATATAAGCCAAAGGGCATTTATTATTCTAATATACCACCATGGGTTTATGATCCGCGCATAATAATGTGTCGAGCCCGGCTGCATTTGTTTAAGAGTGAATGTTTGCGAGGCAAAAGCCCTCCCTTAATTAAATATTGGTGGTTGTTTTGCTCATCCAAGGAAGAGTATAAAACCATTAACATGAACTATGGAGTGAAAAAATCTGTTTCCACTATGAGATGCAAAAGGGTTTGTATATTTCATTATCTATTAATATGTTAAAACATACACACATATATTAACACACAAAAATCTATGGAGAAATATGCTGGAGTGAATAATTGGAACTTAATTTTGTGAACTCAGATGTGAAAACTTACCGTGATCTTGGCTTTGACCACATCCTCCATTTGAATATGCAAGTCCTCTATTTCAAGCTCCATGCTCTTCCGAGCCTTCACTGCTGCCGCTGAAGTGAACTCGGACTCCTCCAGCTGTGGGAAACGAGATGAAGAAAAGGGTACCCGTAAGAAGATAAGACAAATATTAGTAGACCAAGATCCCGAGCTATCCCAAAATGTTGCAGAGGAATGAGAATTTAACAACCTGGGCAAAATAATACCCATCACCAGGACAATTTATAAAAGTATATGTTTTTGTTTCATCAGAATGAGACAGAGGAAAGTGTTCAACGGGGGGCATACCTGATTTTTGAGCTGGGCGATCTCCCTCTTGCTGGGGGCGTTACTCTTCAGGTGTTCCAGCATTACCTGCGCATCAGCCAGGAGGACTTTTGTTCTCTTCAGGTCTTTCTTCAGCCTCTTCTCGGTCTCCACATCCCTCTGGCTCACCTGAATGACAAACAAACTGTTCTAGCCTGTATTTGTTATAAACTCTCTGGTTTTCTATTGGCCCTCTTGGTCCCACGGCACCGCTCCAAACCCCAAAGCGGTTGTCTTTCTCATCAAAAAGAAGTGGCGCACACTAAATCGTGCACACTTATTAGTGCCGACAGGCACCAGAGGAGAAGTGATGGAGGTACCTGGTCCTGGGCGCTCAGCAGTTTGGACTCCAGCTCTCGTCTCTCACGCAACACTTTCTGCTTGTCTTCATACTCCTCCTCCAGCTGCACCTCCATCTGTTTCAGCTGCAGGACATGGTAACAGAGTGTCAGGAAAGATGATCAGTGATAAACAGTCTGACCGAACACAACATTGACCATCCTTTTAGAGGTGGCTGCTCTTGCACATCAAAGACGAATGTATTCCTCTAACCCCCAGCCGATCTGCTAGCCTCTAGATCCGTCAGAGAAAATTTGATATTTCACAGAGAGGCAAATGCAAAGACCATTTTTATCATCAAAGCTGTATTTATTTTATTATTAGTATGAATGTAATTAGTCGGATATAATATTTTTAGATAATGTGGTCTTTTAAAATGAATTTTTTGATGAATACAGTGTATTTGTATAAAATTGGGACAATCAACATGCCTGTATTTGGAAGTACAATGAATGAGCAGCACCCACCTTCTTGCTGCAGGAATGCCTGATCTCCTCCACCTCTTCGTCCTTACTCTCAATATCTTTGGAGTGGGTCTGCCGCTGCCTCTCCATCTCCATCTCAAGGCGCAGCTTAGCCTGAGCGCAATGACACAAACATACCACAGACGGGAAGAAAAAGACAAACAACCAAAAATGAAATAAATTAGATTTTTACCGTCCATCACAAAGGAGACGCTTTAATTAAATCATTTTCTAAACAAACTACTACTTTTGTTTATAGGCGGATTTCTGTTGAGTTACAGTTTGAAACACTGAATAGCGTGACATGAGGAGCTTTTAGCAGTAGAAAGTATTTCACCATACTGCATCACCCTCTACCTGCTCCAGCATCTGGATGGTTCCAGCCTGTTCATCCAGCTCCTCCTCCTGGTCTTTCACTTTAGCCTCGAGTTCACGAAGTTGCTTTTTGACCTTGGACAGCGCCGCTTCATCTTTTGACTCCTGGGAGGAGAGATCCTTTAGCTCGGCCTCCAGCTGCTGTACCTTCATATTCACTGCACACAATTCAACGTCCTTGTCCTGCAGGTGGAAGAGATACCGTTAAACGCACATCTGGAGCAGCCCAGTCACGTCAAATAGAGAGCGGGTGGACCAGACATGCAGCCCCTGAGAGAGGAGATCCGATCACGTTTGCAGTGTGTGGTGTAGTGTAAAGGGGTTTACCTGCAGCTGCTGGCGGAGGTTAAACATCTCACCAGTCATTAAGTCTTTCTCTCGAGCCAGCTTCTCCCTCTGGCTCCTTTCTCGTTGTACCTCAGCCTGAGCCTGGTTCAGCTCCAGGTCAAACCTGGAACACACACACACGCGCAAGCATGAATATACCTCTCGGATAAATGGTATTCGTGCATGAGACAAGGGTTCCAGAGGGCTTAAAAGTTGAACAGAAGTAGTCAACTTCATATCCGTACTTCCACCAAGTGCTAATCAGGTAGCCCCCTGGTTCTAAAAGGCCAATGCGTAAGTAATTATTTTTAATTGCCAACCAGATATGAACACAAAAAGAATAATGTGGTAAAAAAAAAAAAAAGAACTGAACACAGCAAAATCCAGCTGCAATATATTTCAATTTCTTCTTAAGCTTTCTAGCATTTTGGCAACTCTTCTGGCTGTAAAAATGACTATCAAATTCTATGAGAAAATAACTTGTTTTGTCACTCTGTCGCTAATACAACATGATGTTCATCTAGTAACTATGATCTTTTAGGGTCCGCTTTAAGACAGATCTACCTTGTGATTGTGTCCGGCCTGGGGGTTAAACATGTTTTAATCTTAGAACTCTAATCCTTTCTCAATCTATTTTCAGTTACTGAAAATTACTTTTAACGTAATGATTGCCTAAAAATCTCATTCAGCCTTTGCTTGTCACATCACTTCGGGTTGCAGAAAAACAGATAAAACTCAAGGCTTCAAAACGGTAGTCCCCTAACGAATCGCTGGCGTGACAGGGACTACGTCCACTTCTTGAATACAGCCAATGGTAACAATTCCTGGATGGCTAAAGGCGATCTTGTGGACAAAACTGGGACATCAAGCAATTTGTCATTATAAATTGTCCCCCTTAAGCCTATGACCTTATCCTGGACAAAGATTGCAACATCAGCTCAGCGCTACCTCTATTTCAGGCTCAACTATCAGGTTACAATTGGTTTGTAATAATGTGCAAAATGTTTTCTTCAGTTGTCTGGGACAGAAACACTTATGGTTAGCGAACTTAAGAGCTAAGTGTTTCATGCTGTCAGCTTGTTGTAATTCCCTGTTTTTCTCTCTGAACCGTAGCTGAAAATAATTTCACCCACAGAGCATCTTCAATTAGCCACAGGGGAGAGATCACATTCTGCCACAGCGGTAGCTTCTCAAGTGCTTAAAGTCTGAGTCATTTTCTCAGCTAATGCAATTCCACAGATTACAGAACATCTCACTCAAATTAAAGGAAACGTTAGTGTTCTGCCGGGTGGGTCAGCGCAACTGTGCCTGGCCTTTTGTGGAGAAAAGAACAATATGTTCCCTGTTACTGATGTTTATAAAAGAAAGAAAGACAGACAGATAGAGAAACTGCTACAGACTTCCTCTGTTTTTTCTCCAGATCATGGTTGCGACTTTGCAGGCCCTCCATGTGAAGCTTGGTGTCCTGCAGCTCCGCTGTCAGTTTCTGGCACTTCCTTTTCAGCTGCTGCACAGAGCGCTGCACATCCTCATTATCTGTCTGCAAATCAGCCAGCTGCAGCGCGCACACACACACAAACAGACAACATTCCTATTTTTTCTTTTGTGATGAATTAAAGTGAAATGCATATTACATGAACCAAAGTAGCAACAAGCGTGTGGTAACCAAACAATACAACAAACTATAAGTGATTTAGGATTATATGCAGGGTTTCTTGCCCTTCTCTCAAGTTGTCTTCTGCTCTGCTGCTCTGTGTCCAACTTTTCATCAAACTCCTGCTGGAGTTTCTTTTTGGTGAAGTCCATTTCACGAATGGCTCGGTTGTATTTTATCCGCCACTCGCCTCCTGGAGGGAAGAGATACAATTCCTAAAATGACTGTGTGACATTTAGGTGTCTCCTGCCTTTGAAGTAGGTTTAACGCGGTAAACAGACAAAAAATACTCAAAAGCTCAGTGATGATGGATTATGGCGTACAATGTCCTGGCTGTGATGGATTCAAGAACCGAATTAATCCAATCGATGAGAAAAATGAAACTACTTTAAAATCAAATCTCGACCCTGTAAGTTCAAAAGGTTCCACAGGAAACTACAAAGCAGCCTTTGCGATTCAGCTCTAATCTTGGATAAACCTGAGGTAAGAATTCAGAGCACACCACAATAGTAGTTGGAGTAGGACATGTCTAAGTGGCACTTGCCACAGTTCTTAGCCGACCCTAATTCTGGAGCTGTCAGAGGCTATCAGAACCATAACAGTGGCCAGTCAGATATTCAGGTTCAGGTTTATTTCCAAGCCTTATCATTTTGGAAGCTGTCCGTTTCTCCTTCACATACCAACCCAGACTCCTCCATCAGTGCTGCTCATTAGCATATATATAGCATAATGACAACTTGCAGGGCCACCGGCTCTGATTCCAACGATTATTCTCTCATTCATCTGAGAATTCTGATGTGCTCTGTAATGGCTTGTCTGCTGAGGTGGATTGAAGGGGGTTGGGAACACAGAGGGAAGAAAAAATGGTCTTATGGACAATGTGCTCTCAGCAGGAGCTCCTTTTCCCAGCAGGTGCAGACCAATCAGCAACAGGCATTAGTTGTATGCCTGGGAGCAAACGTCTTAATCCCCTAGCGGTAAATCCCAAACTTGGGTAATATACTTAAGAGCATTATGCGAGATGTGACCAAGTCTCGCTGCCATGTCACCCGCCGAAACAGACAAAGAAAGCCGTTAATTCCAGCAGCTATTAGTTTCAGGGGGGTTTGAAACTGTGCACGTAGCACTGGTATGAGTGCTCAGTAAATTATACTCCTGCCCTGAGCTGACATGCCCATTAGGCAGGTCTTGGCAAGCTGCTGCAAATGTCACAAGAGCCAATTAATTAGGGAATAGAAAACAAATGTTTAAAACCACTGATGACCAAGACTGTGATTTCTACGGGGGAGAAGAAATGTCGAGAGTTCGCAGCTCAACTAACCAGCATCATCGTCGTCATCATCCATCTGGCCGTTGAGGTCTGACGTCTTCATGAGCCGAACTTCTATCAGCTCCAACTCCTGTGATTCTAATTTCTTCTTCATGCTGTCAAACTTGGCCTGGAATGCAAACGTTTGAACACAAATCAAAATGATTTGTTTTTTCCTTTCACAATGAGAGTTTCTAAAAAAGTGTCTGTTCGTATGTACCTGTAGATCCTTCATTTCCTTCTCCAGGCGGAGTCTCTCTGAAGTCTCTGTCTCCAACAACTGGGATGCGGACTCACCGGTGCTTCTCTCGTCAGCCAGTTCTGCCAACAAGTCTGAGATCTGAACACACAAGACAGCGTGTAATACGAAACTACAAAACACTCACCACTCTTCTTTTACAACTAAGAAATGAAAAAAAAGTTTAATTTCACTGGCAATCTCAAACATAGTTCTCCCAGCATGCATTGCCGGAGGCGAAGGAACCCACCCTGCTCTCCAATCGATCAGTGTTCAGTCGCAGCTCATTCCGCTCTTTCTCCACTTTTTCCAGCTTCGATTTCTGCTGCTGTATCTCGTCCTTGGGTACAGAATGCAGCCAATACATGTTATGTGTAATGTAACAGGTAAAACTGTGAAATATTAAGCGTATCAAGAGACATCACATAGGATTAACATGAAGTTCCATGCTGCGGTAGCAGGCAGCGCCTCATTAAAGGGGACTAGAGGCTGCCCGACTGTGAGGGATCTACGAGTCGGGGTGCATCGCACAGAAAGACTCCTCACGTCTTTGCCTCGCATCTGCTCCTCGGTGAGCTGGACCTTAATGAGGGGCTGCACTGTGGTGAAGAGCCTCCACCATGGCCAGTCCTTCACGCCGCGGTTCTTCTTGATGTTTTTCTGGAGGCAACGAATTGCAAGGTCCTGAATCTAAAAAGCACACACAGAAACAAAGTCACCAAACAGGAAGGAACACATCTGGAAAAACGTCTGCTCTTTTGGTGAAGCATTGGTTCTAAACAAAAGACATTATCTTTTAGAATTACTTTCTGTTACTTCATTTGACGGTACGTTAACCAACTAACGGTGGCATGGTTGTCTCTACCTGATGATGTGTTGGAATTGGCAGCCCAGTGGTTGAGCACGGCTCGTGTGATGTACACACACACACACAGGGACACACGGATTGAGTATGTGGTAGTGTAATATCAATGTAATCACTTGGAATTGTATCTGTAAATTGATTTTTCAATACAAATGAGTGCAGCGTAATTACAACAAATGAGATTATCCAAGCTTTACAACTGTTATTTGTGCAGTACATGGTGTTATATGCAGTGTATGGAAAGAGTTATTGTAACGGACAGATATCACAAGCTGGTTTCCTGGGGGGCCATGAAAGAATCCCGGAAAATAAGGAAAATCCTGATCACCCAGTGGAATAAATGTTTTATCGAGTTTGTCTATTGTTGCCATATCATCCTCGACACCGATAAACAATATTTGAAAAACATTTCACTCCTCATTCTTATGCTATATTGCCTGTGTCTGGGCACCCGCAGCTAACCCGGGACTTGCCAGCCTCCTCTGGAGAGTTTCTGGAGAATGTTTTCCAAGGCTGGAAGCAAATTTTCGCATTAATTAAATCAAACATGTTGGCAGCTAATTCCAAGTATTACACAATTTCAATGCTGCTTATTCATGAGGCTCTCCAGCAGCAGCAGATTATGGGCAAACCCAATTAGAGCAACGCAATTCTCAGCATCAGGTACATTTTACCCTGAAGGTACTCTCTATGACCAATTAGGATTTGTCACACAGTAAAAGCCTTAACATCGAGCAGAATGCAGCGCATTTCTGGCAGAAGATTTAAACAGGTCTCAGTTGTCATATTTAGTCGAAACTGAATAGAAAACAAAACAAAAGATTATACTCCACTAACACTGTGGATAAACGCGTTCGTATTCACATCCCATTAAGAGGGTGTGACAGCTGTAAGACGCTGTTATGTGAATTAGGCTTGTGAGCCAAGATTAGGACTAAAGTGTGTTTCTGTTCCCTTTCTTGTATTCTACATTTCCATTAGAGTTCAAACAAACCGGTTTTAGTGTGTGCGCATGCACATGTATGCAGTCCTGTCTGTACATATGTCAGACATCCAGGTGCTGCAATATAGTGTATATGACCGCTTCTGAAACAAGCATGCGTATATGCTCAGGGTTTCAGAATGTGTTCAACGTGAACACTCAGAGACCAACATTACTGTCTTTAAAAACTGCAGCTCAGTCTTAAAACTAGAGGGACGTGAAACTGAACAACCCACATTAAATGTGTCCATTTCTTTTGCATGCAATTTATTCCCAGAATTGTTCATTTGAATATTTCTTCTATCAAGACACCAATGGTGATTATCACAGCCTCGTGTAACCTTTCAACCACAAACAAAGGACCCTGAATTTTCAGAGGACGTGTTGGCCTCTTAGGTACGATAATGAGGAGGTACACTTCGACTCACAAGTAAATGTACATAGAAATGTTTTTTAACACAAATGCAAAACATGCGGTTACAGTCAGAGGTATTCATGGATGATAATACTATGTTTGAGATATTCTGTGTATTCAGTCAGCACTGTTGCATTGAGTAAGTATCATGTTTCCAAGCTGAAGCTACCCTATGATTTCTGTTTTACACCGATTTCAAAGCAAATAATTCAAAGAAGAAGAAAAAAATGCCCCGAATGCAGCGAGTGCCTGCTGAGGGAAAATAACAGACTTTGTTAAATGTCAGTTTGTCCCCTTGAGGAAGCTTTGACAGTTGGACGGGGGCAGGGTAAAAACACAAGAAAAATTATGGTTTTGTCACTTAATGTCACATGGGCTCTGCACAGCTTCACGAGGTTAACATGCCAAGGAATATCAATCAAGGGAACTGCTGACTGTCCGTCACATCAATACACATCAACCAGCAAGTGTCGGAGAAGCTTGGCAAGAACACACCCACACTGTTACAGAGGCACAGAATCATCCACTGTACCTGCTAAGACAGGATACTTCAATCAGAGCAAGAGGCTATGGAGCCCTATCAATATTCACAGAGAGATAACAGAGTAACAGCAAAGGCGCAAGTGGATGCTATTATGTGATTATTGTACTGAAGACTGAACAGCAACACACTCTGTGAATCATGGAGAGAAGGGGAGATGAAAATCACTCCAAAGACCTGCTTATGTTCCATTAATCTGGTGATGACTAATTGAATCAGGAATAATATAAGCAGAATGAAATGTGGGTAATCATTGCAGGAAGAGAGGAAATACCACACATATGTAATAAATCCAGTCATAGCAGTAGGTGAAAACCAGGAGAAAAGAAGAGGGAGTGAACAAGACAGAAAAAATGTCAGACTCAGTCTGACTCTTGCAGGTACTAATGTAATAATGTCTAATAATTTAGACTTTTAGAGGGTTACAAATGATAAATCACCATTATTGGAAAGACTGGAGTTTGATATTGGATGATCCGACTGTTCTAATGCCGGGAATACCTGCACCAAGCCGAGCATGAAATCAAATCATATTTGGCTGCGTGTTTAGAATATAGGTTCAGTTGTATGTGGACGAGCAACTTTGAACCTCAATACTGAGCATTTTGACCATCCCTATTAGCATTTTTTGTAAGCAGAAGTGACACGAGTGGAAGTAGCTAAGTACTCACGGAAATACTTAATTATTAACCATTAACTTTCATGAACTGAAAACACACTGCAGAAGGGTTAAAGTTATAAGACTAAAACAACAATGTGGAAACGACATGTCAAGAAACAACCTTGAAACCGGAGACCATCAAAACAGGTTTTGGCCCTTATGAATTAGCTTTTACTTTTAGGAACAGGACTCTTTGTTTAGAAGCATGAGACACAGCTTAGGCTGACTGGCTTTTATTTACCAAAATGTCTTATCATTGATCTGTAATCTCCAGGTATCATTATTTCAACAACACTGTGGGAATGACTTAAAGGCTTGTTGCAAATCCGAAAACACTTTTTCCTGCTAATTTGCATCATGATCGCTGAATCTGTCTTATTTCTTTCTTGTTAAATCCATAAAAGAAACTCTTTCCAGATTTTATGCTAAGCTATCACAACCAACTGTCGGCAGTAGCTTGATGTTTACCATACAGACATGATAACATAACCATCTCAAAACTGTTCTGAAAGGTAACTGGACTCGAAATATATATGAGAAATATCTGTTTTTTATATGACCTGCTATGTTTACTTCTTGATTGCCCAGTTGGAGGGGCTGAGATTTAATTGAATTTAACTTTTGAGGGAAAAAAACGGATATGACAATGATAGCAATGTGTATAATCATCTGCACATTTTGAATAAGCCACTACACTAGATCCACGCGTCACCCTGACTTCATAGAATTTGCGGTTGAATTCATAATTGTATGTAACATTGAGTTGAAGAGCAATGATATTAGAATGTCTTGTGAACTTATCTCCAAGGATGCATTTGCGGGAAATAAAGGGCACATGGGGCCAAACAGAAAAAAACTGCCTTTTTGCTAATGACTTCTGTAATTGCACAGTTGCCTAGCAATTTTGAATGACTTCTCGCTGTTGATTTATTTCTCACTCTTGCAGATTATGGAGCAGCAGCACCATAATCTGCTTGATTGTGTGAATGTGAACTATGAACCTCATAAAGAAAAGACATTGGCCTTTCTTGGTTTCCCATTTTCAACCATCAATTACTCAAGACTCGACTTCTGGTAGAAACAGCAACAGCAACCACAAAAGAGAACTGGAAGTCCAGTCATATAGAAGGTTATATTGATTTACTTCACTGCAAAGATGACAATTTCATATGTTTACTGGCATCATATATAAGATATCTACTAACAGCATGTCATACTAGATGGAGAGCAGCGGTGTTGATTCTGTATCTGCTGGTTCATCACTAGCCAGCTGAAGCGGCATATTCACTTAAATAGTAATCCCACAGAGGGAGAAGCACTGTGGGGTGCCATACATCACAGGGGGACATGTATGAGGCCCAGAGAGATGGACCCATCACATGCTGACAGAGAGATGGAAGATGGGTGGACCAGATGGGTGGGTGAGTCAGCAGTATGTTTGATAAGGCTGCACTCAAGGGAAGCGGTTTGATAAAACGCAAGAGGAATGGGCTAGTCCCTTTCAAATATCCCCCTGGGAGCGCTGATTGGATGGATTACGGTAAGGTAAGGGGGAAAGGGTAACAGATTTAGAGAACACATATATAATTGGTGGAAGATTTACAGCAGAGCGGATTGGTTCTACCCAAAGAGCAGAGCAAACGTGCACTAAAATGAGCCGTCAACAAGGAGCTCTCAACTCCTTACGGAGTCCTAGGGAACAAGGCTTTGGGGCTCACATTCTCCACTGACTTTATTTTGAAAAAAGGGAGGATCAGCAAAATGGAGCTTGATTGATGGACACTTTTACACAAGTATCAAATTTACTTTCTGCCAGATAAACACATGATCAATAACTCAGTCTAAGGTCTATGTCTTCGGTGGTTTAATTGAAGACAAAGCTGTTCTTCTCATGTGACGTCTTTCCTACCTTCCTCTTCTTGAAGGCTTGCCGTGCCAGGTGGCCCCTGCAGGCAGCTTGGAACAAGGTGAAATTACGCCTGGTCTTCTCATCCCTCTGCTCCTCCAGCTTCGCCAAGGTACCGGCTCTGAAGAACAGCTTGAACAAAACACATAAAACCAAATTAACTTATTAGTGATGGATGGCATTAGTGAGAGATTATGCAATACCTATTTTAGCCAGGGGGAAATTAGATTAACAGGCAACACTTCAGAGCAAAATATAAACTTTTTTTTTTAAAGTAAATAAGTGCACTGAAGCAGTTAATCAATAAGAGGCAGTGTAATCCACGGGACTAGTGAGTCTATCTAAGTGGGAAAGCTGTGATTACGTTATTATCTTTGACAATCAGCCTTGTCGGTTTCTAATTTAGGCCAAAGGTGAAACACAGCTAAACATCCGATATAAAGCAGATCGCGCCATGGCCTGTCTATACCTCAGAAGGATAATGCACTGTCAATGCATTCCAAACACGACGGCAGCGAGCATTTCAAACAGATGGCTGACGGACTGCCTCCCCCCGAGCTCTCTCTGCACTGGTCCCAAGGCTTTACAAATGGCCAAATCCATATGTGATTGTTAAAAAGACAAAGCTGAAAATGCTAGAGCAGCTTCAGGTGGGGAATCTGCAAATCACTAGGGAGGAATGATGCATTCAATGACATCAGTGAAAATTACTTTTCAAATTGCTTGGTGGGGGCCTGAGCAGAAGCTATTTATCATCATCAGGCGAACGCAGTACTTTGTAAAAATGTCTTTGGCTGTGCTGTTTTTCGACACGTGGCCATCTCTAATGGCTGTCGAAAGCTGTGATTCCGCTGCCGTAAGATTACATGGGGGCCGGCGTAATTGGCATGTAAGTGAGTCAGGTTGCTGGGATGGCACTGGAATGCCTCGCGGATGGCCAACTGTGCTTGTCTACGTCTGAGCCCATTTCACACTCCAAAGTGTGGCTTCATGCAAAGGTGCCTCTGAACCGTTCTCGAGTTGTGCGTTTTAAAAAGGATCCCTGTGCAGAGAACATATCTGGAAGCACAAGTGTTCCCCTGTTTTCTACAGTATTGTTACCTTTTGATTTCCTTCTTGGCTGATTGCCTCTTTCCAGCTGATAGGATTAGACCTCAGTGTGCCAGACAGTGTTTACTGTGATTACTTTTACAACGGTCGTGGGGAAAAACAAAGAGGGCCATCAGTTGTGAGAATTTGCTCTAATGACTTGATATAAAGAGAGTATTGTGGTCAGGCAGGGTAGAGAAATTTCTCTTGCGTTGCCACTGGCTACGCGACTGGAAAGTAGGAAAGGCTTGGCAACCTTCCACCAAAAAAAAAAAAGAAAAAGGATGGAAAAACCGCCCTGAGGAGGGAGAGGTGTAATGAAAGACACACTCTCCCTAGACAGTAAGTGTCTTTTTAAGTAAAAAAATAAGGATAAAGAGAGCCCTGCACTGCAGCTGTGTGTGTGTACAGAGCTTTAAGAGCCACGATTCACGGTTTATTCCATCGTTTGAAAGAGGTTTAATTGTTGCGGTTGATGTGGCGGCGTGACTTACCCTACTGAGACCCATGTGGTAGCTGCTCTTCTTCAAACGCTCGGACTGCCAGGAGCTCCTCGTCAGCCTGGGTGAAGACACACACGCACACACACACACACACACACACACACACACACACACACACACACACACACACACACACACACACACACACACACACACACACACACTCTTTCAACTGCTGCATCCAGTGGGAACGTCTACTCACACCGCAACACTTCACTAGTCCACAGCTCCCCTAGGTTGCCATGCTGAGCTAATGGTACAGTACAGTACAGTCCTCCCCCCCACCAGTCTTCCATCACGTCCATTCGAGGTTGGATTTTTTGTTTTTGCAAGGAATTCAGTAGGCGCAGGAAAAATGTGTCACCTAACAACCTCCCAACTACAAAGCAATTGCAACTGGTCCCCCTCAGATCCACCTGCTCCGAGCATATTTCTCACAACAACCTCTGTGGTCTCAGCCTTTATCGCAGCTACGGACACACATAGAGTTACACCATCAGTCAGCCTGGAGTCTCCCCCTGTCCATCTACATGCCTCTATACTGTAGGTGTATTGTTGTCTCAGCCGCCTCTTTCTACTTGAGCCTCCAGCCTGAAAGACCACATCTAGATTACAACAGGAGAGATCGGCCCCGAGCACTGAGGGGGCTTTTGTTTGCTGCGTTTCCACAGAAACTCAAAACAGGGACATGGAGGAAAAACAGCTTTTCTCTCCCTTAACCCCCTTCTTTCCCACTCTCTCATTTTTTTTTCTTTTTCGAAAAACAAACTTTTGTATGGGTTTCCAGTGCACTTCAAGCAGGGCCTCTCTCACAGAGGCACTGTGCTCATTATTCATACTTTTGTTATTTTCAACAGAAAAGATGTAAAGCACAATGTCCAAAAAGCAGAGAAAAAACCTTCCTAGTTTCCAATGCCCTGATCACAAACATCTTCTTGGATGGTATTTTGTAGTTTTCAGCGCACGTTCTAAATATTAAGCCACAGACCTGCCTCTTTAACAAGAGTCCTCCTGATACGGTTAAGATGATAAGATAATTCTAAAGGCACTGATGAATGAGGGTTTATTTATCTGCGAGTTGACTGCTGACAAATCAGGGGGAGATGTAATGCAGCTGCCTCCTCGTGACATTAATCTTCACTCCGCTTGGCCACTGGCGGTGCGACATCTTTCCCTTCCTTCGTTGATTGACTCACTCTCTTCTCGTCTTTCACAATGTAATTCCTCCCATGCTTCTTGGTGAGGTGCGGTGCCAGCACGTCGAAGCGCCGTCGAAACTCCGAGAACACCATGTGATCGGGGTAACCTGTAGAGGCCGGCATGAAATAACAACATTAGATTCTGGACAGAAAAAAAAGAAAGGAGAGGTGTATAATTCTATTTATGGGATTCTGTAGCATGGGAGGTAGGCAGCAATCTCACCTTGCCTGTAGATCCGCAGAGCATCCAGCAGCTTGGAGCCGCGCAGCTGGGCACGGAGCAAGGCTACATCGAGCTGCATTAAGCCGGGATCTCCAGTCTCCCCTTGAGCCTCACATTCCCCTCCTTTGAACAGGGATCCACTCAGAGCCTTGAGGGCATCTGCCTTTGGCAATATACAGTGAACAAAGTGAATCCTGGACCTCCGCACCATGTCAAGGAGGGCATCCTGAAAAATAAAGAATTACATCAATTAACAACTTTGTTTTTCCAATGGTCACATGAAGGTTAAATCTTATCTCTTTATTTTACCTAATGATATTGTCATCGCAATTTTTAGAGCCTGACTAAGTGTATGCTAAGAAGAACTAGGTTTTAAGTATCAAAACGACATCTCAGATTTATAGTGCAGTCTGTAAATACAATCCATGGCTGTTCTCCTAGCACACTAACACCAGCCCTAATATCATTTTTAAATTTGTCTCCGGGTGCAGCCCAAACATTGGCTTTTATCCCATCCATTTCATTTAAAGCTGCGTAGGGCAATTTGTGTCGGCAATGGTGTCCAAAGGACACTCTGATACAACGATGAGCCTTGATTTACTCATCACATCAAGCTGTCAAGTTCCCACCACAAACAGGATTAATGAAAAGAGATGCCGACTGGGATGTTACGCCTAAGCGTCCTTGGCACTACAAACACGTGACGCCTTGGGACTTGACTGTGGACAAACGCGTAAAAAAACAAAGTCTGACTGATTATTTCCATCCTCTCCTCTTACCACTTGCAGCTTTATCTGGATGCACAAGGACTTCTTCTTCATGGCAGCCACACCTGTGGTGAAGGTCTTCCTCATGCTGGTGGCCCGTCGCAAGGATAGCTGGGAAACGCCTTCGAGGCCCGCGATGGAGCCGGACAGCACGGTGGCTCCAGCAGCGCGGCCCATGAACAACGAGCTGATGATCTTCCTGCAAGGGGGTACACTACTTTTAGCGGTTGGTCTAAAACTCCCTTACCTCCACCTCCTCATGCATGTGTGGCGATTACTTCTGGGAGTCCTGCAGCAGGTTTGTAGCGTTGCTGGACGCAGGATTCTGCCTGGCGTAGTTCAGCCACCCGCACACATTGTACTCCACCCAGTCAGTCCCGTGACTGTGGCCCAGCAGGAAATGACGATGCTTTTCACTCTTCAAGAGGAAAGTGTGACCTGATGGGAATGCAGGAGGCAGTGTAAGATTCTCTGGCTCGTGGTACATAAACGCAGAGTGAAGAGTTGTCTCCTTTAGGAAAATGGAAAAGTTCTCTTCTCAACGGAGTTGTTCACGTGGGAGGCAATCAAAAAGATACGGGTGATAAACAAGAGACCCTCAAATCTCGCTGGGAAGTCCAAAACAAAACTTTTCCAGCGTTGTTTGGATTTTCCATTAGTGATAGAATAAGGTGATAGAGTCTTTACTGTAGGACTGCGCAGGACAAAATGCATGGTGAAATATCTTGATCTGAAATAAAATCATCAAACAGTTGGCGAAAAATGTGAAAGTCGAAAAATGATTCTGTGCTCACATATGATCACAAATTGCACATAAAATGTCCTGCCAAAACAAACAGATCAAAATTGAAATCAAGCATGCTTATTTGGACCCCGTCATTTGGTTTGGCAACAACATTAATATTAATGTGGCGCTAATTAGACTGGGATCAAATATTCACTTTTTATTCTTTTATTCTTTCTGTACACCAAAGGGTGTTGTATCAGCTTCAATCCTTGCCTTTGCTCTCCCCCTCAGCAGGTCCGTAGTAGCTAAAGAGACGTTCCAACAGGGTTTCCTCTGACCCCCCGGGCTGCAGCGCCTCCTCCTCCATCAGCCACAGCAGGCCCCGGGCATCATCAGTACGCACCGGCCGCACCTGTCGAATGAACACGTTCACGCCACAAAGATTCACATTTGCAAAAGGTCATCCGTGAAATCATAGCGGGGATGCAAAATGTTCCATTTTAACTTCGGAAACAATGGCACAGGAGTCAAAAAACACCAGGCCAAAAAAAAGATCTCTGTGCTTCACTGTGAAAGATAACTTTCCATTTCGCAGTATCAAGCTGGATGGAAACACATGGAATTAAATCTGGGACAATGTCAACCCAAACCAAGCTAGGTGATAGATTACACTGACCAATAGGAAGATAATTCACAGAAAATTTGAAAGGAGACCGTGAACTTCTGATCTAGCCCTCTCAGTCCACCAGCTTCCCGCGTACAGGTGACAGATAGATTTTTGTACGCTGGAGAGAGGGTACAACAGCTGTATGTACACTTAGAGGGAAAAATTCTTTAAGCCCAGGACAGTGGACATTGTAGAGGAAGTATACTCAATGGAAAAAATTGACATTTTCTCCAAGGATCAAAGCAGGAACCCGTGAGCAACGCTGGGGAAAATGGACTGTATACAAGGGGAAAAGATAAGTGATCTCATCCGTTGACCTGAAAATAGTGGATACAAAATTATAAAGAGCGATAGCCGACCCGCTATTAATTTACATAATTTCTTTTACATTATATCTTTATTTTTTTGACATTTACAATGTTTTGTTGCACTTTTTGTTCAGTGAACAAAATCGTATAATAAAAAGTTAAAAGAAAAATGTTTTAAAGTTACACTGTATGTTTGAGCCAACAGTATGAGCCGATTGTGACAGGCGTATCAACACAACTAGCTTCCCAAATTAAAGCTTCAAAAATAATTTGTGGTCTCTGCACCCTCCAGCAGTTATAATGACATAATCAATTTAGCTTTTCCTTACAAATGAAATGAAAAAAAAAAGAGCTCATGAATACAAAGAGGGGGGCGGGCAGGAGGAGAATTAAAAAGTAATACAATTAGTATTACAATTAGTGTGAGCACAGAGAAAGATATAAAACCCACTCTAGAACTGATGATAATGGAATAAGCGCTTAGGAAAGGTTTGTGTGCATATGCAATAATTAACTATGTGGGACCTTATTGGACAGTGCAAGTTTACTTTGAAATCTAAATGCACTCTGTGTTTGTTTTCTTTTTTTGCCACTGTTGTTCTGTAGATGAAAATGACCTCCAGGGATATTGATCCTCACGCTGAGGCAGCCAGCGCGGTTGGCATGGCTGACGCTTGAATTCAGCCGGGGAGCTGGGGCAACCAAACTCACAAAAACCCAAAACTGTTTTTAGCAGCTATCAGGAAGTTACACTGGAAACATCCTTATCAGCAGCGCACACTGTGCTGACTTCAAATGCAACACGGAGTATCAGTTCGGACGGAGACATATGACAACTACGAGGCAATGAAGTGAGCATTAGGGCTGTTTGAGATAACGGACATCTGAGCAAGTACAGCACAAAAAAAAAGATATATGACAGATTAGAGGAAAGAAAAATCCAACTCTCTTCTCATTCTGAGCAGCAGATATTTAAAGTTAACTTCAAAAATGACTTGGATGTGGGTTTCTTCAACTTTGGTTTTGATTGAGATGCATTGCGGTTTGATTCTCTGATGACATTCCCATTAGACTGCAGACCCTTACGCACTCAAGGCAAACACATTGGAATCCCACCAAAGTGATCTATGACTCTAAACTCTCGCCATTTCTGTTTCCATGAGTTGTATCACAGGCTGCAGAGGCCAAACATTGATTTTTTTCCCTAATGTTACTGCCATAACCTTTCTGTCCTGCTTCTACCCTCACATTTGAGCCTCTGCCAAGCACCTTTCATTATTCCAAAACTGTGTATGCTAAAATATGGTATTTATTGTTGAATAACAAAAGATTCAGATTGACATTTTCACATAGTTATCTGAATCCTTTTTCAAGGTCTCCATATTTATGCATGATAATATCCAGAAACTCGAGCCAGAGATGAAGACAACTGACAAATGAAGACATTGAACTTACCAGCGCTTGGCTTGAGGTCTGGTCTACGACGGCCACCGACGAGGAGGTGCTGGGTTCTGTGTCATCTAAAGCAAGCTCGATGTTCTCCTGAAGGCAGATTGACAGACCCTTTAATGATTTGTGAGGATTCAAAATCAAAGAAACAGGAGATAGAAATAGTGTTACTTTTTTTTGGAGCGTTCATATTAAAGAAAAAGATCTCCTTAGATGTAATGAATTTCAAAAGTCACTCAGGTATTGACAAAGATTTCATCATGGTGGTTCATTTTGTGGCGTGTACTGACATAGAAAAGCTGGTTTAATCGAGCGCGCTGCAACATTCAGAAAATAGTAATGGGGAAGATGAGGAATGAGACTGTTGGATGCAATGTTTTTCCGAGCATCCCCTTTTTAACGCTAAGACCTCGTCCAGAAGCACAGGAAACGCCACAGCTCACATTCCTCTTTTGGTCGTAGTTCCTGTCCCAAGACGAATCCATGGTGTGGAGGTACCCAGAAACTCAGGATTTTGTATGGTGTAACGTTGCTGATGGTAAAGCGCAATGCTTATCCCATGACTGAGAATGGAAACTGGTAATCCCATACGATTAATCAATAAATTGATGAACGGAACTCTAATAAGAATTTTCTATTAATCATTTTTATATATTGTTTCAGAAAAATGACCAGTATTTGCTGTGATTTGTATGATAGAAACTAGTAAATTGAACCCCTTCGCTTGTGGAAAATAATAATTGCCATTTATAGTTTCTATTTTCTGATATTTTATAGACCAAACATTTAAGTTTAATAATTGTCGGATCATTTGATCTATAAGAACAAATTATCTTTTTTTGACGTTTTTGACGTTCTCAAAATTAGACAATGGAAGCCAGTGCTGTCATGCAACTAATTTAAATTCTTAATTCCACTTCATTGTGTTGGGGCGGCTGGACCCATGCCCCTCATGAATGTGCAGACATCCATAATAATTCTCAATATATTTATGGATATTAAAGTGGAATAAAACAATGGCCTAGTAGATATTAAAAAAAAATCTAGTATAATAACAAGAACATTTGACATTTACTAAGCCTGCTTTTCTATAGGTAAATAGAAACCCTAAAAGATTTCATTACTGTAACAGATTTAAATTTCGGGGGAAATAAATACAGTAAATTACCTTTACCGGAGCAAAGCGGGCATAAGGCAGCTCGCAGTGACAAAGTGCTGGCGGCTCTAGGAATATGGGGGAAATTTGGCAATACTAATAGTGTGGCTGCGACATATATTAATGTTCCACTGTATGTGTAGTATTTTAAATGTTTGTTCTCTGCTGCGTAAACTCAATATGCAGAGGATATAAAAAATAAAAGGTCCAGGCAGTTGCAGCTCAACAGCATTTAAAATATAAAGAAAATTCCAAGCATGTGCCTGTTGTGGGCCTCACAGTTTAACCTGCATGCCCCTGCTGTTGTTACGGAGTTAAATTAGTTTTACTTTTCAATGACAATTTCACAGCTTCTTTTATATTAAAGTTGCACTGACGAGAGAATTACACTACACACAAATTTATGCAATACCGCATTTCGCTCCAATTCTCGTTCTCCCAGGCGGAGCGCGTGGGTGGGAAAGTGGGTGGGAAATCCCAGGATCCTTGCTTACTGTATCAAAAGTAACATGATTAAGATCAGCTGAGTTTTGATTCAAAAAATGGATATTAAATTTTGTGACAGCTGTAATGGATGGATATATATTTACGCAAGCGAAGAAAGAAAATAAATCTCTTTATCTTCTAATTTCTTTAGAAATTACAGCAGGTCTGTTATACTATTATTATTATATTGGTCCACTGCCGCAGACGACTAATAGGACAAAAGAATTGTAAAGCCCGCGCTGTGCAGCTGGGTTTGTCTCCCAAAGGCAGTTGTGAGTGACTTTCCTTTGATCTTGGCAGAAGAGTTGAAGACTGGCATCGCTAATGAGAATGTCTAACACATGAGCTACGCTGGCTTGTCACTGCTTGTGGCAGGTGGGAGGGATCTGACGTGCGAACGCATACGCTATTGGAGTTGACTTATCTGAGAGATAGCCGCAGACAAGCGAAGAGAGAGAAAGACAGAGGTGAGAGGACGAAAGAGACAGCTATCGCGAGGCTGGGTTTTTGTTGTGTGTGCACACTTCTCAAGTCCTTACATCTTTGTATCTCTCCAACTCCTGAACAAAGGTGCGCTGATAGAAGAGGGAATGCAGCCGTTCTTGGGTGTAGTTGTGGCAGAGGTCCTCAAAGGTTGCGCCGCACTCGCGCTTTGCCAGCCTGGGGTTTTGAAAGCCCGGCGTGTCCACAATGAGCAGGGAGCACAGGGAGTGCTGGCTGGATTTCAAAGCCCTGAAGCACACATGGCAAACACACGCTGAGATGCTTGAGATCACATTTTATTGATTGCGTTTGCTGCATACAACCCCTGGCTCTGACCTTAACGCTCTCCAGCACGTTATAACTTTAACCCTCACCAAACATAATCCTAGTTCTATTCGAAAAGCTAAATCCAAGGCCGTAAGTCAAAATAGCCTTTTATACAATCAAAGTATCCATAAAAGCTGTTAAAAACCAACATCGTCTATTCAGGCATTGCTTAAACCCGCCCCAAAACTGCATTTGTGCAAGTTTTTATTCCAGATGCTAAGATTTTGTAAAGATGTCACAAGGTGTATGTAGACGGTGCTGCAAAAAACATGCCAATTTCAATTTGACAAAGCTTCGGGAGAGTGCGAGATCAGAAATACTAACCGGTTTATTAAAGAGATGATGGTTGTGAAGAGTTCCGAGTAAAGCCCCGACGCCATGGCCTCTAAACACTCCATGGCGGAGGCCTTGGATCCTTTAATGAGAGGCAGCCAGAACAAGAGCGGATCAGAAATTGCACACGAGAACATTTCCACTGGGTGAATTGGAGGAAGAAAGAACAATAACAACCTCAAATATTTGTTGATAAAATAACTCTGCATATTATGCCAGAGGGCAGGTACAAAGTATCCAGATTGGATCTGCAATAGTCTCTGTAAAGCAGTGGCTTTTAGGACTCAGGTGTTTCCAAAATGTTCAGATAAACTGTTTCATTCTCACGTTTGTGCCTGGCGGCAGTAGCCACCTGTTAAACTCCTCCTAATTTCTCCCAGTATCCCTCAAAATAGGGCATTCATGCTGCCCGAGGGATATTTTTGTGGGCACAGACACTTCGACAAGTTCATGTGCAAAGGGATGTGCAGGGAAGGTGAAGCGGAGGTCAGTTCTGTCCATCCCTTCCGTGACAGACTTTTAAGTGTATCCTGGTGCCCTTCAAAGCGCGTTGCAGTCTTGACGGAAAACGTGTGAAAAATCAATGCGAGGCAATTATGATTTCAAGGACAATGAACGAGGAGCGGATCCAAAATTGCTTGTCCCGACACAGTGTGTGTACTTATCTGTCAATAGGCATTGTAAAGCTGTGGTATTCATTACTAAGATAAGCTCTACTTTCTCCGGAGCATGCAATTTCCCTCCAGTGATGAGCAGAGGCGTATGCGTTTCCGTGTGTGTGGAAACAGTGGGACAAAAGACAAAGAGTGGGGGGAGGTGTGGTGTGAGGAACGAAGAGGAAATAGTCTGTTGGTAAACGCTGTGGCCTGTGGAGTACCTGCATCTGCTGTGCCATTTTCGTCCGGAGCCTGGCGGATGGAGCTGGCTCTGGGCAGGGTGCCCTTGGCCTGGTGCTTGAAGATGGAGGAGGAGAGTTCCTCCAGGGTGCAGCCCAGCAGGTAGGCAGCCTTCTGGGCCCACTCGTGACGTGCAAATTGTTTCCTGCCAGCTGAGACACGCGGAAGAAAACCTCCATTAGACCTTCGGCCAACTACCCCGGGCAGACGACTAGCCGGGTAGCTTTGTGACGAGCCTGTTTTCGGTCAAGCTGACACTGCCACAGCTGGTGAGAAAATGCACTAAAAAGCATGTTCAAGTGCAAGTGGCCTAAACAAAATTTTCTCTTAAAAAATAATGGAGCCGTCTCCACTTAAAAACTACTGTTTCATACTCAAAAAGAAGTCTATGTTAAGCTGTGCTAAGTTAAAGTAATAAATGCCCTTATTATTTACTGAGAATGAAAGCAAAAGTTAGAATTAGCAGACATGATTAATGTATTTGCATAAAGTACTCTGTTAGGAAACACAAGTGTTCTCTTTTAATCTAGCGGCTGAGTGATGGAAACATGCAGATACGAGTGCAAACTTCATTTTTAATCCACCATGAAGTGGTATCTTCTAAGACTTTTGAGAGGAACTGGGGAATTTCATGCAGAGAGCAGGGGGCTCTATCTAATTCATCAAAGCACACAGCAGCCCCATTTACTTTTCATGATAAGCGGGACAAGTACATTCATTTGAATATTTCCTTTGACAGACATTTGCCAACATAGTAAAAAAAAAATCAGGTTTAAAATTCGGTAAACATCAAAAACATGAAATTAGGTTTGTCAATATTTTTGAAAAATTTTGAGTTTATAACTTTTAAAGATTAAAAAAAATAATAATAATGTTTTCCCTTTAAAGTACCCAGACTCACATTGTGATTCACTACATATAATTGTTTATAGAAGGAGATGCAAGTTCACTTCAGGTAGTCCCTTTAATTAGTTCTGGTGGATCAGAGACCAGTGCTGCCCTCTTGTGTTACACCATGAAGCTGCATCAAATATTTATAACAGTCCATAATGTTTGTATCTATCACAAAGAAAGAACAGGTGTCAAAAAACGTTTGTTTAATGGAATATATTGGTACTAGAGTACCTTAATGAATAGATTCAATATTCCGTTAGACAGGGAGAACTTTTATCCAATCATGTCTTTTTTCTACATGAGAACCCCTGTGGGTTTAACCGGATACAGCAGTTTTAGTCCATAAATCTCCCAGTCGTTTCCAGATTAGATGTTGTTAAGTTTCTGTATTATGGGCCGATAATAATTGCAAAAGATTTGAAAAGTGTTCCTGCATGGTGTTGTGGGGCCATCATGAAGATTGGCAGCTTGCTGCAGGGAATCAGTAAAAATAATTTGGCAATTACATTGCAGACAGAGGGTGAGGAGCGAACATGTCAAAGAAACAAAATACATGGTCGCTTTTACAATATATTCCTTTTGAATTGTAAACCATTCTAGTATGCTGCTTCAAAATCACAGAAAGTCATTAAGTTAATAGATGTGCATTATAATAACATTTACATTGCAAATACAGTGAAATAGCAACCTTTCAACAGCCCACTGTAACTGATCTTAAGCAAGGGCATATCATCCAGAGAAAATACTATATATATGCTAATTTCATTATATTACACATCGTTTTGACAGCGTCAGCCTTTCAAAATAGCAGGTATCTCATTTTAACTGAAAGTCGAATGCTGTGGGGTGCAGATCTATCGCTTTATAGCAAAAGGCAAAAAAAAAAGAAAAGAACTCTCTTGCATTAGGTTTCATCATGCAAATAGCTTCAAAGACAAGAACAAATCCTCTCAAACCGCTCTTCCCATTAGGCCCCGGAAGCTTTCTTATGACAATAAAAAAAAGAATTGTCAAGGCTTAAAGCCAATTACAATGTTTATCTGACCATTAGACCTGGGCAGTGTTTGCAGCTGTGCTTTCATTAGAAACAAAATAACCTGAGTTGTTAAAGAAGAAAAAAAGAGATGCTGGGGTGTTTCTGTTCAAAGCAGAAGTTGCTTGTTGATGACCAGGTGCGTCATTTGTGAAACAGTGCATGAGTTAACACTAAATGATTACAAAGAAAGACTCTATACTGATTAATAAAACCTTAGGTACTCCTGCTAGTTCCCTTGTAAAAATCTCAGTGCCAATGCATCCATCACGTATTACAAGACGACTCACAGCACTCACCACACCACAAAGAAATAAAGGTTGTTTTCAGTGCAGCTATTTTACAATCAAATACTGTAATCTGTAACTGAAATCATACTCGGGGATATATGCATTAGAGTAAGTATTAGAAGTATTAGAAGATATAATTGCAAAACTATTGACGATCTTTAGTTATGGATTTCTATAATAGATTATGATATTGTCATGGGGGGGATTGTGGCTCTTTCAGGTCCTGTTTTGTGGGTATGTGATTCTTATAAATGATTCCTCTGGAAAAGATATCCTGGAAAATTATATTTTTAAATCAGGGCAGTGGAGCACGTATTACTGGATTACAGCGGTCTTGCATCACACTCAAGTTACCTATAGTCAGACGAAACAGGCATTTTTGAGATTATCCAAAGTGTTGTGAAAAACATTTGGGCTTTCAAGGGTCATTTTGTGATAATTACTTTTTTTTACATTGTGTTCTGTATTGTGTATAAATAAAGGTTGATCTCACGGTTTTGTGTTCCATCTTTAATAACATTACCCTTAGGAATAAGTGATGCAGCTATAGACTCTTACCCTTTGTAGCTCCTGCAGACCCCAGATGGTAGATGGCCCCGAGGACGAGCCAGAAGGCTCTCTGCTCATCACCACTGATCCCCAGGACTTTCATGGCTGCTTGCAGCTTGGAAAACAGCTGGGAGGTCCGCTGCTTATCCTCAGCCTGGCAGATCGCACACAACGTCAAAAAAAATTCTTTTAGAACTATGATTAAAAGAAATCCTTAAAGATGTTATATTATTAAGTTTAAATGGGATTTTAGAAAAATTATTTCCTGCAAAGGCTCATGATATTTGATGATAGATATGAGTGATTACTCTGCCGGCTGTTGGGTCTGTGCCTGATTTCAAAACACACTTTCTGACCTGTTCCAATTTTTGTTTTGAAATTGCAATTGACGTATTAGTAGCCTGTTCTGTGCGACAAGGTACAGTGAAAACAGGCCAACATCCCTCAAACAAATAGGAATCACCTTTGTTTGAGGCATTATTCCAAATGCATTGTTTTCAGCAAAGTGATTAAGGTGCAGCTCCGTTCTGAAAAATATATTAGAATAACACAGAAGACGTCAACATTTCCCATGTCTTCATAATAGAGAAGCAGAAACACATAATTGGAACATCAGCATATTAATCCAGTACAGAATTGTTGACATTGGTATGATAATATTAATCCTGACCTAAGAGAGCTGTCTCCTCCAGATATCAGGTAGTGAAATACATTAAAAGTGGACTCTCCCTCTGGTCTTCTTGTCACCCTCATCTTCTCCAGAAGCATAGTCTACAAGGCCGCAGCAGAACAGGATGTTAGCATGAGGACGTGCCGTTCACTGGAGGCAGTGCGAGTGTAACAGTGATGATTTATGACACACTTTCTGAGATCATTGTATATTTGCAAGAGGAAGAAATTCAGCGGTTGAGCACCTGTGATTTGGAGGAATGAATGAATGAATGAATCATGGCCGTCCTCAACCAAAAAATTATCAGTCTACGAACGCTCGCACAATTTGGTCTACTGATCAATCATTCTTTTCAATTAGTTAATTTAATCAACAGAAATAGATTTGTAAATGTGAGTTTCTCCACAAAGCTTTGAAGTGTGGATGGATGGATGGATTTGTTTATTTGTACCTGAATAGAGGCTGAGGTCACCAGGCCTGCCTGGTCAAAGTCCAAGGAAACAATATGGGAGAAGCGACTGGCATTCCCATTCATACAGGTAGACGCATTGCCAAATGCTTCCAAAACCGTGTACACCGCCTGCCATTTCTCTGCTACAGACAACAAAGAGACAAACAACGGGGCCAGGGGTCTATGTAAAACAACAGCACAACAAGCCCTACACGTTTTGTACCTCGAGTTCCTTTCCAACCTACAGGAGAATGTTTTGTTGGTGCTGCCAGAAGTGGCAACTAGGTACTGGATGATGTGCTGGCAGTTGGAGGTCTTGCCACTCCCACTCTTGCCCAGCAGGACGATGGACTGATCCTGTCGAGTGGTCAGAAGGTTCCTATAGGCAATCTGGGCCACGCTGTAAATGTGAGGGGCAGTGTCCTCCCTTCTGCAGCCCTTGAACATTTGCATCACCTGGATAGAAGATAAATAGTTTCAATCCAATATTCTTCTACTCCTTAAGAGATGTGCCCTCGTATCCACAGGCTGCTGCCTACCTTTTCAGAGTACATCGAAGGGGCACTAATGGGGTTGACGACCACCATGTTGGGCCCAGCATGGGTGTGCACCAGGTTACCGCCGTACCGCTGCCTCAGGGAGTGCATCACGCTCGACTCGTTCAAATACTGCAGAGAGGCCAGGTCCTCCACTCGGTCAAACACGGGCGGGTTTGCCTGGGGTTCAAAGTAAAAACGTTCATGTACTCACCCGGTGTCGTCAGTAATTGATGCGGTTCAGAGATGATTTGATGATTAAAATACCTTTTCTACATCGTCTTCATCCACATCCAATAAAGATCCGTCACTCTCCAGGCGGATTTTCACCTTCCCCTCTGGCAGGCTGCCCGCCTCCGTCTTCAGAAGAGTTGCTGCAGCACCACAAAGTCTGGAGTTAATTCAACTTGACATGTGATCTCCAGTCGAGTGCAGGAGCTTCACCTTATTTTCACACGTCTCATATCTCATGGCAGTTGTGCCGCTTTCAATAATGCATGAGCTTCATTGAAACTAAACAAGCATGCTTAGGCATGTTGCTCTAATGTAGAGTGGTGCCCACTTTTAACGTTCAAATATCAAAGCTTTTTCTAAGCTTCAATGATCTATGTACATAGACCAACATTCAAATATCACCCCCGAAACAGGCCCACCAACATGTATGCTATGGTATGTTGAGAATTGGCTATTGCAGAAGATAATTGAGGTAACAACACTGGTAAAAAATGTTTCAGAGTTCTTACCCATGGAAAAGCCGTCCTTGTGGACGAGCCATACTTTCTCAGTGTTGTACCAGGATCTCTCTGCCGTTATCTGCTCCTCAGTCTTTCCCTGTTAGGGACAGGTTACCACATCAATAAATATAAGAACATAACACAATGAACGATTAAAACTGAAAAAATACTTCATAATGGACCACCACAAGGATACTATGGATTTCACCGGCACGGACTGACATGCAGTTCACATTCCCATTAGACATATGAAGGGAACAGCATTCATGACCCCCCCGACCCCTTTTAAAGCCCCCTTCAGAGCTCCCAGAATGTGCGCTTGTGAAGCGTGCATTAAATGTGTTTTCTGAAAAGACATCACGGACAACAGTGTGAGGCTGCGATGTGTCATCACAAACACCAAAAATACATCTAAATAATTCCAGACATAACAAACAGAAACGAACTAAAAGGAGTGGGTCATGCAAGGAAAAAAAACATAAACAGACATGTAATCAAGTTAACAAGCATTGGATAGCTGCACCCAGACAGCATATTGTTTGGATATTCTCCCTTTAAGGCAGCAGAGACAGCAAGAAGTGAACTGCAATAGCTGGGGCTATGAGAAAGATGGAAATTGGGCTTTTCTCGGGCTGTAATTGCATCACTTACTACTGAACCGTCCTCCCGCCCTCACCCCTTTACGCCTTTCCTTGATCATCACATAGGAACACCACAAAACACACTCTGAAACACGGAGAAACTACGATCACTTGTAGCCATGGTCAGACCTTAGCTGCAGCAGAGTGCGCTGCCTTAAGGATGGCCACGGGGTCTTCAGCAGGCTTGGACTGGAGAAGGGAAGGACAGCAATGACACAATGTAGAGACATGACGGAATACACAAATACAAATGTGTAGCACCTCATTTTATCTGTAAGAAACACAATTTAATTGTTTTTAAACACAGCGGCAAGACCATCAGCAGTTAAATAGCAAGCAACAGGCAGCAGAATAAGTGCATCATTAAAGTAATTCACCATAAGAAATTACAATATGAATGCATTAATGAGCGGGGATTACAGGGAGCATTGAAGAACAGTGTGTGGGCTCTGTGGGGCACAAAATAAATGATCCGCCATATTACCAGTCACAGTTAATGAGATCAGTTATGCACAGTAAGGTGTAAATGCACGGCACCATGCAGTCAGTGAATGCTACGGAGATGATCTGGTAATGCATGAACACAAGGATATAATGACATGTGATGAATACTGTATCACAGCAAGCAATTTCAAAGAGTTTATTAAGAACCTTTTCAGTTCTAGAATTTTGAGAAACCATTTACTACAGTTTCATCTAAGAAAATATACAGTATGTGAGTGTAAACCGCAAAGACAGCACGACCACCACCCAAGCTGCATGTTGTGGTAGTCGTAATCTGAATATAAATGAATTCAAACTGAGCTGTTCGTAATTCCCTTGGTGCATGTAAAAAAAAGATCAAGAAGCCCCGACCCATTAGTTTGTGTCACGCTACGACATTCCGGGCCCTCGCGTGAACCCTGAACAGACCGAAGGGAGCAGCCAGAGGACAAAGACGAGCAGGCAGGTGCAGACAAAGCAGAGAGGGGTCAGTAGACAACAACAAGCTTAGACTCCAGCACTCTACAGGCGGCGAGCCGACTGTCGCGCCGGCCCGTACTTGAGAGGATTTGCGCCCTGTGGCACGCTGGCCACGCAAACAGCAGAGAGGACGGCAGCGAGTCGGGATCCAATGACCGGTAGAGAAGCCAAAATGGAGACATGAGACACCATTTGAGACAACAAGGGGAGGGATTAAACAGCGAGGCCTTTCAGAAAGAGCTCTGGACTTTGAGAGAAGAAATAACCGGACACTGCCACAATAATAGCAATGGGCACGGTAAGAAGTCAGAGAGCACACATGTGCACTTCTGGAACTGATAACAAAGCAGTTAACACCTCAGAATGAATGACAGGAGAAACACAGCTACAGCTGTACAATTAAAGTGTTTAAACCTGATTCTGACACAAAAGTGTTAGCTATCAATCACACGGAATACCCTTTACGATAGCATGTATTGATCCAAAATTGAAAGTGACAAAAAAATACTTCCTGTTGAGAGCCTCAATACAACAAGAGGCCCCCCTGGAAGCTCATCTGGTTATTTAATGTTGATATTTTTTTGTAACCTGAAAAAAATATTGTTTATTATGATTTATATACAGTTTAAAAAAAGTTACCTATATCAATATGGAAGATTTAGTCCACATAGCCTCCACATAGCGTCCTACTTCCAGTATATTACCATCAACATCCATTGAACATTAAGTTCAGGTCATGCTACCAAAAAGGCCTTTACCATCCTTTAAGTCATCCAATAACTTGCAACAGAGACCCTCCCCCCACCCCCTCCTCCGTGGACCGTGTCCTTTTAGCACATCTCCCTTTATCTGGGGGAGCTAGGAAGTCGACAGGCTGGTAGCAGGGCAAGTCTTGGTAAAGCAAAGTCACAAAGAGACAAGTTACATCATTGACACTGGTGGCGAAGATCCTCCTCATGCGCTTGTAGTCCTCCTCAGAAGGCACCAGCTCCGGGACCTACAGTCGGATAAGCAGGACCAGCCATTGCCGCCAGGAAGTAAAACCAATTTGCGCAGAGAAAATTGCTGTTACTGCCCACTTTACAAAAAATAAACCCCAAAATAAACTGAGGGCACAGAGAAGCATGCCATGGAGAAAAAAAATGAAATGTGAGAAACACACTGGGTGGCGGGTACCTTCGCAGCTAGATGAACACACGCCTGTTCATTCGGCGCAGACTGAGCCGGGGGCAGAGCAACGGGGGGCGGCTTACCGTCGGGGGCCGCAGGGGGACAAGGTGTCTCCTTTCCCTTCACACAATGAGACGCCAACATCCACAAAAGACACACAAACGTGCACGCAAGGGGATGGAAATGACATGGGAAGGTGACAATGAGCATGATATTGATGTTGCAGCTTTCTTTAAACTCTGTATTCAATTCAACACATCCAGAACGACGAGCAACATCAAAGGGATGTTTGTTCCTGCTAATTCAATTTTCCAGTTTATTCAATCAGGAAATGAGTATCGGGGAAACGACTATCAAAAGAAAGACGGATCGTTAAGCGCTTCATCACAAAGATAATGGTTCACGGCTTTTGTTTTTCAATGGTTTTCCTTAAGTAACTAGCTGTGGGAATTATCACGGAAACACAACAAGATGCGAGGAAGTGGGGGGTCAAATCATCAAGTAAATTTCATCATTTGCTCTCCAATTGCATTCAGCTGTGGATCAGTAATTATTTTTTTCCTGTATCTGCTTCTGTTTAGATATGCTATTTCAAGTTGAGGTTGTGCAGCTAAAATACTGTTTGGAAACGTAACAAAACTATTACTTCTGATACATTTGTATCTTCAGATAACAATCAGGCTAAGCAGGCTCATTTCAATGCTTTTTAAAAATGTGACTTTTTGTGCTAAAAGTGAGACTCCAACTGACTTAAATACCAAAGGCTTTCCTGATTCATTTTATTAATTGCATCTAATAGTAATGGCTGATGTCAGACACATGACGTGTCGATATGAGTCTATTGCGAGAGCAGAAAAGTAAAATCGTAAAACAAAACAAAGCTTTAAGGAAACTCAGTCAAACACAAACACGCATTCCTGAGTTCACATCTTGATCCTTCCCTTAATATTACAGACCTAATAGTCTCCCTAGAGAAGTTGTAAACACGGTATCCCTCAGAGAAATCGCCACGTGCACATCTCCAAAATCAAATCCCTCAGCTCCACAGCCGACTGCTCTCCAGATTTTATGGGCATCTGTTGATCGGATTGTTAGAACGCCCACTGGCAGACAAAATGCCAAAGACTAACGGCACAAAAATCTAACCTCGCCTCAGGTACAACTTGAAAAAGAGACCATGACTTTAAATACTGGAAAGGATGGCTACACAATAACAGTCCTGATGTAAACCTTTAGGTGAAGGTGAGCCCAATAATCCAGCCAGGGCCATCACATCCAGGTAATGCATGAGCTACTGGGATCTAGGTTTTCTGGTCAGCCGTCCTGAGCTGTTTAATTAGCAGCAGCTAGCGGTTATATTGCTGTGTGAGAATATTATTTGTATTCTTTTTCCAGATCCCTTTTCTCTGAAAATCTCCCAAAAGAACAGTCAAAGCCCCCCTGACCCCACCATCAGTGGTCAGCCTCCAGGAAGTGGCTGTAATGAGTCACGACTCAGTGCTCGCTGTGGGCCGCGAGTACAGCCTTACGTCCGCTGATGGAGTGATCACCAGCTGACACTGCTTTCACTTTTTGAGGCAGGCTTGATTATGTCAAGGCTCCTTTTTGCTCCAAAATTGATTTTTGTGAAAATGTAAAATGATAATTGTGTTAATCTTGAAGATTACAAAATGAATAATAAAAAAGGGTAGTTGTATGAAACCCTTCAGGGTAAAACACTGAGAGGAGGTTGCATGAACATGAACCATAATGTCTGTGTTATTATCAAACAGCATGCTCCCCCCAGAGGTTAAGTAGAAGAGGTGCGTTTATTCCACTCAATACCTCAGGCTTCCTTACAGCAACCAGACGGGGTTTCGGGATGAACCCTGCAGGAGGAGCCAGGGGGTCCGTTCTTTGGACGGGGATGAATCCCGGGGGTCTCGCAAGGGGATTCTGCTGCGTGGACCCCGCACTGGATTTTCTGGCAGGGATGAAGCCAGGTGGAGGTGTCATCAGGTTCTGCTTGGGGAGCGGGATGAAACCGGCAGGCGGGGCCAGTGGGTCGTGTTTGGGAGCGGGGATGAATCCAGCCGGAGGGGTGAGGGGGTTGAATTTGGGCGGTGCCGGGTTTGGTTCCCCAGCAGTGAGCACAGATGTGACAACCTCGTTTTTTTCCACGGCAGCTTTTTCATCCTCTTGCTCCACCTCTCCTTTCCCCTCCTCCTCCTCCATCGCCTCCTTTTTCGTGTCCTCTTTGCGTTCCTGGGTGCGGGTGCGAGGCCGGTGCTCCTTGGTTTTGCCTCTGCCCATCAGGCTAGTCAGACCCATGGAGATGTCGTCCTTGTCCTGCCGAGCCGCTGTGCCGGTTCTGAGGTACTGGGAGTCTGCCGCCGAGGCGGCCTTTGCAGCCGCCGAGGCGGCGGGGAGGTTCTGTTCAACCGGCAGAGCGGGAACCTCGTTCCTGACAACTCTCCTCACAACCCTCACCACCTTTTTGCCGCTTGAGCTCTGCTCCTCCCCCGGACTGTCCGAGCCGCCCATGGCAGCGTTGCGGTTTGACTCTTCAGCCGACGACACCGCTGACTGTGCGCCGCTTCCTGGGTCTAACCCAGATTTAGCAGCTGCCTGAGGCTGACTGCTGTCTCCATCAGACTAGATACAAACAGAGCAAGGCAGACAATAGTACAGATTATACCTGCGGCTGGCGAAGATAAACTGTCAAAGATTCCATCAGCAGGTTCTAGGCTCAGAAACGCCGCAGAAGGGCTTATTCCAAGATTCAACATTCATGTTCAATTTTTACTGTGGAGCTTATCAGCAAATGTGCTCAAAACATTTGTCAGACTACAAGGAACAACCCCAGTCCTATCAGTATTATTCTATTATTATATAGTATTCAGGTAATTATTGATGAAGAAACTGCACCCAAGTTCAACTTATTGCTTATCCCAAAACCGTGATATTATTATTTAGCGGAGAGTTATGATCTTGATTTGTGACTTAATCATTTTTTTTGTTATATCGTGCCACCTCACAGTTCCTTCGTCATATGAATTATTGGCCAAAAGGGGAGGGAAGAAATGCACTCACATCTGGTTTGTTCTCAACTTTAACCTACACGAGAGGAAGCAAGGGGAATAAGATCAAACCACACATGAAGACTGAATCCTGAAAGGTCGACACGTTCATCAAACCACCACAGATGCTTAATTGAAAATGTATATAAGACAGACTGAAAAACAAAACTTCCCTTTTTCTCCCAGAATGAAAAGCGGGATTTGTACGCCATGGTCACGGGCCAGAAGTCATGGAACAAGCTGGATGGAGTGTAAAATAAATGAAACAGAAAATAATTATAAAAAGACAGCCGAGAAGAGGACGATGTATCGCGAGTAGCGTTCAAGAACGGCAACTTAGGGGTGAGCGGTGGGAAATTGTGAGCTTGTTTCCTGCACACAACAGGGCGGTGGGACCAAGCGGCCCTGAGGACAGAACACATGAAATTGATTGTTTAACTACAGCTTTTCACACAACAAGAGACAGGACTGAATGTCTGTACTCAGTATTTAATATATGTGGGCCTGGACACACTTAATGTGTGCGCAAAATCCATTAAAGCCACCAAGAATAATGGTCAATTGACAAAGGCATCAAATAATATTTGGCGTACAGCTACTTAGTAACTAGACAAACGTATTACAACATTTCAATAACAGTTTAGACAAAACTAAAAGCCCTTTTACTCACTGAGGGAGACGGAGCACAGCAAACTGCTTCACTGTGTCTGGCCCTGCTTTCATTAGAGCCCCCTCCTATAAATAGTTTCAGCAGCAGAAGGAGGAGGCCATTTCTCAGAGGCCATCAGAGCCCAAATGGAAGTGCTAAGCAGAGCATGCAGACCCTGAGCGGATCACACCTCTCCCTCACCACGCACACACACCGTCCGCCATAAGCCACGCGCCCATTACCTTCTCTGCTGGTTAACCTTCCAATCTTCACTCCGCCACCAGAGCGGTGCGACCGGGGGCTCGAGGCAGGGTTAGTGACCTGGGTCTGCAAAGGGCTCTGTGAGGGAGAGGGAGAGGGTAGCACAGCCCGCTGACACTGTAGTCCGAGGAGTGGAGGGCCGTAACGTGAGAGGAGCTGGGCGCGGAGATAGAGGAAGGGACAGCTGCTGAGATACAGAGGGGCTATAAATAGTGTTCGCAGAGGCCCGTCAATTAACACTTTTCACTGCCACACCCATTTTGTCACGGCCGGGGGGTCTCCCTCATCAGGTGGGACACAAAAGAACAGAAAAGCTGCAATAACTCAATTAAGAGATGTGTGGCTCAGTATTCAATTCAACATTGTCCTTCTCCAAATGGACTCCAAATTGAATGATAGTTTATTTCATCTTTCAACTCACCGATCCAAAATAAGCATTACAACAGCAAACTAATGGCTACAGTAACACACGCTTTGATTCACAGAAAAAACTATGGCCACAGCATTCCTGTAATGTTCCTCAATATGCTTTTTCAACCACAAGAGGGAGCTATAAAGTAACGTATTGATTCCTCGGGGTCTGCTTGTGCACACTTCTGACCTGAAGCTGAGATGTTGTATGGTTTAGGGACAAACATTAAAACGTGCACAAAACAGTGGCACGAGCACAGACGTGGGACAAACGGTGCTCCTGTGTGGAGGAGCAAATTTTGAAAAATGAAATCTTTTAATACTGCACTGCATAACCAGCTGGTTAAACATACGTGCGTAGCTGAGTTGTCAGGCTTGGCTGGGCAGGAATGAACTGCTTAGCGTGCTATTTTCCTCCAATAAACTGCTTCATTTATCAAATCAACAGCCCTTATGTAGAAAGTACAAAGTGGGAGATGTCGAAGTAATTCATTCAGAATCAAGAGAAAACTTTTCACTTGAATTTGAAAATGCAAAAATGAAACCTTCACACCGACATAATCTGCTATAAAGCGTTCCTTCCTTCCTTATGGTAAAACCACAAGCTCTTAACACCCAGGAAGAGCCACCCAAACACACAGCCTAGCCCGTTGATCTAGCACAGTTTGCTAATCCCCAGAGTCAGTTACTGGGACACAGCATCGTGTCGGCTGTACGTCTACTCATGGTAAACGCAGACCAAAGATTAAGCACTCTATAAACCGTAATCTTTGTTGTTTCTGACCCAGTTAAATGCTTATAGAAAATTATTGAAATTATATGTGCAATTTCTTTATTTACCAAACCTTTATTTATTTCATTTTTTTAGTTGCTAGAAATTTAAAAGAGCAAACGCAAAAGATACAATAAGAACAACAAAATCCCGAAATGAAATGACTGTATTTATTGGTCATTTCATATACAAATCCCCATACAGCATAATCCCCAAAAGCAGGCAGGGATCATCGAGATGTTTGACCAGCGTCCATGCTTTCGGAGCTCAGAGCAGAAATGAATCATGGGACATCACAATCTGCACTCCTTTGACAATTCCAGGAAGTTTCCCTTATTTTCCTGAGTGATAGCCAAAGGACCTGAGAGTCCAGACGGTTCTCTGCGAATGGGCCCCGTGAAGCCGCAGGTTAATAATGTTAACTCACCAGTACGGCAGAAAGCAAACATGGCCTGATGATGGCCAGGGATAGAGAATCTGGAATGACGCTGGATGTTTGCATGAAAAAAAACAACAACCAATTAACAGCACAGATTTGTAATCTCAATACTGAATACTATAAATTCTATCCGCTTGTTGTGCCACAAATAAAGGTACCGTCAAACCGCCACTGCGGCTCAGTTGTGATAGTTTATATGTATATCTGACACATGAACATGAGGTTAAGCACTAAATGATGAAATATTCAATAATATAATACGCTAGGAACGGAGGGGATACTAAGTACAACCTCTTCTATGAAGCAAACCTCTTTATTCTTGGAAGCCCCACCTCTTTCTAATCCATGACTGTGCTAATACTCTGGGCTGCTGTAGCAACGGCCCACTGGAGGGGGGGTGATGTGATTTAAATGGGCAGCTTGGGAAGGAGATTACACCATTTGCTAATTTCCTACTGATAAAACGGTGTCTGGGCTGAAGAAAGGCAGGAAATGTAGTATGTGGCAGATAAATGACGCAGGCAATTCAGTCAACCACATGGGAACATCGGGTCAACGGTGGACCGCGCTGGCATAAAGGCCCTCATTATCATTGGGTGTAAACATGTCAAATTAGCTGCTGACAGGTATGATGAGTGGAATTTAATAAATACATGGATCAGCTTTCTCTTGATTAGCTTTACCATGTGTTTACCATTTTTATACCAGGGGTTTTTATCCTAAATAGATTTGATAGTTTAGTTAATTTCAGTTCATTCATCTTTTCTGGTACTGCCAGGTTTGAAAAGATGATGTAATTGTCAAAATAATTTTCAATTATGGAATTAAAAAGGTATATAAGAAATGTTTAGTCAGCCAATAGACTAAGGCGTAAAACATTTTAAAAATTGGTTGTGTTGTTCACGGAGACACTATGTCAAAATAAAAATAAATAAATTCACCGCTTTGTTTAAAGAGCTTTAAATCCGTAAACATATCCTTACATTCCATTTCAGTTTCATCCACTGTGAGTGTGGCTTCACCTAACAGTGATGTGAAACCGGAGTTGACAGTGAATTAGGGAAGGCACTGAAAGCTTTGGGAATAAAACAGACAAATCGCTGTTCTGGCCTCATGTAATGTGGACAATGGCTGCCACCCAATGGACAAAAGGTTCATGCGCTCAGCTATGCACACTCGGCCTCGCCATCAAATGTTCTAATTTCGGCCCGGGGTAATGTCTGGTAATCTACTGCTGACCCCTTGAAAGGGGCAAACCAGCAAATATTTGAGATTCTATTGATTTAGTGCCAGAAAGAGTAATATGGGTGATCTGAGCGGTGTATTATGCAGCCTAAAGCAAACCATCTGATGTTACTGACCAAAGAGAGAAAAAGAAGTAGACAGAGACAGAGAGAGACTTCAGGAAGTCACCAGTTTTTTCTTCTGAAGGAAAAAGCTAGGCTAGCGGTTTCCCCTTGCTCTGGGGTTTATGCTAAGATAAGCTAACAGTCCCCTGGCTGTGACGTCATTGTTCACGGACAGATATGAGACCGGTAGGAATTGTCTCTCACTATTACACTCTCCAAGAAACAACATATTCCCCAAAATGTCAAAGCGTTTTCACCAAAGCCTAGTTTATGCTGTCCCCCTTGCGTGTCCCTTGCGTGTCCCTTGCGTCCCTTTTCACACCTCCTTGCGTGCTTGCGTGCATCGACCCATTTTTCTAGGCTTTAGAAGCGGGTTGGATTCATGGAGGGAGATCTCCGCAAACACCGGTTTGCTGGTCGAGAAGTGAACAAAGTTGTGGAGGAAAATACGGGACAAATCTGCCCGCGATGAAAAGCAGCAGTGTTCATGCACGGGGCAATAAAGTCTATGATAAATACATAAACCAACCAACAACTTCCACACACAAAGACGTGACTCTCTAGGTCGTCTTCAACAAAAACACGTTACTCCGCCTGTTGTTCTGGCGGTAAATTGCTCTGCAGCACACTAAAGACTTTTAGAACCATGAATTGAAACGAGTGCGTCGACGCAACAACGCAGACGCAGAAACATGCGCCGGCCTTAACCCGTGAAAATAAATTCAGCCAACGTGCAGAATGTGCTCACGCATTACGTATAGTTCTACCTGTGACGCAGAGCTCTAGATCCAAGAACCCAGACCTCATTAGGAGCACCTATAAATAGTGCTGCTGGTTCTAGGTCACATTCTCATTTTCTGCTTATTACAACGGCCTGTCTCATGATGAGCGTCAAGATCAGTTGAATGAAGGACGAAGCCAACGAGCCGTGTTGACGGCTGTGAAAAACCGTTCCCTAAGGAGGCACGGCCCGATGTCCTCTAAAAGGATGGTAGCGTGGGTAAAAGCATCCGTTGGAAGGGAAGAGAACGTTGTGCACACAAAAAGCCCATTTCAAGTTCACACCTGCTGCACGAGTAGGCTACACACCACTTCTGTTCAGTCAAATAGTTGTTTTCACCGTTGGGATCTCTCCGAGTGCTACACAACAGCCTTGTTCAGTGAACAACCAAACTCTGTGCGAATTACAAGCGGCAAAGTTTCACACCAAGCCAAAACAGATCTAACCCAGGTGTTCACCCCAATGGGCTCTGAAAGGAATGGAGATAATCTCCTTTACACAATAGGGCAATAATCTGCTCTCGTACAGTGGGATTCTGAATCAATCTATCCAACAAATGGCGCTGTGTGGTGGTCAAAAAGTACTTCATGTCCTCGCTGAAGCATCCGTCTCAACAGATATAGGTGGAAAATATTTCATGCATTGCGATGATTATGGAAACCCAGAATTTACCTGAGGTAAGGCTGTTAAGAGTACATAGAAACAATCTCAAATATTGTCATTTACATATACATCCATGACTCAGAGAGTTAGGTAACATAATGGTGACTGAGCCTATACAGCCAGCCTTGCATTTGTAGTATTACAAACTTGTTCCATAGAACAATCACAAGTGTTCTTGTATGGACTGCTGGGAAGGGACATGCAGAAACACACTACATGTAGAACTTATCACCATAGGTGCCACCAAAGAGAACAAGGCAGAGATCTTCGAATTTCCAAGGTTAAATCATTATGATCATAATCCAAAATTATGCTCCTTTTTTCTATTTTACATTATCTGATGTTCTATTAACATCCATCCCCATTGTGAAACATGCTGAGAGATTTAACCAAAAAAAGTCTAATTGTAAGTTGTTAATACTTTAAGATTTTAAATACAAAATAAAATGTATAACATCTCAAGTCTCACTATTAAGACACTTGCGGACAAATGCTGATATGTGGGTGTTTGTTGTGCTACCTAATAAAACGTTTAACTTGATGCTCGTCTACTTGTTGCACATGATTATCCGAGCGAGAAGAAATAAAGGGGCCGCGGGCCGAGTCTTACAAGACCATATGCCCGTGGTCTGTGGCGGCATTTGGGCCGTTGTTTCCTTCAGCTTCCCATTGTTTGGTATCAAAAGAGTGGGGGAGGGTGGGGAGCCACAGGCTTATACACAAAACATTCCCCTTTTCAAAACACACACACTCCCCCAAACATGCAAGCACACAAAAGCCCATTATCAGTGTCATTACAGTTCTACCCAGGATCAAGAGATCTTTCAAATTATCTTCGGGGTGCAAAACACGTACTTCACAAATGGAGAAGTTTTACCGCAGGTACATATTTAGAAAAGAAACACACCACAGCAACAAGCAGATACAGAGAATCGTTTCTCACTATTACATTTTTCAGTCTGAAACTGAATTCCTGGCCACCAACAGAGCAGCATTTAGATGCACTCACTCATATATATGAATTCTGTGACGCCAAAGAAACAAATGTGGAATTTGTGTTTGCAAGTTACAATACAGCCCCCTGGGTGGATGGAACACTTTCCAACAGTACTACTTACATCAAAGAGGGGTTTGTGGGGCCCCTCGGCGGTCCTCAGCCAGCTGCGGTTACACTCGCTCAGCTCCCAAATGGGCTGCACCTTCAGCCGGACGGACTCTCCGGACTGACGGATCATCTCCACAATCTCGTCCCGGCTCTTGGTCTCCACGTGGGTCCCGTTGATTTCCACCAGCCTGTCTCCTGGCACCAGGCCCAGAGCCGGGTCCTTGGTCCCGGCCCCCGGTTCGGCGAAGTGCACCACGCGCCGACACACCCCTCCATCGGGCTGCCTGTCCAGCATGGTGGTCCTCCTCAAAGAGAAGCCAAAGTCCCCAGTGTTGCGCCGCTGCAGCTCCAGCTCCCTCGGCTCCGGTATTGGCGGTGGGACAAGCTCGGGCAACTGGAGGTCTGCTCCTGGGAACGTCTTCTCCACCATCTGAGGGACGTCAACCACGAAGGCGCTTTTGGGGTCGGAGCAGGACTTCAAATAAGTCGTCCAGTTCTCCCCGGCAAGATCCGAGGCCTCCAAAGCGTCGTCCTCGCAGCTCTTCTGGGAAAAAGACACGTGCCTCTGGCCGACCGCCGAATTCAAGCCGGCCAGTTCCCCAAACTTGGTTGCGCTCTCCTTTACAGAGCTGCCATGACGGTCCGCCTCCTTTACCTTCACATCGTCGCTGGAGACGCTTGCACTCATTCTCCCAACATCCTGCAACGGGTGGTGAAGGCGCTCGGCTTCCAGGTCCGTGAGGCTCAGCTCCGCGTTGGTAGCGACTTTAATGGGGATGGGACTAGAGATTTCCAACTTGCTCCTGGAGTCCCTCTTAGAGCTCCCTCGATTGAGGTTGAAGAAGCCTCTACGTATGCTCATCTCTTCCAGGCTCTTTAACTCCGCCTGGGACATGCGTTCTTTCTTCTCCTTCTTGCCCAAGTCCTTCTCCTCCTTCTTGTCTTTCTTAATTAAGTGAAACATGCTTCTATATTATCATAGTCTTATACCAGATTATATTGTCCACAGCGACAAAAGGGCAGTGTCATAGAAATGGCGAGAGAGAGAGAGAATATCTGTAAGGAAAACAAGGAGTAAATTAAGAAAATGTTTGATTTAGAAACAGTCTGAATTAGTTTGGGCTAAATATGGTACTGGCGTGCTGATTGTTGTTTTATCATACACATGTGTATTAAACAGTAATATGCATATGTGATACACAGTAACACGTGCAAAACAAAATTCCAGACAGTTAAGCTTTAACTTTATTACTGTTATATTGTATGTATAGACCAATACTAATATTGTTCCTATACATCTTAATGTTGCAGCATATGAAACATTTAAACAGATACTGGACTGCCCTTGTATCATTGTAATCCGCCTTTTTTCCCCAGACAAATCAATAATACAATCCAATACAATAAAAAAAAAAATCCACGAAAAAGAACACTGCATTACAGTGGCAACAAAGGATGCGACCTACAAACATTACCATAGCCTATATTTGGGATTTATCCGCTCAGTCTTCCACACTGACACATGTCCAAGCTGCCCTACATACAGACACACTTTTGAAGAGCTTGGACCACATCTGTATTGCTGTCAAATGTTGAGCATCGCCATTACAAAAAGTGATGCAGGACATCTGAACATGTGTGCACGAGGCTCTGCGTGGAACCCGAATACCTCCCGAACCCCCTGGGTCCGCCTCGTTAAACAGTAGACTCGCACTTAATCGCCTCTCCTGAGGTCAGACCGGCTATGAATCTGCAACAGTCTGTCTTTAAAGCACTTTTAACTTCTGCGAGTTTCGTCGTGGTGACTATTGAAGAGAAAGAAGGTTCTTGATGCTTAGCTTTGGCTGAACTTACTGCGGCGGGTCCAGCGCGGCCGTAATGCTCGCCCTTTAAGCGGCTTTGCCCTCATTCTCTAGCACCGGTGTGCCTTAGGGAACACGTTCGGTAGAGTGTAACAATGTCATTTGTATAAAACAACACAGTTGCACGTTGAGGCTATCGGCACATATGACGCTGACCTACCTGGAAGTGACCGAGCTGTTGTCTTCTTTGAAGTTTTCAGCATTTTTCTCACTGGTATTGACAGCAGGTGTGAGAAATGTAGCTCGTGATGCCTTCACTTGCTTACCGTAAGCTCCGTTTTATTAGCTGTAGAGGAGGTTTTCAACGACCTGAGGACACAACCTTTGACTAAAGACACACCTACTGTAATGTTTGTGTTTTTAATTTACGAAAGAAAACACCCCGCTAGTATGAGTTTATAGTCTATATAGTTAGATATGGAAAATGTACGGAACTTACACTTATGCATAGAAGACCCCAATACTGCATAAATTAGTATCCAAGGCATACCTCCCCGTGTTTACTTCTGCTGCTTTCATGCATTTCATTTATATATGTAACACATGTAGTTTCCCAAATTATTGGCAAAACTAGCCTTTAAAATTTTGTTTAGGTCCAACATTTTTCTACTGCTATGAAAGTGTATGAATTCCGAGAGCACATAAAGGCCGCACAAATGTAAACCGGGCAGCAGTGCCCCCTCCTGGCTGTTCTGCTCAGTGAATGTGAAGGTATACAGTTGGGAGCACAGGTAAATACTGTATTATGTTATTATATTATATTATGTTGCGTTATGTTATATTATGAATGTTACGTTACATTACATTATATTTTTCAAGCTAAGTAATGTTATGTAATGTGACATTTTAGTATATTGGAAAGCAACATTTTTCTGATGCATTTGTTTATGTTTTAAATATGTCTCTCTTAATTATTCCCGTTGTAAAATGTCTTTCATTTTTTGGAAAAGTACTTTTTATTATTATCATTATTGGTATTATCAAGTCAAGGAAAATCAAACTTTTACTATTCACTACTACCATTGGGTACAGGTACGGGTACAATGCGTACAATGGGTACAGGTAACCCATTGTACATATTACAGTCAGTACATTTTGCTAACTGCCATTTTTATCAACATAAACAATTAACTTTGTATGTGGTTTTAGATGTTTAAACGTGTCATCTGTCCATACAAAGGATCCATTGTTGACCCTTGTTTCTTCAACACGGGTCAACAAGGTGGTCTGCAGGGCAACCCTGCCTGTTGTCAGAGTACAAGTCCCCCTGCTGCCCAGGGTTTCTACCTGTTTCACAGCACGGACAGCATGCAGAGAACAACACCCTGAAAATGTAAATCCAGCCCACATAATGCAGCTCCACAATGTTCAAGACAAAGCAGCCTAGACTGACGCTGAACATGAAGTTGAGAAAGATGGTCTTCTCTGTTGCTCGGGACACAAAGCAGTCGGTCCTGTTTGGGCATGGGTAGGTCTCACAGCGGAAAAGGTTTGGGACCTCAAATCCGAAGAGGCAGTACTGTCCAACGAGAAAGATTATCTCCATGATGGAGCGCAGAAAAACGTGGATGATGTAGATAAGTAGCACTTGGCTGGAGAGCTGGGTCGGGTCCTTTTCTACCTCTCTCGCATCCTCCTCCAGTTGGCTCTTACCATCACATTCCCCTTCACGAGGACTGCGGGCCTCCAGTGTGCTCTCTTGTTCTCTAACAGTGTGTTTGTCCCGTTCAAGTGAAAGTGAGGCCCCGGGCAGCACTTGAAGCTTCCTGTCCTCCAGTTTTTCATGTTTGGTAATGTTTTGCAAGACGTAGACGATGTAGAAGATAGAGGGTGTGGAGACCAGCACAATTTGAAAGACCCAAAAGCGCAGGTGTGAGACGGGGGCGAAGGTGTCGTAGCAGACGTTGTTGCAGCCGGGCTGCAGGGTGTTGCAGGTAAACTTGGACTGCTCGTCGCTGTAGACAGCATCCCCCACCAGAGCCACAAGCAAGATGCGGAAGATTAGCAGCATAGTCAGCCATATCTTGCCGATGACCGTGGAATGGTTCTGGACTTCCGTTAGGAAGCGGCCAAGAATGGACCAGTCTCCCATTTCTGGGGAGAACATGGTAGTTACAACCCAATTTACAGCAGTCAGGCAGAATGTAACAGAATCATAAAGAAACTGAAGTGGTCGATTTGCACTTCTAAGGAGAAATTCAGTCCGTAAAGCGTAACTCAATCTCACCAAGATTGCATATTTGGGGCTAGAATACAATTTACATTAAATAATATCTAGAATTCAACAACAAATATAAAATAAATATGAGAGTGTCATAATTTGGCATGCCATGTAATCTTGAGGGTCGACTTTCCACTATGAATTCTATAAAATTATAAACTGACTGAGAGATAATCGATAATTATTTGTCAAATCATATGCCTTTTTTTAACTTAAAAGAAATTTAAAAAAGCGCTCAGATGTTGCACCAATTTACCAACATTGATAAGACACCATAATGAGACACCATGTGTTTTTACAAATTGCTTTTTAAAGTAATACATATTCTACTCCCAAAAAAGACAAGTTGAACAATAATAATCTTCTTGGATATTAACTCTGTTTTCCTGTCCTGAAAGAGCTTACCTTTGGAGAACCTGACTTTTCCTTATCCAAAACTGGAAATATATCAGGGAAAGCAATCTGCATAACTGTATTTTCAAGTGGAGCTCGTTGCTGGACCGTATCGTGTCTTTTGACCTGGATGAGGGGAGAACGGGCTGACCACACATATTCACAACCTCCAACTGAAACATTCGTTGCAGTGTATGTGAATAAAGGCTTTCAATGTACATTGGGACAAAGATTGGCATAAACAATGGGGGCACCTTTACTGAACGGCCATTCACGGACGAGCAGAGAGTTCAAAGAACCTACTGGAAAGAGAGGGCACAATACTGTTTGAAGCCCAGACCTGTGTCCACCTTTCATTTTTAAAGCGAAAAAGTTGTGTGTCTTTGTGGAAAGGTGAAGAATCGCTGTGTACTTTTGGTTTTATTGAAGCAAAGAATATATATCTTATCAGACTCAGAAATAAAGGCACAGAAGTAACCATTTAATTTTCGTTCATAGTTTGCGGTTCATTTTTTTTTTGGCTGCATTTAATTTCGAAAAAACATTAAATTCTTACCTAGTTTGATATAGGCCTCTTGTTTTAACTATGTTTTAACCTGTATAATACACTAGTCCTTCTGTCATAATGCAAATTTTACTTCGTTTGGCATTCAAGTACATATTGTGGTCATTGACTGGTGCTGCCAAGCTATCTGAGCCCTTGAGCAGCGGTGACACCCAGGTAGTTTCTGCAGAGTACATTCTGCGTTATGTGTACTTATTTGATTGTCATAGGCAATTGTAAAAAATGACGAGGGCAGTTGTAACACAGACACACTGAAAGTGTCGATTCCCATTTTCCAAACACTCAACTGTACCTTTTAACATATGAGCAGCCTTAACATTAAATCCAAAGAAAATAATCTTAATAAATGTAGCCTAGAAACATCAGCAGCAACTGATCCATCTCACAATTATCAAATGAAAACACATATAAACAGGGGCAAGAAGAAATAAAAGTTGTTTATTCAATACAGCTGTTTATTTTCAGTCAATGAGTGGCCATAATATATCTTATTTTGGCAATTCAACCATTTTATAGATGCTGTCGTATTCATTCACCCCATCACATGAATGAAAATTACATCCGTAAGCGAAGATTATTTCTATTTCTCCTCCCAGTATGGGTAAGTAGTGAGATAATATGCTTGCTTCGCAGAACGAATCGCTTTCCAAATTATTTTCTTGTAAAAATTACTGTGGTATAACGGAACACATTCATATCCAAACCACATGCGAAGCGGTTCGACAAATCATGGTAAAAAAAAATCCCCCTGACCGAAACACCAAAAAAACCATCCAGAAGGGTGCCAAGAAGTACAACCACATCAAATTAGGTCTGTGAAAGGGGAGGATGAACGACGCACATAATGTTTTAAATGTATATTCCAGAAAGTACTTTAAATTAACCGTCGTCATCTATTTATGTGTTGATTATAAGCCGCAAACACGCGTACACTAACTATTTTAACGTACTAAATATAACGCACACCCCTAAATAGTATGTGAAATGGTTCAGTCCTCGAGGTTACCGGAAGTTGTTTCAGCTGCCATGTTTGGTTGCTTTGTTGTAGGCTTCTACAAGGTTTCCTACAGAATTACTAAGTGTGGAAATGGAGCCGAGCTGGAGTACGTTTCTTTTTCAAGTAAGTTGGCTCTTTCGGAGGGGGGCTGGGACGGCTCGTAAAAAAGCCTCGTGAAATCGTAAGCGCCGGATTCCTTACCGGCGAACCCGGTTTGTTAAACGAGTAACGTTAATGCCAAGATCAAGTAACCAAGCAAAACAATGGTATATGAATCCAGGCGTCCAGCTGTGAGGCTCGGGAATGACGCTAGAAGAAGAAAAAATCTATTCTTCACAACGTGCGTGTGAAAAATGTGGCTTGTTTTTCTATTCTACGACCAATTGTGTCATTGATGTTGAATAACTCGACAGCGTTTGGGTTTTTTTTTCTTCCAAGTTTGTTTCGCTAAGTCGAAGCTAGCAAAACATGCTGGTTTGAAGTGAGGCTGCAGACGCCACTGCACCGTTACAATCGAGACGGACCTGTTTTTCTCCTCCTTCTCCCCTGAGCGGGGTCGCGATCGGACGCCGTAGGATAATGAGATATAAAGCCGGCGAAGGTTGGTTTTTTTCCTCTTCTTAACGCGCGTAACTGTAATTGGCGCACGTCGGTAAACGTTGAACAAGTCGCTCTTCGGTTATCGGATGCTGTGATTTTTTTTTTTTGTAACCAACGACGACCCCGCGAGCCCGCGGCGAACTTTCCCCTTGCCTCAGCCGGTTCGGCCGTAACTAACGTTAGCCAAGTTAGCTAACGGCGTGTCGGCTGCCCGCAGCAAAACTCGCCGGCTAATTTAACGTTAGCTTAATTTGGGCGAGGCTGACGCAACGAGATTTACTTAAAACTGGCGCTGCCCGAAACGACGGGCAGCGGCTGCGCGGCTCTCTTGTTTGTTTGCGAGCTATTTATTTGGTGAAGCCCGCGGTGGGGAGGAATTCAAACTATGCGCACAACAGCAGCTAACACTAGCGGAGCAGAAGAAAACGAAGCCCATTCGAAAAAACGAGCAACGAGCCATTACGCAATGTGTGATGCCTTTTTTTTCTCTTCAGGCAGAAAGTGAATGCTTCTGTCGCGAGTGGTTATCTGCAACGGTTTAGTGCTTCCCAAAGCGTGCCGAGATGTGAGGCTATTGTTCAATAAAAATGAATGAAACCGCTTGATTCCCCTGACGGTAAACAGCCTAAAAAAAAACAATTAAGGCCAGCGAGGACTCGGAGACGCGTTCAGGGTCTCACGGCGAGGATGACGTTACAGTTCAAACGGCGGGGGTTTGCCGCGCATCTGATATCTTACTCAAACCAGTCTTTTTTAGGCCTTGCTAAGAAGTACATTAACCCACGTTGTAGCTTTTCCCTTTCCACGTACCTCCCGAGTCTTAACGGGTATTTGTTTTTTTTAGGGGGGGGGGGGGGTTGTTTCTTAAGTTATGATCCAGTGGGTTTTTTTAGTGGGTGTGACAAACTCCTCAAGCAGCTTTGCAGACGTTCAGCATCATTCACAAATTACTTTGAACTGTTGTTGTTTTTTTCTCCACATTTTTATGAAATAAACCCATTTTAAGTGAAATGTTCAGGCCATGTTTCATATATAAGTATGTAATCTTAGTTTGTTTGCTGCCCTTCATATTTTCCATGTTCGTGGAAAATGTAAAATATAGTTACTTACGTGTTCATCAGTTAGCTTCTGATGAGTTTATCAAGTAAATCTATTACTAATGTGTCACACGTGTGCACAGGGGGAGCACCAATATAATAGGGCCGATAAGGAGGCAAAGATGTTCATGTGTGTCACCATCACCGGTCCCAGGAGAAACTACAGTTGGGAAAATTGTGTCATCAATGTGGCAGAGGAAACCTACTCAAACCAAAAGTTCAAAGTGTGTGCTGCTTTTGCCACGTTTGCGATCGAGCTTGATTGCGTATCACAGCCGTTGGGGTACGTCGCACGTTGTTTTTTGTGGCATTGGTAGTGACGTGACGTTCCGCTCCGCTGTCAGAGACCGATCACTTACTTGCGTTCTCCTCTTGCTGAAAGGGGCAGATGGATGGTGAGGCTTGTTGTTGAGTGTCTGGCATCCAGCCAGACGCTCTGCATGCATTATTTCCCGCTCGCCCTTTCTCGGTAAATCGCTCGTAAGTAAGCGCAAAGTTATCATTTGGGGCGCTTAACGTAAGGAGATGGGTGTTTCATTCAACTACCGTCAATTGGGCCGTGTTTTTGCAGCAGTAAAGTTTTTAGGAAGTTCAGTATGCTGCTGTTTACAGAAAGGCAACTTATTAATAAGATGCCCATCGGCCTTTCTGTTCTTGTGGTTCTTGTCAAGGGTTTTTAAATGATCCATATTGTTGTGTAAATGAGCTTGAATAATGCTCCAAGTACAGCTGCCGTCCCCTCCCTGTTTCTGATAAATGTGCAGTGCAATATATTGAAAATATAGTAATAAGAACAAAAACATTGAATGAACTGCTATAACAGAAAAAATATTTCTATATAAATGCCGAAAAGAAAACAACATTCAACAGGTGCAACACATTATTCTGTAAATGTAAGTTCATTGACTCATCCGAATTTAATACCACTTCCCCTTACACAACACTTCAAAACACGGGAGCATAGTTTAAAAATAGCCGGGGTGATGCACCTTGCAGTTGGCAGCCATTTTGTTGATTTGTTGGCGTGTATCTGCTTCGTCACCCGGATCCCGGAACATGTTCACCTTAATGAAAACCGACTGCATTCCAATCAGTTGGCAGAGACGCCTGTGCTTTTATTGCCAGAATGTCCGCTCGCGCAAATGCGCATTCGCCTTCAGAATGTCGCAATTGCGCCGTTGGCGGCCATTGTGGTGATTGTGATGGCCGAGCCACACAGCACAGATTCAAAGACCACTCACTGGGCTGTTTTTGTCACTGGTTAAGCAGGCAAAGCGTCAACGGATAACGGATCTTTTTCTATGCTGCGCACCACACACGAGCTACATTAAGCATACCTACGTTCTAGTGCGTTCGCAAGACGGACAACTCAGTGAGCGGCTTCAAAAAGGCCCGTAACATTCTTTCACATGATGCAGTCCGAAGCCATTTGAAAGAATTGACGCATAAAAGTCCGATCAGAACTGAAAATACCTCTATGTACAGTCTGCAGCATCAGCAAGCAGGACACAGAATCCCTGCCGTAATTGTGACGCTTTAGAGGCTACGAAAATAAATCCCGAACGATGACAAACATTACAGAATCTGTGTTTTGTAGGAACTTGTGTCAACTCGGCCCTCTGGGTAGCAGCCAAGCATTTCATAAATTACTAAACAAGTGAAGAACCTCCTAGAACGAAAACTCAGAAACTAGCAGAGTTAGAATACCAGAAAGAGAGAAGGAAAAAAAACATGTTTTTTGTTTTTGCTGCAATGTGCGATTTCTTTTTATCCCTTTCACTTTCTGTTCATCAATTATAGTTTTGTTTTGTTAAAGAAAAGGAGGGATTTCGGTAAGCAGCTGTAGAGTGTGACATAAAGGCTTGACGAAAGACGTAATCTGACTCAGACCATGAGCTCAATTCAAGGCTACAGTGGCCCATGGAGCCATCCGGGCACTCCCTCCATTTTGATGTTATTTATGAGGGAGCAGCCCCGCTTGTCGGAGCCCATTTGTGTCAAAATGGTCAGAGCTGCATGAAGGCACAGCAGCTTACAGGCCCTGCACCTCTGTATAGAGGCAGGCCGTCTGCAGTGGCCGTGTCTGCTGCCATCGAGCTTCACAAAGAGGGTTCCCGGCTGGTATCCCCCCCCCCCGCCCCCCCACCCCGGCCCTCCCTGCAGGCCCACCTGGTGTGCCAGCGGACGGGTTTGCATTGGCATGATGATGACTAATCCTGGAAGGTGGCAAGCGTGAGCAGGTGCTCGGACAAATGGATCGGTGGGCTTAGCGGCATTCTCCACAAGTTTCCCAGGTCCCATCGCGAACGAGGGGAATGGCGGTAGTGTGCGTGGAAAAACAATGCCGCCGCCCCCCCCGTCTCATGAATAGATGAGCTAAATCAATGAAGATGAGCATACAAAGATCCCCCGCTGAGGCATCACTGCTCAGATTTGTGTCTCTCACAATGGGCTGGACGACATAAGGAGGACACTGTGCGGTTCATTTTTCTTTTCTGTGCCCTGCCACAGCTCCTTTTCTGGGCCGGCCCTCTGCGATGGATGACTGAGCCTCAAAGGGAAAGGTCAAGCATTTCACCGTGCCCTTTCCCTGCTGCGGTTTCACGACACGTTCGTCCTGACTGCGTCCGCTTACCGGAACAACTAGCGTTGACTTTGATTTATTATTTATGTTTTGAGACGGTGAAGAAGTGGAAATGCTGTCTTTACCAGGTCCAACCAGGGAGTTCACCCTCAAGGAATGTGAACTGTTGTGCACATATCTTCCTGCTGGTTGTGTTTACTACTCTATCTAAATCTACATGTTAGCAGACACACAATTCTAAACTTGATCAGAGCTGAAATGACCAAAGCTGACAAAAGCCACTGTTTTTTGTTTGTCTAGTGTATTGGCCTGTATTTTAGTGTTTTTATTTATTGTTTTTTCTCCACTGTGGCTGCTAGCTGAGCTCCTTAGCTAATGGCCCGCTCCTCTGAGCACTGGACTCTGCTTTGCCTCTAATTTGGTACGCCTGCTTTGCAGTCACATGCTCGCCACCGCCATGATGGGATCATTTTTCATCCCGTGTATTTGGATTCTTTTGTACGAGTGTCATGCTGCGTCCACCTCATTAATGGCGGATGCTGTGCTCGTTCTGTCTTCTGTAACGTCCCGTTAACCGTTTTTGGTCTTAGAACTGGTCTAAAAAAAAATTACCTTTTTATTATTTATTGAATTCTCACGCAGGCTTTGGGATGGCAGCGGGGTATTCCATCTGTTTTGAAATCACAATCCTCAATATTGACGTGTGTGTGTTGGTTTCATCAGCAGGCCAACGAAGCCCTCCACCACCAGCACCATGTGGCCCAGAACAACCTGCTGCCACTGCTTAACGCGGGAGCCGAACAAATCGACCAGAAGCCCATCCTGCCCATCCACATAGACCACAAGCCCCCCACCAGCGCCGCGGATCTCCTCAAAGACAATGTGGCCAGCGGGGGAGGCGGGCGCCCGCCGATGCCTGTGATCAAGAAGGAGCACAAGGGCAAAACGCCGTTTGTCTGCGGCTACTGCAACAAGGCCTTCCGCGACAGCTACCACCTGCGGCGCCACGAGTCCAGCCACACCGGCATCAAAATGGTGTCGCGGCCGAAGAAGACGACGACCCAGGCGGCCCCGACCATGGTGCCCATGATATCGACCATGTCGCGGGAGAACAACGGCCACCCTTCCTACATCTCCACGGTGGCGGGCATCCTCTCCACGGCGACCACCTCCGTCTCCTCGGGCACGAGCATCATGACGTCGTCCGCCATGGGCAACGTGCAGCAGCAGAACGCACCGAAGAAACCCGCCAAGCCCGTCAAGAAAAACCACGGGTGCGAGATGTGCGGCAAGGCCTTTCGAGACGTCTACCACCTGAACCGCCACAAGCTGTCCCATTCGGACGAGAAGCCCTTCGAGTGCCCCATCTGCCAGCAGCGCTTCAAAAGGAAGGACCGCATGACCTACCACGTCCGCTCGCACGACGGGGGGGTCCACAAGCCCTACGTTTGTTCGGTGTGTGGGAAAGGCTTCTCCAGGTAAGGAGCGCACTCTGTGGCCTTTCGGTTGTTTTGCTCTCAAGTTGAGAACGGCCACTTGCAGTATTTCTGTAGGCAAAGCTAATGAGAAGCAAGCAGTCGTATTGGAAGAGGGTTTTTACTTCCAGAAAAAAATGTCTGTACCAAAAGTGGAAAAGAAAGGCTGAAATATATTGCATGTCAAATGTGAAGATATTCCTACTTAATGTCGCCAGAGAGACTTTTCATAGGGAGTCAGGCGAACGAAGCCCGAGCAGTGCTGGCAAACGATTTTGTGGAGAGATAACATTACCCGTTTCAAATGTCCTTGTGCATTCCTCATATAGCTCCTGAGGCGGTGGAATAGGCTGTTGTGTTCCCTCTAACACTAGCAACATCATGTATAAACATAAACCTGCACGACACTGCCTATTAACAGGCATTTGATGTGGAATTTCTGTTTTGTTTTTTTTAAACATCCTCTAAAATGTTATTGGATAGCTATAAAAAGAATTCCGAGAAGACTGAAGCAATTACCTTTTTATTCACCGCCGTTATCGAACTACCTGCGTAAACCTGCCTCTTGAGACGGGCCCTGCAGCGGAGGACGTGTTTGCAAGACTAGTTCATTAATATGCTTCCATTTACAAAGTAAGATGGCTGTAAGAAAAAGGAAGTATGCCTCTGACATCTAATTCATTAGATTCATCTCACCCTCAAACAGATCCTTTCCCGGGTCAAAGGGGAACATCTTGGCTTGTCTGCGTGGAAAAAAAAAAAGAAAGAAAAAAAAGAAGTAATAAATAACACAAGGATAAATATTTTCTAACAAGCACACTTTTTTTGACCGGTTTAAGATGACCTCGTGTTTTCATCGATCTGCTTTTCTGTTTATTGCTTATAGACTTGTCTGTTGGGATTATTCAGTTGCACCATGATGTCGTATTATTTTAAGGCCGTGCATCGTCAATGAAGCTTCAAGCGGGCTGTTTTTTTTTTCTTTTAATGATCAGGCAGGATGGATTTGTACTGGTATTGACCCCCGCCATTTCAACCACATGTTTAAGCAGTCGCACATGGGAGAGCCCCAGTTGTGGATTAACAGGGGGAGGGGTGGAGGCGTCACTTGTCACTTTGCGGTTCCCGCCAGCGTGTCACAGGCTCCGTTTCCCCCGGGAAATCAGTGAACTATGCGATAATGTCCAGGGCAACGTATGCACCGTGTAGGGAACCAGTGTTTGGTTCAAGAAAGCCTCTTGTTACCTCACCATTTCAATTCATTAACACACGCGCGCTCTTATTCAACATGCTACGATATGTAACCCGGCAACGAGTGGGCAGAGAATATCTATGCAAGTCGATATTCTCTGCCCAGTTTGTTGCTTGATGTCTGAGTTTGTTGCTTTAACCTCCCCAAGCCAAGCTGTAACATTAGCGCGGCGGAGGACGGTTTCAGGCAGGCCTCCAGCACGGTGACGTGGGGTCGGGATTCATCAGCATACCGGAAAGTGAGAATGGGGACTGAATAACAGGGCACTGAGTCCGTGCCACTCAGCTACACACGCACTGTCTGGAGAGCGCTCTCCTTGTCAGCCGCCAAAAATAAATAAACGAGCGGAGAAAAGAATCCGGTTCATAGAGCCACAGAGAAGATTCCCCTTGACTCCTCAATTGTATTCAACAACAACGGCAACAAAATCCAGCAGCGAGAAGCTTTCCTGTTTGGGCTGCTAGTTTGTAGCCCTTACTCACTACAGTATGGCACTTCTAACATGATTCAGCACCGAGCTCCATGAGAACTAACAAGCTGACAGAGGAGGATCAGTGCCAAGACACGTTTGTGAATTCACTGTAAAGGTCATGAGGGATAGAGCTGTTTTCTAGCAACTGCTGATGGGCACTGAGCATTGAATTATGCTGTGGAATACTGACATTTGGACTTCAACAGCTCTATTGGTATTGTGTGTGTGTGTGTGTGTGTGTGTGTGTGTGTGTGTTCCTTAAAAGAATGTCATCGGTAGTAATTAAACATCACCTGTGAGGTTGTTTATCAGCCATGTTATTCATACACAGAGCATGTGGATGTTTTTGTGAAAGAATTAAACAAATGATAAAAGTCAAATTTTATGAAACTCAAGTCTTCTAATATCGCTATAGGTACAATCAAGGCTGCAAGAATATAAACTGAATAAATATACATTCTATTATTTTGACTTATTCTGAAATAAGTGGAAAATCTGGCGTCTGTGTGTGGTGCGTTTTGGAAACTAGGTCAAACTGATTCACGCATGATTGATCATAGTGAATTAAACGCTGTTGACTGAACTCTTGGGTTTTCTTTTTGTGCACATCACCTCATTACCAGAGCAAACAGAGCACGTCCATAAGCTTCCAACGCGTGGAAAAGATGTAAACTCCCCTTTGCTTTCAAATTGTACATCTGGCCTATATTACAACGGTCTAAACGATTATCTATATCAAATAACAAATGCAGTTAATGCAAAGTTACTGAAATAACTAACCAAATAGTCAACCAACTGGCCGGTAGCTTATACTTGTGTTGTAATTAGGAAGCACAGCATTGTTGCATCTGCAGCAACGACATTGCATACTCTTAAATAGAGGTTTCATACGTAGTTAATGCGTTTAAAGCTCAATGGATTCTCCTATTCTCAAATTGTATCATTAATCAATCTAAATTGGCATTTTTAACAGTAGATTTTTCTGGAAGTGGAAACACTGCGCTTCAAAGAGTGTAAGGAATTCAAAACCCCATGCTGTGTATCTCATCTACAACCCACAGAGCTCACGGAGTCCTTTTCAAAGCTGAAATGTTTTTTTTCTTCTTTTTTTCATTTCATTGAATCCAGGCCAGACCACTTGAGCTGCCACGTGAAGCATGTGCATTCCTCAGAAAGACCATTTAAGTGTCAAGTAACGGTAAGAGCCGTTTCTGTGCTCCACTGGGCGAGTATTACTGTCGTTGTTGCGTTACTCCGCTGACCTTTGACCGCCCCTCTTGCAGGCCTGCACCTCTGCTTTCGCCACCAAAGACCGACTGCGTTCCCACATGATCAGGCACGAGGGCAAGGTCACCTGCAGCATCTGTGGGAAGATGCTCAGCGCAGCCTACATCACCAGCCACTTGAAGACTCACGGACAGACCAACTTCAACTCCTGTAACAAAGGTCAGCAGCCTGCACACCCCCCCCCCCATCCCCCTCGCCACAACAGCGAGGTGTTCATCAGAAATCTGGAACAATCTTAAATCGTTTGGATCAAATAGAATGGCAGTTGACCTGCTGGATAGGAAGGAAATAAAACAGTCTGACCGCGCCTGACCATGTGTTGCATGAAAAAAGACTAGATAGGCTACAACAACTTCAAGCACTGGTTTGATTATTTGCTGTTTCATGCTAAGGCAAAGTTCCATGTTTACCACATCACAGCTCGTTCAATGTCGGTACTGTAAAACTTCAATTAATGTTAATAATATTTGTCTCAATCACTGAATGAAGATAACGGAATGACGTCCCAATCACTTTTTTTTATAAAATGATCTTGGTCTTGGCCATTAGTTAATTTACTTATTTTTGTGTAGGTAATATGTTTTAAACTAAAATAAATTACCTGTACAAGTAGTTATATCTTGTTGGATAAATTTGTCCAGTTATTGACGTGCCTAATGCGCAACCAGATATTCAAATATGTGTTTTTTTTTAAGCGAATATTCGAACGTCATTTTATATCAAATATAAGACTCTCCAGTTTAATTTCACTATATCGATATCGGTTGCCGAAGTTAAATACACTTTTGATCGTGTGTGTGTGTGTTTCTTTCTTTCTCTCCCGGTGGCTAACCGAGTCTGCAATTCCTCCTCAGCTACGCCTGTGACCATTTCTGCCCCCATCACCTCGGCGATGAACCGGTGCCACATCAACAACCCTGTCACCATAGCCGCACAAATGAACATTGGCACTAACACGGTGAACATCACATCTAACATCAGCCTCCAGCACCCGGTCACCATCACCGGGTCGGTCAACATCCCTTCTTCGGCGGGCATGAATATCGCCCACCCGGTCGCCATAACGACCACCATGCCAATGAACATGGCCGGTCCGCTAAACATCGCTATGAGGTCAATGGATAGCATGCCTTTTCTGTCCCAAGTCTTGCCTTCTTCCCCACCGTGGTAAAAAAAAAGAAAGACAGAAAGGTGTGAGAGAGAAAGAAAGAGAGAGAGAGATATTGGCCAGCGAGAAAGGGAAAAAAAAAAGACTCCTGTCCTCATTATTTGCACCTCAAGCTCGTCTTTCTCCCCCTGAACCATGTTTACTTACCCTGGGGTGAACATTTCCATGAGCTGCGCCGCCAGTAGGAGCTCCCCGAGTCACAGCTGCGTCCCAACTAATGTTACGTAACCGACATGAGAGGCAGAACACTTGAGTAGGAAATCGAGTAGGATTTACCGTGAAATCACGACAGCCGCCGTAAGACGTAGTGTAGTCAGTTAGTGATGAAACTGTGATTTGTGTGATGACAGAGGAGGGGGGACGACCCGTGAGGACTCTGGAAAACACACCTGTGCTTTTTGTAAAAGGGAGATGAGAAACAGACTGAAGCAATAACGGTAAATTGCTGTTTTAGATGTTTTACAAGTTCTCTCCCAAAGTCTCTCGGTGTTACTTTATATTTTATTTTATTATTATAGACTGCTAATCACTATTTAATGTTATAGGAAATGAGTCTAGAAAAAGGGACAGCAGCTTCATCTGCATTGAAGACTTTTTTTTTTTTTACAGTGCTATAGCTCTTTCTCTTCTCAGATAGTAGGTATGCTCTCAAGGTACAGTGACTAACCTGTACAGTTGACATAGTAATGTATTTTCATGCCAGCGTTTTTAATTTTTAACTTTTGTCATTCATGTCCCGTCAACGATGACACATTTGGACTTTGTTTTCTGTCTGTATCGAAAGACAGAGGTTCGTTTTCATTCGCCTGTTGGTAGTCTTCGTTTTCGGGATTAAACACGTCTTGCACTGACAGCATATCCTACATCAAGGTAAGCAGCAGTATTATCAAAGATCAAGCTGGAGTCTTAAGTGTTGGCCCGGTTGGCCCGCCTGCACCCAGAGGGCGACGGAGTGGCTAAGCGAGCAGAATCCTGCGGTGAAGCTTTTTCAGGCTGTTGCTGTCATCGTCTCCATGGTGACTGACTCCTCTGTACACTGTCGTTTTTAAATTTGTTTTTTAATCATTTCTCTGTGAACGCCCCACATGGATGCTAAGGACCCTTCACTCAGGAAACACACGTAAAAGCCTGTTGGAAATTTGGTTTCTTTCATTCATTTCTACCATGTATCTTGATTTTTTTTCCTGTTATAATTTGCTCAGTTGCGTTAAAAGACTTCCATCACGGACAACAAGTCCAAGGACTATTCATTTTAAACATAGCCGTCCATTTAAATCCTTTTTTACTGTGCAATGGCATACACGCTGTACCGTTTCCTTTTTGAAGTAAAGTTCAGTAATGTGGCGGAGAGTTTAATGAAATGCAAGTTTGTGTTCATAAAATTATTGGGACATAATTGATGTTGCATGAGCCCAAACACTGTAGCTGTTGAACATGAACTATTTTTAATGAATGCCATGTTATTTCAACAGTGCTGATGTTGATTCAGTTCATACTGAAAAATGCAATATGCATGTTTCTCATTTTTTGTTTTAAACAAAATGTTAGTGTAGCTTCTTTTTTTTGTTACGCATTTACGTAGATACACTCTGATAGCCTGTTTGCCAAATTTGATACAATAATAATGTGATAAAACTGAACTTTTCTGGTGGAATTGAACATCTCTTTATTTTTTAGGAAAAGAAAAAAATTGGAGATTCCAGGACCCTTGTGAAAGCAGTTGAATGTATATCTTTGTACAAAACTATTTTAGTTCCGAGGCTATGGTAGAAACAATAGATGTGAAAGATAACCTTTTTTTTTTTTTTTTACAAATCTTTTGTATTAGAACATTAACCATAGTAATTTTGTATATACGAGAGGCTAGGCTTACCGATTAGCAGAAAGGTCAAACATTCCTACATTATTTTTTTTTTTAAATGTATGTTTGTCAAATTATTAAAAAAAACATGCGCAATGTTATGTGCCTTTTATTTGGGTTGTCTAAATAAAAGAAAACTATCAAATGTGTATAGTTTATCACTGCTCGTCTCTTTGGCAGAAGATTTCCAGAAACTATGAGCTTCAGCGTATGTACGCGCTGCCTGTTATTTGTACATTATGACTATACATATTCCCAATCGTGATCCAAACACGTGGCTAGTTTTTAGAGTTGCCTTCCACGCTGCAACTTCTTTTGACTTCTTTTCCTGCAAAATAAAAATCAACCCTTTTTATATGAACTAGTGCATTCAGAACACGCAAACTCGAGTTTGCAACGGATTGATAAAAAAGGGAACCGTCCTTATGTTAACGACCGGTGTGTATTTAAATTGGCTCGAGGTGAGACAGAATACCAACTAGCCATCCCATCGCTGAGACATGACTGCACAAAGGTAGGGATGGGAGACCACGGAGGAGGAGCGACCAATAACAAAGACCCTGGGTTTTAAGTCCAGGGGATGTTTCTAGCACCATCCACTTCCAGTCGGTAGGTGGGGCGGTCTTGGGTGACCTTCTCAGGGGGGCCACCTCTCTGACTAGCAAGTGCTCCACGCAGATCCAGGAGGGGCTGGCCATCAGACTTTAAAAAAGTGGGACCAATCAACTGATGTGTGTAATAATACAGTCACACGCTCAAACTATTTCTGTTGAACTAGTCATTTGTCTTTTGAACGTTTGCTGATGATACTCCTTTACTTAAGTGGAAATGTTTTTGAATGCAGGACATTTATGGATCTTTATTTTTACCACGTCTCCGTGTGCACTTTACCCTTTGCTGCTGTAATCCTCTGAGTCTAAGTCTTCGCAGCAGGATTCAGAACGGATTATCTCATCTTATTACCTCCAATTGAAGGTATTTCTACTTTACCGTGTACATCCTCTCTTCAATACTATTGCCTCTAAATATGATAACAAGACCATCAGCTATTTCAACGTAGTTATTCTAAAATTGTCTTCATCGGTGGCACAGGCCAGGATTCTGTGCCAGATCATGCGTGGGCCTCTAGCTGGGCCTCAGGCAGCGAGCAGCCTCCTGTGGAAAGATCCGGCTTCGCTGTGCCCTTCACTCTGCAGGTGGAGCTCTGGCAGCTGGAGGAGAGCTCAGGGCCCCCGGCAGTGACTCCACCTCCAGCCAGGAGAAGGGCTCTGCCTCAGTGCTCCGCCTGTCCCCTTTGGTTGGAGGGGGGGGCAACACGGACACCATTGCTGGGACTCTCTGAAGGAGATGCAAGCAGGGGAGAACCAGCACTGTCAGACCCTTCTGCAGTGAAAATGAGAAATGCTCTGGAACAGACGTTCCCACAGGCACCGCTACGATCAGCACAAAATGGCATCCTCAAAGTAGCTTTAGGTTAAAGACCAGAATGCGTCCCCCACCACCGTGTTTGTTGTGAGTGACCTAAAGGACTGCGACATTGGACCTCTTAGTTCCTTGTTTATAGTGTTTAGGGTGGCAGAAACGCTGCCAACTCTACGCTGTGCCAGACTGGGATACAAATACCTGCCGTTAGCTTGAATAAGTCTTGTCCCACACTCATCGAGTTCTAATTCCCACCCGCATTACTGCCCCTGTCATTTATCAGTCCTAAGCATCCGTGTAAATCCCTGGAGGGAAGTTGTTTCTGAGATGGTGGGGCCACCCTCATCCGACACAGACGATCACGCCACATTCAGAGTCCCTGAGGTCCCGCGGCTCACCTACTGTTTGATCAAAACCCGTTGAACCCTGTGAGCTGCCTGCATGTTCACTGGGCTGCATCCAAACAGCAAAGCCACTGAAATGGGTAACGCCTTCAACCCAACATGGGTTCTGTTGGAGGCTTTCAGGTCGACGCGACACAAAGATTATTTAATTTGACTGAATATGTTTTCATTTTACATCATCATTTTAAAGAATTCAAGTCTAGTCATTTTCTGGTCTTATTTCTACATTTCTAATCTGCACTAATGTGTGAATTTAAGAAAAACAATTGTAAATTGCATTTAAGGCACTCTTGCCGGCTGAATAAGACTTTCCCAGCAGATGGTGCTGTCTATGCATATTTCACTGTTGTATTGTTTTATTCCAGTTGTATCCAGCCCTCGTTAACTGGTCCCCAGTGCGGCCCGATTGATGTACGATAGCAGCCACTTTACTTACTTAATGGAAAAGTTTCAATTTTATCCATCCTGGTCCTTATATTCTATTCAACTGACAAGTTTTTAAAAAATACATAAAACTGTATCTGATGGTGAACATTTTATGGTTGACCAGCTTGATACCTGTGTGATGTAACATTTTACCAAGAAGTGTGCTGAGGCAATTGTGTAGCATTCATTCAAAAATCAGCAATGTAAACATCTTTTATTTTGCTCTTACTGTAAGTAGTCTACGATCTAGTCAAACGTTACCGCTACTCCACTCGTGCTCCTGAGGAACTGAAGCCACCTGTAGTTTGCCCTCTTTGTTGCCTGCTCTGCTTGCATGAATGCAGTTAAAGTAGTGAATGTTAGAGGAGTGCCAGTCCCTTAATGAGAGACAACTTCTCTGGCTACTCTCTGGTGCAGCTACAGTCAGTTTACAGGAGGCTCGTATTCCCTGTTTTCAGATTGTTTGTAATCACAATAAAAAATAGAAAATAAAGATCTTTCTGGATTGTCATCAAAAGGGCTTAGGATGGAGTCCAATAAGATATGATGAACCATATCGGTAAGATGGTTCTACATATTCTTCATATGGTTCTTTAGGATATTAAAGTGTTCTTAATTCATGTTTAAGTTGCTGAATGGTGGGGGATGGAGAAGAAGACACCTCTGTGCCATGATCTGTGTTAGCTCGTTAGCTACCAGTTGACACACACACACACACACACACACACACACACACACACACAGACACGCACACAGACACGCACACACACAGACATATAAATATACTGTACATACATATACATTGAATAATTTACGTCTTTTCAAACCAGTAACCCCCAACTAACAGCGGTCGGTCTCAGTGATTTAAGCTATTGGTTATTACAGGTAGTTCCAAGTATTACAAGTATTTTTTGTCATGTCACAGTCATCTTATCCGTCTGAATAAGCTAACAGGACGGGGGGGGGGTCTTTAGCGCAGTGAAGCGCGGGTGTGAAAGGGAAGGGGAGGTAGATGGTGAGGTAGAATGGAGTGGGAGATGCAGGAAGGTGTTCTTACTGGTGTGCAGTCTCAGGCACGTTGATGTTGACGTCCTTGGTTGATGGTTGATGGTTCGAGTCCAGGCTGCCCCATGTTCCACCTAACCCCTAGTTGCTCCCTGGGCAAAAATGTGAAAAGGCCATGGGTTTAAAGTGTAATATAAGTCGCTTTGGATAAAAGCGTCTGCTGAATGACATGTAATGTTCTCAAGGACTGTTTTGTCGTCCTAAAATCTTGGATCCTGGTCATAAGGATCTGATCTCCTTTGGCGATGGTATCCTCCATCTCTTGGATCTTTGAGATCAGGCACAACTCAGTTAAATAGCTGGTAGCGACCACCCACGTGATGGGTCTTCTCTCGGCTCTTTTGTAAAGCAGCCAGAGAATCCCTCTCGGCCTTCAGCAGTTTGTGTTCTACTTCCAACTGGTGGACGCTGGTCAAACGTTGGTGGAGTGTAACCCTGTTACTTCAGACTCCAAGGACTCTAGTTGGTAATCCAGTTCTTTGAATATCTTTTCCTCCAGATCGTCATATTTCTGACATCCCTAATATATATATATATATATATTAGTCTAGATCAATCGCAATTAAAAGTTAGTTTTTTGTGTATGCATGTATTTTAAACACTCATCATCATCATCTTGGAGGCAGATTGAACGAGCGACTCTCTTTGCTGTGCTCTCAACTCTTCATCGTTCGACGGCTGTGTTTGAAGTGCCAACAATCTCCCAACATTTAGCCAGGATGTTTTCCAAACCACTGTCTTTTAGGGACACAGTGGTGGTACTCTGCAGGGTAAGTGTTGAGATGCATGTAGCCGAGCAGCTACCAACATGTTCCGGGCACTATCAGCCCAAAAGTGGTCCGTTTGCCCCTCATCACCCTTCAGTTTGGCTCACTAACAATATTTAAATCATTTCTGTCACAGGAATTGAATGTCCATCCATCCATCTTCAACCGCTTATCCGGGGTCGGGTGTCCCGGGCAACAGTTCCAGCAGGGGACCCCAAACTTCCCTTTCCCGGGCCACATCTACCAGCTCTGGCTGGGGGGTCCCAAGGCGTTCCCTGGCCAGTGCAGATATATAATCTCTCCACCTAGTTCTGCATCTCCCCCGGGGCCTCTTCTCAGCTGGCCGTGCCTGGAACACCCCCCTAGGGAGGCGCCCAGGGGGCATTCTCACCAGATGCCCAAACCACCTCAACTGGCTCTTTTCAACCCAAAGGAGCAGCGGCTCGACTACGAGCTCCTCACGGATGGCTGAGTTTCTCACTGCATCTCTAAGGGAGATGCCAGCGGACCTCCTGAGGAAACCCATTTTGGCCGCTTTGTACCCGTGACCTAATTCTTTCGGTCACCACCCATCCTTTGTGACCATAGGTGAGGGTATAAACAAAGATGGATCGGTAGATTGAGAGCTTTGCCTTCAGGCTCAACTCTCTTTTCGTTACAACGGGGCGCGTCGGCAAGCTGTCAAGAGTGCCTATCTTAACATACTACTCGTGCAAATCTAGTATTTTATATATATATATATATATATATATTTTTTTTTGCAGAAACTTTTTGTCGCCTCCCCGTTGCACATTATTAACGACAGAACAAAATGATCCACAAGTAGCCCGGAAGAGGGGGGGGGCACTGTTTTTTCACCTTTGTGTGACCTGCAATATAGGATAAGACAGATGGATGGTATGAGACCAGCTTAAATACGAAGGCCTTATTATGCAAGGTTTCACTAACAAAGCTCTGACCTGGGTGTACTATTTAGCAACAATCTAATCTGTTTGGTGCAGAATTGGTTAATGACAGCAACAATAAACAATTTTCTGCCAAGTATAGGTTTGTCTTTTGCACAGTTGGACTTTTACAGAGTAAAAGCATTGCATTGTTTTAACCAGATGGTTGTACAATTTATTTATTTTTGTCTGATGGAGCAATCTGGTTTACTTAAAAGTGATATCAATTTTTTACTTGATTATTTTAAAAGCCTAGGTGGAGGAGTCACAGTCTCACAAGTCAAAATATACAATTTTGAAAACCACTGAAAATGTTAGAGAACCTCTGCGTTAGACTGATTTACTATTGAGTTGGTCTCACGGTATTTACACAATTTCAGCTGATTAGAGGTCAATATAAGGTCTCTACTTCCTCCGTTTGGTTTTTGCCCTGATCTCCACATGTTCCAAAGCTGATGGATAGACTTCTGCATGTCTGGCCAGGAAGATACAGTATCATTTACCCTGCAATAAGAAAGCCGGTGAGAAAGAGAGATAGACAGATGGAGAGGAGGAACACAAGGCTCTATGAGAAGTGACTCACGTTCCATTGTATAATCAGGGTATATTAAAAGGAAGGAACATCACACCCTCATTGCAGCAATGAGCCATGTGTACTGTTGCCTCATGGTAGTGGAAACCATGCGCACACCTCCCACCCCCATGATATGCACTGTGCTCATATGAGGACAAACTGTGTACCTTGCTCTTGAAGTTGCAACAAGTACCATCGCTGACGAGCTTCCTTAAAGACATCGCTGTTTTTTCATGGTCGCCTGCACGCTCTTACCCTGGCTTCATTGCGTTTGGTGTGAAAATAATAAGAGCACGAGTGGGAGGATGAAGCGATCGGTTGAAATTCGACCGTCTTATTTGTAACTCTTGAGACTTCCACAGAGCGAGAGTACATAACCTCAACAACACACGGATACATGTACTACGAGAGGTATATGGCTCCACACCAAACATCACAGCGTTGAGGAAAGTGCAGGGTCTGCATCTAAATGCAAACCATGTACATTGAACTGCACGCAAGCAGAATGTCCACTATGTGGACTTGGACTGGCAGATGGGCAGAGGGGGCGGAACACTGATCACAGACCGATTTCCAACAATAAAATACAAGCAGCCCGCATGCGGCTCGCTAAAATCTGTTGCACTGCTGTAGGCCTTGTGGTGCATTTCTTTACAACCCAACCGAAAGAAATACAGCTGTGCTCCATGGTGCTGTGGGCGAGGTGAAAGGTGGTCATTATTCTTGGGGCCCAAGAATTGCACTGCCTCCTTGAACCGCCTCCCACTTGTTTAATTGTTCTGTACACACGCGCACATACAGAGCGAGAGAGAGAGAGAGAGAGAGAGAGAGAGAGAGAGAGAGAGAGAGAGAGAGAGAAATAGGAAAAAGCTGCAGGTGTGACATTAACAATGCTCAGGCGTAATGTAACAGTGAGCCAGTGTATACAGTGGAAAATCGCTAAATGCAATTCAATTTAAGTCAGGTGTCGACACCTTTGACTTAAAAAAAGAAAGAAAATAGATAGAAAAGTAATTCAGCAACCGTTGATTTAAATAATAATAATAGTTTCACTCCTTTGCTGCTCCTGTTGCAAGAAGCCCGAATAGTTCATAAACATGAATAATTCAATCAAAATAGTGTAACATGATGGAAACGAACCACAGCTCTTAGATTGAAAGCCGCTATAATCAATGCTATTATGCGCGTGCTTTTCCAGCCGCCTCGTGCGGCCACCAAACACTTTCCCGTCTAATAATACAAATCAAATTCCCTTCAAAGAATAATTAGTAAGCGAGTGTGCGCGCGCAGCACTGGTCTCTCTTCCTCATTTGCATGCGGGTGAGCACGCGAAACGAGAAGGGGGTGGGGGAGGTTGGAAGGGCGAGAGGTGGTGTAGCGTGCGAGTGCGGTTTATCGTAAGCCCGGCTGACTTCATTTCCCAGAGTGCCTCGCGCCCCGTGATCATCCCAACAGCTGACAGACGGTGGAAGCCTCTGCCACAGAGAGAGAGACAGAGTTAGAGAGAGAGAGAGAGAGAGAGAGAGAGAGAGAGAGAGAGAGTAGCCCGTCGTCGGTAGCCTGTACGCACCGAGAACACAAGTCGAGCACTCCCGGACTTCGGACCGCTCCGCCCCCATTTTTTATCCCGCGAGCGTGTTGCTTTGACTGCACACACCAAAAGAAAAATAGTTCCTCTTGCATCCTGGACTTTTTTTTTCCTGACCGAGAGAGAGAGAGAGAGAGAGAGAGAGAGAGAGAGAGAGAGAGAGAGAGAGAGAGAGAGAGAGAGGGAGGGAGGGGGAGAGAAAGAGAAAGAGGGGGGCATTTGCTGTCAGCTAACTTCCACAATAGGTCGCTGCGTCGCTGGACTGCTGCATGCATTTTTTTCTTCTTCTTTTCTTGTTCATTTTTTATTTCAGCTTAAGACTTTGACTCCAGCCCTCCCAGCCGTGCCCGATGCTGAGGAATGGATAGTGCGTCTGCTAAAGGTGCGAAGATGGTCGAGAGTGATGAGCAGCCGGAGAGGGACAGCGGCGGCGGTGGCGCAGCGATGGCCGCGCTACATCAGTGCGAACTCATCCAGAATATGATTGAAATCTCCATCCCCAGTCTGCAGGGACTACGGACCAAATGCGCCGCGTCCAACGACCTCACTCAGCAAGAAATACGCACTTTGGAGGTAACGAGCTTTCCTGATATACACGCCAAAGCCCCCCCGCTCGTCCTGCGATAGCGGAGCAGGCGAGTCAAATTGCAGAGTCATAAAGCCCCGACGCACCATGTCCGCCTTAACGCACCACGTCCGCCCCGACGCACCATGTCCGCCTTAACGCACCACGTCCGCCCCGACGCACCATGTCCGCCTTAACGCACCACGTCCGCCCCGACGCACCATGTCCGCCTTAACGCACCACGTCCGCCCCGACGCACCATGTCCGCCTTAACGCACCACGTCCGCCCCGACGCACCATGTCCGCCTCGCACGGGCACAACCCTGCCTGCTACTGTCTGCGAGCTGTGCACATTGTGTTTCGCTGCACAAGGCAGACTCGGTCGATGCGTCGAGGGTGCAGGTGGCTCAACAAAAAAAAAAAAAATGACACCCCGTCGTTGCCCTCGTTCTGCCCACAGATGCTCCCCTGAACCTGTCGGAGAGATGGGAGCGATCCGGTTATTCGCGCGACCGCCTTTTTTCTCTCCAGTTTGGCAGTTCACGGCGCCGCGCTGCCAAATGTCGCCTGGCCTAATGGCACGCATTCAATAATGTGCTGCACCGCTCGGCCCCAATGTATGTTACCGCGTTCCCTTACCGCGCGGGATGACTCTCGCGTGCGCGCACAAAAGACGCGCGTGAGACGAACACAAAGCAAAAAAATGTACATGTTCTGCGTTGTTGTTGTTGTTGTTGTTTTCTCGCGTACCGGGCGTTAGCGGGCAGGGTTTGATGCCCCCCCACCCCCTTGATGCCCCCCCCGCGCATCTGGATGCGGATCCAGTGCCAGTTGTGTTGGCATCTCTTGGCGCAGGAGACCATGGCTAAGTACGGCCGCCTCGGCACTGTTGCAGGCGGCGTGATATAGAAATTCGTGCCCGGTCCCGTGCCATTTCACTCTTTATAGCCATTTCAACCACCGCCGTCGGTATTTCAGATACATACTATAATTAGTATTCTGTATGTAATCACACCTGCATCGTCGGTGCCTTTTTTGTATATGTAAAGCGTGTTCAAAATGGTCACTCCTACGTCGTTATTCTGTGGTGTTGGGGGGGTCAGTTGTTTGTCGGTGCCTGCAGGTTTTCCCACCCCATGGGATGTTTACCGTCACATACTGTTGTCGTAAATATATTCGCAGCCCCGAGACGACTGGAGGAATCATGTCACGGAAAGTGCAGCTCGGTGTCTCCAGAAACAATGCCATGAGGGGACATCAGGCCACGGCTTCCTGCACAGCGGGACAGGGAGGGGTGATGGGAACAGGGGGTTCACGTGAGGCTGTAAAAGCCACAGTTACAGCACACTTCCACAGAGAAGTGGAGTTGGGGGAAATAGTGGAATAGTACGAGGTTAATTTCTACAACTCGCCTATGTGCTCCAGACATACTGACATCCTCGAGACATGATAGATGGTAAAAGGGTTTTCTGGCTCATGGTTTATTTAAGCGTTATACCTTGGATAAAAGCACACATTCACTCCTGATTGGCTGCAGGCTATCAATTATCCATGCCTGTTTTATTCCTGTATAACCGAACACCCCCCTGAACAATTGCGCCGTCCCCCACGAAAAACTAATGTAGCATAAAGCTCAGAGAGTTTAGTTTCGGCCACACGGGGAAACGGTGGGTCGGCCGGACGGATCTGCTATCCGCCAGGACGCACCACAAAAGTTCAACTAAAGTCAGTGTTTTTAGGGGCCGTTTAAAAAATATTTATATTAATAAAATCCACATGATAATTTGGCAGCTCCTTAGTCGGCCCCGGCAGGCATAAGCTGCAAGTTGGCCCGCTGTGTGGGAACACATTTTCACACGCTCAAGTAAAGAAACAATGAATGTTATGTAATGCAATGTTCACAAAGTGCAGTCCCCTTTGCTGCCCGTCCCTGCTCTGCAGAAGCTTCAAACTCTTCCGCATGCGCTCTGCGTCACCGCGTGGAACAGGACGTGATCAGGCAAAGTACTTCCTGAGGTCTTTCTACGTGTGTTTGACACCTGCATTGTTCTACACGCCGATGGAGGAGGTCGTGCATGTGTCTCGGAGGCTATTGCGAACTGCTCTGAAACCTCTGTTCTGTAGTTTGATGCCTTTGTGAGGTGGGGGGGCGGGGGACAGAGGGGGGGGGGGGGGTGTGTTCCCCTCAAAAGACAGAAATGCAAATAGGGGATCTGGTTGCCTTTTAAGTTGGCTCTGGTTTAGCGAGGTTTGGTATCCTTGAAATTTGGGTATTGAATTTCGACCACTTCCTGCAGTTGAGATGTTGAGAACCTGAAACGGCTCTGAAACGTTTTTTTTTTTGCTGCTGTATGAAAGATGCTTTCATTGATTTTAACTATTTTCAATGGTTTGTGCTATTTCAAAGCATATATGTAACTTGTGCTGTTTGGAGTGTTCCAAAGTCTATATCGTAACATTGAGTTCCATCGTCCTGTCTGAGAAGTGGCAAATGTCAAGAGCTTTACAAACGTCCCTTGAACTGATTATTTGTCGTCGTGGATACGTTGAATTATTGATTCTTTTGCAAGGTCTGAATTGAATTTCTTTTCACGTTGTCGGTTCCAGTTGTGACGTGTAAATTACATCATTGTTTCCCAACAATGTTTTACTGTCACACTGCGCTTTCTTATTTTCTTTTTTTCTCCCTCCGATTGTCTGCTAGATACTGAGTGAGTGGATAAATACCCTTCATTGATTCAGAAACACTTAATCATCAAACCAGAAGATTCTTGGAAAGTTCTTTCCAGTCATTTAAACAAGGGGAGAAGTCACAACACTTTAGACAAAGAGTTTGGATTTGAAAGAAAGCAGCCGAGAGGAGAGTTGTGAAAACGTCTTGTAGAATGTGCACAGCTCCTAAGATGAAGTTGCAATACATCCGTTGTCTATTGTTGAGTGCATTCAAACCGTTGTGACATTTTAAAGCAAAGTTTTAGAAATGTGGTCAAGTCGGCCCGAGCGGCTTCATAGCTGCTGTTCTTTAGCTGTCTGTGACCTTTGAAGCCCCGTGTGAGGGGACACGAGACGAGAGAATCTCTCAGTTCACAACAGTAGTTTATTCATAAGGCAACGCACAGTTTTATTTGGCTAGCTCGTAGAATACATTTTATGAATTAGCACAAATGAGTTTAAGCGCACTAAAAAGCTGCTGATTACTGATCTGGCTGTAAGAGTCAAGTATTCGTCACTATTACAGAGTTTTTTTAATTGGAGCTTGCTTTGTTTGGGGCGCTGTCTTGATCGGCAGTCTTACTTCCCATGTCTTTACTGGCACACCACTCTGAAACCACGTCCCCACATCGTTTTGCACTTTCACTTCTTGCCACAGCCCTCCTTCAGCAGATTCTGTTTAGAATTTAATCAAAGATTCAGGACGACTTCATACACCCCGATACCAACGCGGTTCCAAATCCCGGCCCACGCGCCAGGTGTCGATGAGAAATCACCACCGTTGTGCCCGACCTTCGACCCGACCCCCGTGAGCGGTGTCCGACGGCCCTCTCAAAACTCCACGCCTGCACTCGCTGCTGAGCTCACTCACCTTTGTCCAGTTGATCTCGCGTAGACCGTTCTGCAGCGGCCCAGACGTGAAGGGTGGCGTTCCGTCTAGCGCTTCATGCCCCGTGGGGTCGACCTCGTCGTCGCAAAACGTTGCGCAGGCTCCCATACCGCTCTGGAGGGCCATCGAGAGGGGCTTGAACTCACTTTATACTCTCATTCAGAGAGCTTTATTATTCCACTTGAACTGTGTATGTGTGTGTGTGTGTGTTGTTTTTTCTCTCTTGCCTCGCCAGTGAGAGGATAATGATGCTGGCCTCTTAAATGGAGTGCTAACTGGTACTGGTTCACATGTTTAATCCCACTCAGGCTCCCGTGCTGCCTCTGCGTTACTTTTACTGCTCTTCATGTGATCCTGACTTTTGCCTTTTCTCACCCACTTGCAGCGCCCCTGCAGCTTGTCTTAAGCTTTCAGACGCTGAACTCAAGGCATCCTGTTAACAGTAAAATGTGCTGGATTTATCTCACAAACTTAAATTAAGTGCGGCTGATTTTATTCGTGGTTGTCGGTCTTAAAATAAAAGCGACGCAGGGGTCTTCATTTCTTCTAATCACTGCTCTCGGTAACCGCCAGCAACGGCAAAGCGTCACTCTGTTTTGTGTCCTCGCTGTATTGGAGAGAGTTTTCTATGCGCTCGTGGTGCGAGCTGTTGTGGCTGCATCTATATTTAGACATCTTTCTTCCTACGCATTTTCAGGGTTGGTTGTTAAATAAGAAAATCAGATGACGCTCAAAGAGCCTGTGAAAGAGGGGAGAACAAGGAGGAAAGGGGAGGAGAGAATCAAAGCCAATCCGCTGGGCTGCTTCTTGTGACATGACAACGTGTGTGTGTGTGTGTGTGTGTGTGTGTGTGTGTGTGTGTGTGTGTGTGTGAGGCCTGGGAGAAGACAATGGAGAATGTTGCTCGCAGGAGGGTACAGAGGAAACACAACTCAAGCGACTGGCAACGGCGACCACGTCTCAGTTTTCTTTTTTTTTCTTTTTCTTTGTGGTGCAGTCTAAAGGAAGGAGCAGCATGATGTGGAAATCAGCATGTTTGAAGAGTGCAGGCCGGCCGTATATTCTATTCTTTATCTAACTCAGGATGAGTTGCACTACATCCTGTCATTCTGAGGTCCGCTGCACTTCCTTTCTGGAAAAGGGGCAGTTTGCTTGCTCCAAATGAAGTGAGGAAGTGAGGTTGATGGCTGGTTTTAAATGGTCACGTCAGAGCACTGCGCAGGACTCAATTTTGTGTCATTTTTGTACTCGTTTTCAGTTGTCCATTGTTTTTTCCAGTTGCTTTGCAAATTGGTACTTTGGTATCTCTTGAAATGTAGAAAATGGCCACTGACACCATATGTCAGAGTGGCACATGTATCTATCTGTCAGATATGTCCCAGTGTTGGCCTAAAGAACCCCCCCCTCCTCCCCCAGGTTAGCCCAGGCAAGGATAGGGGGCAACTTGCACTTGGAGTAACAATGATGGAGGAGGGGGAGCAAGGCATTGTTCAGTGCTGTCAAACATGGAAACCCCCCACCCCAACAACGCCACCACTTTTAGAAGTCCCTGGGAACTGGCCGCTGTATAACTTCGCCTGCCTGCCTTGAGTGTGCTTCTGCCTTTTGACACGTTCATTGTTGCATTTCTTTTTCATTTCTGCGGATAAAATTGTCCATCAGCCATAAAACATCAAGGCGCTTACCACAGACCCGCTACTCGTTGGACCCAGTGACAAAGCGGGCCGTTTAGAACCGAAAGCAGCCTTGAATTTGCATCATCTTGCAGCTCCAGTGCGATCGTGTTGCTGCTGTCGCATTCCATGCTGAATTTGAATGACCGAAGCGGCAACATGTAAAGACAGAGGGGCCTACAGGCTAAAACCACCCAAAAATGTAGGAATATATATATATATATATATATATATATATACAGTACATATGCCTGGCTTTTCTCCAACTGCATTTATTGCAAATGTTTGTCCGATACATCTAATAATTAGTGAGTCTTGCTCAGCCCTTTAATGATCAATAGCTAACATGACACCAGGCGTGGAACCGCCTCCCTGCTGTGAGTGTTTCCAGTCTGGGAGAAAGCAGCCGACCTTCCTGTGCAAATATCAATTGCCGGGATGGAGCCTTGTGGCTCAGTTCTCAGATGCTCTCCTCCGCAGGTGCGGCAAAAGAGGCCGTGTCAGCGAGAGCCTTGACCAAACAATCGGAGCCACGGGATCTGCTCCTCCAAGCCGGCAGCGTCAGGGAAGGCTGCTGCTGGGACACCTCTCCCCTCTCTGGGTGGCCCAAACACTGTCTGTCACTCTTCTCCTCGCCGCATTAGGCCGTAACCATGGTGTTGTTTAGCGCTGCCACTGACAGGTGGGCTCTGACGCCATCCCCCCTCCCCCTCCTCCTCCTGCTGCTCCTGCTCCTCCCACCTCCAGGCCACGCGTCAAACGCTGCGTCCTCCACTCTGCACCAAAAATATATTCCAGAGAGGTCTGTCGTTATCTGCCGAGACGCCTGACTGTATGTGTTCTCAGCGCGCATTACTGGCATCTTTGCGGGGTTTAGGGACGTGTGTGCGTGTGCGCTTGTGTAACTCTATCCACCTTATTTGTTGAGGGTGGTGATCGGTAACGCGAAAGCTCGAAGATTCGAACACGTCAGTCGTGTTTTGCCGCTGCCACAGGTTTTGGCCCGCGGAGACACTCTGTGACATTTGAATACGCAGATGTATTGTTTCTAATCTTCTGTGTTTTGCATGTGTGGGAAAATCCCACTGAAATGTTGCTGACGACTCAGAAGAGGGGTTGCTAGGTAACCTGACGTCACTGGGTTGCTCTGGTGTGCAGCGGGGGCAAAGCAGGAAGCTAGCTCGTTAGCCACATCGAGTACAGGCCTCTCACTGCGGGCCATGCTGCTGGTGCACATCTCCAGGAGCACTGCATTCCAAATGTCTGCTTGTCATGGACCGGATAGAAAACGCTTCCATGTGTGCGCTCATGGATACGTCTTTACAGCCAGAGATGTGGATCAATGACATTGTAATGAGATACGAGTTCACTCTTCCTAAAGGAAATTGCTGTGCCAATTTTGCAATTTACATTAAGGGGAAATCTGCTTTTCTTATTTTTTCGCATTTATTTTTAAAGCACTTTTTTTGTCATCAGCTGGCGTTAAAAAACGCAAGCTGTTTTATTATTTTATAATACTATCGAGTGCAACTGATAATGGCTGAGTACCTTTGGTGCTAAAAAGCTGCATCAGAATCAAGAGCATTTTACTTTACTCTCTTTCATCTCTGTGGCCCTCAGTAGAGATACTTTTGTTATCCGCCACGCAGCGGCCTTTTTTTCACATCCCAAGGCCGCACTTTCTGGCGGCAGCTTGGCTGCGTGAGTTTCTGTCTGGGCTGGATGAGCAGAGAAAAAGACTCCCTCTTTGCTGCTCATTCTCTTGTAGGGGTGGCCGGGGGGGTCAAGAGCAGGCTGGTGTTGCACGGTTCTTTCCGAAGGCGCTGCCCGCTGTAATGGACTCTCGCAGATAAGGCCGACAGATAAGGAGACACAGTATACGTCTGCACTGAACTGCACAACGCGGGGCCGCTGCAAACCAACACCACGATACCCACTCACAAGACCACTGCACCTGAGATGGGCTTTGGAAAAAGCATTGGCGTTTGGTCTTGCACCTCCATAGGAGCCCTGGGTCGGGGGGCGGGGGGGGCTGGTATTGTTAAAAGTGGTGCGTCATGAGACACTAGAGTAAAGGTCTTCACCGGGGCTTAAGTGATTAATGTGATGATTAGCAGACGACCACCTCGAGAAGAGGACGGTTGAGTGCGTGAGGGGAGGGAGCAGGGGGGGGGGGGCGTCAGTAAGCCACTACCCTCGAGTGACGGGCGGGCGCTTCGTTCCCCTTTATTCACTCCCGTGCTCCAACGGCATGTCTCTTCATCGGAGACGCTGGCGATGCTTGAGGCGATGCTTTATGTGACTTCTACTGGCGTGCATACACATGAGCTGGAGGATTGTAACCATGTTTTCAAAGAGAAGGTGATGGGGGGGGGATGAGAAAGGACAGTGCCTCTGAATTGAACTGGAAAATTGACCGGCCGTATGGCACTTTCTGCCGTTCTGTCACTGAGCTGTGTCTTTGTTCCAAATTCACTCGGTTGCACCGCAGATGCTCCTATGACCGCCCCCGTTGTTCCTGTATATGATAATGGCTGTTTATATCTGATTAACTGATTAACTAGGGGCACTGGAAAATCCGCTTAATCAAACTGCAAATTGGAAGAAAGCAAAACTGTACAAAATGATAGAATGTAAGTCGCTTCTATAGCATCAAGTACTGGACTACTTACTTACAATGACCCAATGATTAAAAACAAAGCACCCAAACTGCATCATTGTCTGTCTCATCTCACGCTATGCCAACACAGACGGATGACAACGAGAACTCGCCCTTTAGCCGCCGCTCTCAGCACGCTCCCCTGTAACGCGCCCCTCCCGTCTGCGCTGTGTTCTCTATTGCTCCCTGCAGGTGAAGCTGATGAAATACATCTGTAAGCAGCTGCAGTGCAAGCAGAAAGTGCCCGAAACAGAGAGGCCCGAGGCCCTCGACAGCTACCCGCACCTACGAGATTGGCTGCGCACCATCAACCTGCGACCGGAGCTCATCGAGGTATCTCGTTGCTCTGTGTGAATATCACTCTGCCTGTCCGTCTCGTTTGTTTGTGTCACATTTATGTGGATTTCAGTTTGTGTACTCAGTCCCTGCTCACATGAGCATGAGGAATACTTGACCGGTCACCATCAAAATGTCTTTCTAAAAGAGGAGCTATGTCATTTTCATGACCATCGTTATTAAGCTGCAGACAGTGGCAACAAATCCAAACATGAACGGAATAATACGTATTTCTTCTGTTAAATAATATGGCGAGGGCAAGGAATGCTCCCTATAGCTCAAATAAACTTCTAGTTCCTAACCTACTGCAATTAATGTCTGTGTCATAATGGCGAGAGAGATGACTGCTTTTTATTTAAGTGTGTGAGGAATTTCTCTAAAAAATCTCACATATATTTTGAAAAAGGATTTTGACTCATTTTCAGTTTCATTCTTAAACCCTGGCTACCGATGCCAAATCTTTGCATGTAATTGAGGATGTTGATGAGAGGGAAGAGGAGCTATTTCTACAGATTGGTGGTCATAAAATGACTACTAATGTTGTCTATTGTAAAAGTGACTACCCTGTTAGGAGTCAGCTTGCATGGAAGTATGTCACGGTGGACTTGTAAGAGTTGACTTTTCAGATTAAGAGCCTGAGTTGTGTTCCCCCCGTGCAGGACCCGGACTCATCCTAACGAGAGACATTTTCATTACCATCAATACATCTGATTAGAATTCTAAACATACAAAAAATTTGCTATGACTATTGAAGTTATTATTGCATTGCACTAAATGTTGTCATGCCTACATCCTTAAAATGCATAATTTCCCCATTCCGTAAATTCGGCGTGATTCTCATTTCACCGCAGGGTTTGTTTGATTTTGTTGTAACTTCGTCCCCTTCCGCTCAGCTCCCCTTCCTGTGCTGCTGTGAACTATTTGAATCCCTCTCATCTACTGTAATGTTTGCATTGTTATTGTCTGTTTGTCTTTGTTTAGTGACCTAACTGTAACCTGCTTATCGTAAATCCTTCGTGGACTTGTTATTCTTTAATATGGCCCAAGCTTGGGCCCACTTTTTGTTTAGCTTTGCTGCCTTCTGATTATTAAAAACAACTCGAGCTGAAGTGTAGACTCAATAAACACGGGATGTTAATTAATGTGTGCACATACAAATAATACTGTGTCAAGGAGGCCTCAGTGCAGCAAGTACGTGTGCAAGCTGTGTGCGGCTCCCGGTTATTAATTGTTATGTTACCGTGATTGTGTCGGTGGGGGAGCGGCGGGTTCCGCAGCCACTTCTGAATATCAGATCCCTCGCCCTCGCGTGTGTGCGTCCTGCATGCGGGTGATTCCTTTTGCTTACAGTGAACACACGAGGGGGGGGGGGCTGCCCTAGTTATCTCGGAGCAAAGGGTTTAACCAGACTGATAAGCGTGTGCGTCCTTCCCATGTCCAAAAAACATCCTCAACTCACTTTCTCCCGTTTCCTCCTGTGATCCAAGAAACACTTTGTGCTTGGCTATTAATATCTATTAATCTATCTATATCTGTACTATCTACAAATGGAGGTTGGGGCTACGCCAATAAATGTTATCTCATGTATGGCATATTAGCCAGGGATTTTAATACAGGTCCTTTCATCAGGCCCCTAACTAAATGATCTTTTTCTCTTTTCTTTATTGAAAATTACAGATATACAAAGTTGGTATTACTGTTTATTCCAACCATGAATTTGTTGCTATTTTATTAATGTATCTCATTTAGGGTTTTGAGTGTTTTACGGTCTGCCAGTGCCAATACATTTTACATACGTTTTTTAAAATCATACCCTCTACCCCATATGAGTGACCAAAAGGTTTATTTACATTCTAATGTCTAGTTTGACAAGCTGCCTACTAGAAGTCGGTGTTTGCATGACCATGATGACGGTGGTTTGGGGGGAGGGGGGTTATTGCCTTGTATTGATTCAAAATCCTAGCATGTTATCCTCGTCGTGTCTGAATGTTGTTTCTTCATTTGTAGCCCAGCAGCGACACAATGTTTTGTTGAGTGTTTTGCTGTCAAAGTTTCCTCCACCTCTGGACATTGATCCATTGATCGCTCTGTCTCGGACGCGGCTTCACTGCACCCATTGCACCCATTGCATCGTGCTAGTTACGATAGACCGGGTGAACAGCAGAATTAAATAAAAAAAGTATTGCTTGGCCTTGATCCCTTCTACTAATATCTACTGATACAGGCAGTAAAATATCTCCGCAGCGTTGAAAAATCTGCCCAATAAGTAGAAGAAGCTGCATTAAAATGCCCCTAACATACAGGATTACAACTGATTTCCAGGAACCGAGCAATTCAGGGGGCGTTGGACCTATTTAACGCTGTAAAATGCTGCCCTTTTCTGAAGCTGACTTCCAGCCTGTTAATGTTGACGTACTATGAACAACTAGATCCTCCTGTGACACAAATTTCCCCAGTTTTTATAACGTCCACACTGGTGGTCTTTGGTTTTGGATGGAGGAGACGGCTAACATGAATCTTCTTCCTACAATCGCTCCTCTGCAGGCTGTTGCAGCAAAGTTGTCGCTGGATGCCTTACTGCAGATGTCAGGTGCTCAGGTGAGAGACACCATGAGGAGACTAGGGTCCAGTTCTGAAGAATGTGCCCGTCTCAGTGCTGCCCTCTCCTGTCTGAAGAGTGTCACTGAATCAGGTTTGTCTTCACTCCACCTGAGCCTCCAAGATATGCTATTATATATTATATTCTTTTTCCTACCGATGGTGTTTTTCTGTGCTCTCTCGCCCGTCCAGGAGGGGAACTGAGGGAGGAAGGCAGCCCCTGGCTGTCTGAGCCCACACGGAGGGACAGTGGCTCTCTGCTGACTTCAGATCAGCTGACCGGCTTCGGGACTCCACTCCGCCCTCACAGCCCGTCGCCCCTCGCCCGTCCGTCTGCCATCCACTCCACCCCGTCGACCCCCTGCGCTACCTTCCCTCATCCCCGCTCGGGCTCGGTATCAGCGGCGCCCACGCCCGAGGCCCTCGCGTCGTACTGCGAGAGCCCCCTCACGGACCCGTTCCCGCTGTCCTTCTCCCACGCTGCCCGGCTCCACGGACACACATCCACCCCGCCCGTCACTCCACCCTCCAAGAGGCGGCATCAACTGAAGCCCCCCTGCACCCCTCCGCCCCCGTCCCGCAAAGTGATGCATCTCCTTCCCAATATCACCCTGACGCGCAGCAAGAGCCACGAGTCCCAGCTGGGAAACCGCATCGAGGACCCGCCTACCAACAAGTATATATATTCAGTATTCATTTCTTTTTTTTGTGTTATAATTCTTCACAATTTACAGAAAACTTGATATAATTGTTGGAAATTTCTTTTTCGCTACAACTTTCTGTCTTGCCGTCCTTGTCCCTAGCTATTCTACTGCATTGAGAAAGTCATGCAAAATAAGGAAGTCCACTTACTTGTATGCGCATAGATTCTTCCCCAATACCAACGCCACGCTCTCCTCGAGCACAGTGCATAAAGACGGTTAACATGTGAAATTACCTGTCACTTACAATAAGTGCATTTCAACCATAAGGATACAAACCCAGAAGAACAAGAAACAAGAACGTGCAATTTCATCAAATAAAAAAATTGCTATAGATAAGAGCCATTATAAGTACAATTAAAAGTAAAATGCTAATTTGTTTTGTGTTTTTTAGTCAAGGTAAAGTCTGTAGTTTACGGTAGAAGATGTAAAGACCCACAGTGGCGAAGTGAATGCTGTAGCTTAAACCAGCATTGTCACCGTGGCATTAATGCAATTAGGTTACTGTTGTGGCTGCAGGTTTCTTGACGCCCACCGATGAGCTGTTGCAGTTTCTTTGAAAGTATCTTTTGAGTGTCTCATTCTCACCTCTGTCTTGCCCCGCGTCACAACCGAGCTTTCCTCAGATAGACTCGCATTCCCTCCCTCGGCCTCCCCCACATCCTTTCACATCCTGCCTGTTGCTCCTTTGCTCCGGCTGCCTGAGTGGATCTAATCCTCGCACAGATTCCCAGAGATTATTACTCATGTCAAAACAGGAAATATGTCCTAGGACTACTGCTCAGAGGTGGCGGGACAAGTACACAATCTCTCTCTCTCCCTTGTTTTTTCTCCCTTTTCCGATTGAATGCACATACACAAACAAGCCACATGTTTTAGCATAATACCCTGTCTGTTTATGGAACGCTTTAGTAAAAAAAATAAATAACAAATGGCAAAGGCCGAAGTAAACAGGGCTGAAATAGATCCAATACATCACACACACGCACACAGTCTGGCTAGTTTATCCTGGCTTTGTGCACTTTAGCTACATAACAATGGCCGGCGGGAAACGGGTCACAGGTCCAATAGCTGACTGAACAGAAATCTAGATGAAATTAGACAAATGTATTGTTTTTACAGCTATGATTACTCACACGCATGTGCATGTACATAAACCACAGAGCTGGCCTTGCTCCCTGCCTCAGTCTTTGGGCCTTCCGGGTGTTAAAGGTGTCTCCTGGGCCGACGCTATTTGGGTCTTCCAACATGCCTCTCTCTAACTCTTACATACCTTGGGGCCAGTTTTCGCCAGCAAACCGGACCTACTCATACTCCAATTTGTTTCGCTTCTAGGTGTGTGAAAAATAATAAGTTGCTGCTGAATATGCAAGTTAACGGGAACGGATGTGATGACTCGCCGTCTCGTTACCCCGTCATGTCTGCGCGCACCCCTGGAGTCACACCATCTGCCACCACAGTGTCTTACACCCTGCCCGGCACGCCAACCCTCCTGGAAGAGCACAGCAGCATTAGGAGTGAGTCGTGCATATGTGAAATGATACTGGAATGGTTATTCAAAATACTGCAAAACTATAAACAAGCAGATTATTTATTTGTTCTATTTAATTTGGGGGGAAGTTAGCAAAAAGAAAAAAAGAGTAGAACAACATATGCATAAAACCCAAGGAAAATTTGTTTTTTTTCTTTATATGCAATCAGAATATTGGGATCTGCGTTTGCATTAGTCACACCCAAATAATGGCACTATTTGTTTTACAACCTGAATTACAGTCGGCCATGACTTTTTGCATGTTCACAATACTCAAGTGTCAGTGATTGCTGGTCCAAATAAGCAGTGTTTGGAAAAATCACTATTTTACTATTAATTTACTACTATTACTATTACCTCACCTTTTATTATTAGCTCCACCAAGGTAAGGGAATGTTTTCCTTTCTGTGTTGTCAGCAGAATTACGGGGAAAACAATTTTCCTGAAACTTGGTCATGAAACTTTTTTAGATCACGTTGCTTTTTATTAACCGTAATTAGACACCAGTCTTTTTCGACACAACCTAATCATCTCTCTCACTGTCTGTCCCTGGCCAGATAACGTAGCAGGACATCGCAGCTCCCCACAAGCAGTGAGGAGGGACATTGGCTTAGCGGTCACGCACAGGTGCATCTTTCTCTCCCACACATTGTCTTGTATCTTGAGCTTGTATCATAACAAAGCAAACCGGCTAGATTTGTCATTCATGAAACTCTTGCATTGTATAGGTTTTCAACCAAGTCCTGGCTGTCCCAGACATGTCAGGTGTGCCATAAGAACATGATGTTTGGGGTTAAGTGCAAACACTGTCGGTGAGTTTCCGTCTAAAGGGGATGTCACTCGGGTTTTTGTTATTGACTTAGACTGTAGAGCAGTGGGGTGTTAGAGCAGCAATATTTCAGGCAGCATATATTGAAATTCTGCCGACTCTCTGTGCAGGTTAAAGTGCCATAACAAATGTACAAAGGAAGCCCCGTCCTGCAGAATCTCCTTTCTACCAAGTAAGCTTCGTTCTTCCCTCGATCGGCAGCATCTTGCCTCGACATATTGTGAACGTACGTTGTGACATTTCCAATTCCCCCTCTAGTCGCCAAAATTCGGAGGACCGAGTCCGTTCCGTCTGATATAAACAACCCGGTGGACCGGCCGTCAGAATCACCGCAGTTTGGTACACTACCAAAGGCCATCACGAAAAAGGTAAAACATGGCCTGGGAGTTCTGCATTACAGCACACCGTATCACTTCACGTAGACCTTTCCAAAACACGACTGGGTCATTGCGTTTCTACAACTCCGACACCTACGTATAAACTATTTATAAGCCATTAGTATCGGATGCCACGTAAGTGGCATTCGGCCCGAATCCCCATTGTTTCAGCGTCGACTTCTGCAATGTAAAAAATGTCAATTTAACGTCACCTCAAATATCCGCTCTGTCTGCTGTCTGCCTGCCCCCACCAGGATCATCCTCCAGTACTGAACCCACTGGACTCCAGCAGCAATCCGTCCTCCACCACCTCGTCGACGCCCTCCTCCCCCGCGCCCTTCCAGCAGAGCAACCCCCCCAGCGCCACCCCGCCACCCAACCCCTCGCCCAAAGGCCACCGGGACAGCCGCTTCAATTTCCCCGGTGAGCCTCGCAAAAAGCCAGGAAACAGAAACACGGGTGGAAACGCATACATCTAGTATACATCTAGAAACACTGTTTGCTGAAATGTGCGTGCTGACATTGTGCGCTTGATTTGACCTGAATGTACAGATTATTGTCTCTCTATTTCTCTCTCTCTATATGACTAACACTGAAGAACCACTGTGCTTTTTACAACTTCTGTTCAATCATGGATCCTCTAACCGAGACCCTCTCTCCCCCCGCCATGCTTGTCGGCCTTTCCATCTCTCTCTCTCTTTTTTTTTTTTTGTCTTTGCAAAAGCTGCCTGTTACTTTCAACATAGACAGCAGTTTATCTTCCCCGGTGAGTTGACTGACCCAAAATGTCAAATGTGCTATTCTCGTCATTCCGTTTTTCCGAACTTTAGATTCCACGTAGCCGTGTCCCTCACCTGCATGTTCGTTGCAGTCTATCCAACTTCCTTTTGCAAAGGGTCGCATTTAAACAGCATTTAGACGCCATCTGCCGGTGGAAGTGGGAAATTGAATGAGTAGTCGTGTTCTGCATGTGGTGGCTTTCTGAAAGAAAAAAAAGGGGGGGTGGGAATTATGAGATAATTTTTGCTTCTCTCACTTCCTCTACAGACGTCTCCAGTCCTGCTCATTTGCACCCATTTGACGTCCTTCAAGACACTGTGTAAGACATTTTTATTTCAAGTTCACTCGCTCATGACACAGCGGTTTGTTTACTTTGTTTTGCTTCCCTGGGACTTCTCTGTGTCGCAGCAGTGAGATAGAGCAATCGGCAGAGGACCTGCCGGCTGAGCTGGTAGAAGATGAAGATGAAGAGGTAATGTTACCACGTGTTGCCTATGTAGTACACATAGCAAAGCTTTATGTGTGAGGAGCTTCTTCAGAGGCATGTTTCTTAAATGTTTGTGTCGCGTTCTATCGCAGACTAATATTGCCATTTGTCAATGAGTTCATGTTTGAAAGAGAGACTCGGGTGACTTGTATAACCTGTTAATTATGGACAAAGGGTTTATTTTTTTGGGACCAGGTTTGACCTTTTTTCTTTTTACGATGCTGGACCTGTTGTGTTATTAACTTAAACGGGAGAGTCTTGCTGACGTCTTTAGTATGTAAATATATTAGGGATGTCAATGGATTAAAAAATATATGAATTAATCTCTCTCTAAATGAATGAGTAATCAATCACTTCAGACAGCATGTAGTTTAGACGCTGTTATTTAATTGTATTTTTTTTTTAACACAAAACTACACGCATTTGATCTTCTCCACGGCAGAATCGCACCGGGTGGAACATGTATGAACTATGTATGTGCTCCATGTCGCGCCTCTGTTTGTTTTACTTGCAATGCAAAAAGCTCTCTCCATCTTCAGCTACCGTCTCGGTCTCTCCGATCAAACTGACTGCAGGCACGCGGTGGTTTCAGGGGTCAGAGGTGAACGCACACCAGGAAGTCAACAAAGTCGCGTTAACGGCGTTAAAATACTTTTATCTCGGCCACAGTAATAGCATATATATATATATATTATTCTTCCTGTATAATAACAAACAAAGCTGGCTCACAGTGACCAAATGTCTTGACTCATCTTCCATAAGACCAACAAAATAACCATCCAATAGTAAAGCAATTTTCTAATGTCTTCTATTGATATTGACTATTGACTATTGATCCATGAGAGTAATAGGAATAAGCGAGTAAGTCTGCACTGAAGCTCAACGACGCTCTCTTGCAGGAAGGGGAGGAGGAAATAGAGGACGAAGACGAAGACCCCGAAGCGGAGGGCGATAATGAAAACGAGGAGGAGGATGAGGAAGGGGAAGAGGAGGACGAAGAGGAGGACATGAGGATGAACGTGGGCTCCGACGGCGAGTGCGACGATCTGGATGACCTGCCCGGCTCTCGGGGAAACGGCTGGAAAGGTCCCATCTCCCGCAAGGCGAGTCAGACCAGCGTCTACCTGCAGGAGTGGGACATCCCGTATGAGCAGCTGGACCTCGGGGAACTCATAGGGAAGGTGAGGAACTAGATGTCGACGCCATCACATTTTTTTTTGAAAGGCACTGGCGCTGACGTCATCTTTCACAGGGCCGCTGGGGCAGAGTGCACAAGGGGCGGTGGCACGGCGAGGTGGCCATCCGACTCCTCGAGATCGACGGCAACAACCAGGACCATCTGAAGCTCTTCAAGAAGGAGGTGATGAACTACAGACAGACCAGGCACGAGAACGTGGTCCTCTTCATGGGGGCCTGCATGGCTCCGCCCCACCTAGCCATCATCACCAGGTGAGCGACGAGGTGGCGCAAACACACCAAAGGGCTTTGAAACATCGCTTCATCTTTAAATGTTTTCTTCTCTCTGCCCACAGTTTCTGTAAAGGGAGGACATTGTATTCAGTCGTGAGAGACACTAAAAACAAGTTGGATATTAATAAGACGAGACAAATTGCACAGGAGATTGTCAAGGTATTACTTTTTCCCATTGATGCATTTGTAACAATTGAATCCCTTGGAAGTCGTCTTGACACATTCTCATTCAATGATACGGTGGTAGAAAGAATGCAATCCAGTAAGTAAGATATTCGTTTTTCTCTTAACTAACCCTTCTTGTGTTCCGATCCAGGGAATGGGCTATCTGCACGCTAAAGGCATTGTTCACAAAGACTTGAAGTCAAAGAACGTTTTTCATGACACCAACAAAGTCATAATCACAGACTTTGGGCTGTTTGGGATCTCTGGAGTTGTTCAGGAGGGAAGGTGAGAAACGCCACTCTTCACTCCATGCAGCTATTGGGGAGAGCCAGTGATTTGTAATGCAGTCTAAATGACTACATTTAGTTAATGCATTTTCCAATCTGTTTAATGCATCCAGTCAATTTGATTTGTTACTAATGACCTTTTTTTTCCTTCCAGGCGTGAGAACAAACTAAAACTTCCACACGGCTGGATTTGTTATCTCGCACCAGAGATTGTGCGCCGGATGAGCCCCGGTAACAACGAGGACCGCCTCCCTTTTTCCACCGCGGCGGACGTGTACGCCTTTGGGTGAGTTCTGTCGCCCTCGTCTGAGTCTAACTTAAGAGACCAACTGTCACACCTGTTTCACACTGGAAAAAGCTTTAGCACTTAAAGACTAATTACGCCTGTAATTCTTTCCCTTAAAGAACCATTTGGTATGAACTTCAAGCTCGGGACTGGCCAATCACCAACCAGCATGTGGAACCTACCATCTGGCAGGTGGGCAGCGGAGAGGGCATCAAGAAGGTGTTGGCGGAGATCAGTCTGGGCAAGGAGGTCACTGTGAGTTGAAGAAGAAGAAGCACCGATGTGTCATGCAAGCCAAATACACGTGTGTTTCGGGAGCCATTTGATGACTTGGTGCTTCGGAGGTTGGGGAGGGGCTGGGGAATCTTATTAGCTTGATTGACGGCACGGTTGATTCTGAGCGTTTTTTTTTATCGTCGCAGGAGATCCTCTCTGCATGCTGGGCGTACGACCTGAGGGAGAGGCCGACCTTTACCCACCTGGCCGACATGCTAGAGAAGCTGCCCAAACTCAACCGCAGGCTCTCGCACCCCGGACACTTCTGGAAGTCTGCAGAGTAGGTATCCGGAAGGGAACGACGATTGTTGAGACCCTGGATGAGTGAACACAAAATCCAAATAGTCCTCATTGTCTGTCTTCTGGTTCCTTGTGGTACAGTTGCTTTTAGCTTTTATTAATAAATAGGATTTGTGGATTGTCGTATGTGAATGGATGTTTTAATTTATTCGTTGTCACACAGAACTGTCTGACAATTGTCGCGTTTGTGACAGCAAGCTGTATCACAGCGGCGTGAATGTGACGAGACGCATCACAGGCAGTCGCGCTGTCTGATTGGATCTGGTTGTCATGGCAATTTCCAGTCTCCTAAACGAGGCCGGCAGGGCAAGCAAAAACCCGCGGGACACATCCGAGAGGATATAAAATGTGTGTTTGTATTCCTTTTTGTCGCGGTGTGTGTGAAACAACCGTAATTCTGCGAGGAACGGCAGATGGACGAGGTTAACTGTGATCTCTCAGTTAATTAATTTCCATGTTCTCGCTGTGATCTGAGCTACAAATATGAACCTTTTGTGACTTATCTTCTGGAAGCTGAGCGGAGCGTGTGAAGCCACCATATGTATGTGGTGATGCTTTTAAATTTCTGCACCAGAAGGGATTTCATTTTTTTAATATTTTGTTTTTGTTTTTACCCAGATCAGCTTTGCATTCACAGAGACAACTTTATTGCATATTTCCACACTCGTTTCCTGCTTATTTATGATTTGCTAATATTTGCCCCAGGAATGCAAGCTACCGGTAGTAGCGGGCTTCACTATCAATCCCACAGACTGTAGTTAAATGCCTGTTTTCGTTGGCTGGATGATGGGAGGGACATAAGTTTGTTTTCCTTAAAATGAATCAAAATTACCTTTTAAAACAAAATGAATCTTCTGAACTGCTTGTTGATTGAACTCGCAAAGCCTGACTGTTTTTTATGTAGTGATCATCCTCTAACTAATCTACATGTATGTGATATTTTCTGCTTTTCTAATGATGCTTTCTTCACTGTAAAGCTGTGACACCGCTAACCGTCAAACGTTTGTGTTTTCCTTTGCTCTCTTCTCTCATTTCTTTTTATCTCTCTTTCTAATCTAGGTTGTAGCAGCCACTCTGAAACTTAGGCAATGCAAAACAAAAGCCCGGGACTACCTTGCATGCTCTTGTATCCTTAACTCTCACAGGATTGATCAAAGCATTGCTGCTGCCTGCAACAGACGCTGCTTCCACTAATCCGCAGTCTGATCTCGCGCGTCTAACCGCCACGTTTTGTTGTCGGAAAGGGAGGATCGGGGGAGCGAGGTGTGACGGCGGGAGGAGAAGCGGGCGGAGGGTGGGCACAGCTGTTGCCCCTCGCCCGTTCCCTCCTTTTGTCAAACGTCTTTTTTCCTTTTCTCCTTTTTTTTTAAATCTTCTTTTCTGTAACGTTGTGCCGGGGGGGAGGGCGGGGGGGGGGGCTTTTGGAATAACCAGCTTGCGGTGTCCGTGCTGGGACTGAGTGGCGTTCTCTTCCCCCCGTCCTCGGCCTTCTCACCTTCTCTGTGCTGCTGCGTGATGTGGCTCTAGGTGGGGGGGGCGACCACAAGGCTCTTTTTCTCTATATACACTCACACACACAAAAAAAAAAGAATACACTGCTGGACATTAAACGGAACCCACCACAACCGCTTCATTTGTCTGTGTGCGGGGAGGGGAGAGGGGGGAGATTGAGCACTGAGAGACGTTCTCCTACCAACTGCCTCACTGCTCCTCCCTCGATTTTTGACAGCCCTGTAATGGCATGTGCGGAAATTATCATCAGCTCATGTCTAAACACTTTATGCACTTCTTGAATGAGGGAAAAAAACATGAACTGTTTCTGTTGTTTGGTTAGATTTTTTTGAAAAAGTCATATTTGCGGTGTTTTTTCTTTCTTTTTCTTCAGAAGGGACTCCGTGGCTTGGAAAGTGTGATACGCTCACTTGTTTTATGCCTTGTTTGGAGTAACCTGCTGTTTATAAATTGTATTTGAGAAACGGGACACTGCTAAACCACAGCTGAAATAAAAATAAAAAACCACAGATTTATTTCCTTCAATCCACACAGGAATAGAATAAAGCTGGCTAGAAGTCCATCATTTGATGTGGAAAGCGCACCTTATAAGAACGATGAGTTATTTAGAGAGATACTTCGGGTGAGAAGTTGAGTAATTTTCATTTCTGTGAAAAAAAGTATATAAATCAGGAGCCTCGTGCAGAAAGTGTCCTCTATCATCCTAAAACATTACCTCTTGTGCACGCTTGTGTAAGCTGTTTGTGGTTGCTGGCTTCAGTTGGTGTGCTTGTATTTATGTGTTGCGTGTTGGTGTTTGTGTGCGTGGGTGCACGTGCGACTGACGTGAGCGTCATGTGCTGGAAATGGGGGGTTCGTAAAAGACTTTGGTAAATGTTGTGCTGCAAATCCAATGGTATGTAATGTAAATACATTATTTTATGTATAGAAAATGAACATAGTTCTTCTAATATTTGTACAAACCTTTTCTAACTAAGAAAAACATCCCAACGTTTTTTAATAGGTACCGCAATGGCTATTCCAGATGTGCATATATATACATATATATATTTATATTTTTCAGGTATAAAATACTGTACATAGCTGTACTTTTTTTTTTTAATTGGCAAATACATGTTTTTTATGTTGTTGAGAAAATCCATATTTTTGTATTGCATGTGACTACCATTCTGTACACGCTGTTTCTGTTTCCATCCCTGAAAGACAATAAAATGAGGCTTGTCGTGTAACAAGAGATAGAGTCGACAGTTATTGTTGCAATGCGGTTATGGCCTTTCCTTGCAGAGTGAGACAACACTATGAGTGATAAAATTAGTTTTATAGTCTCAGTTCGATTTTAGCCTGGGGAACTACCTCTTTAGCTCTCTCTCTCTCCATGGTTTCTCTTAGATGTCATCTGTCCAATAAAGGTGAAAAAATGCCAATGAATTTTACAAACCGATCAATTTATCCGTATGTCATTTAGAAAAATTGAGAAAAAGCGTATTGTGTTTTTCTGCCTCTCTGGAATGTTTCCTGTAGGTGTGTGAATGGTCGTTTGCCATTGAACCTGTGACCCAGTCTCCTATTTATTGACCCCTAACCTCCCCCCAACCCTCTAAGGATAAGCAGTATAGAAGATGACTGCCTGACACCTTCATCATGCTCAGAATCCCAGTTGGCCTCTAGGTGGCGTAAAGACCCAAGAGAAAGTGACAGTCTTTGTATCCTGAACTTGGCTTTTTTTTTTTTAATCACAACTGGCCTTTGACATCAAGTTTGGTCGGTCGGTCATTGTACATAAGCCATGTTCAGTTGTGAAAGAGCATAATTCTTCTACCATGAAATGCTGACTCAGCATGTGTAAAAATGAGAGAATAGGCCCCGATTCAGGACAAAACTTAGTTTGTACACTGAAATGTAATGCAGTAAAATAAATTGCGGTAAATTACATTTAGGAGGTGATCTGGTTCAGAACGGACATTACCAGTTCCAAGGGTCCATTACGCTCCAAGTCTGGCTTGAATGTTTAACTGTTTAACACATTTATGCTGCAATCCATAGCAAAAGTATGGATTGCTGAAATGGTTGAGGCTTTTACATGCTTCAAAAGATTTTTCTGCATTAATAAAATGACTATCAGCAATGTATAAAACGAGACCTTGAGAGCTATAAAACAGTGATTGGTTGCATCTGAAATGTGGCAATGACTAGTAAAAAAGATGGACCCTTTTCTGCATCCTGGTATCAATCCAACAGAAAATAAAGGACCTTGTATCCTGGCTCATGATGCAATGCAAACCAAAAGCTCTATGACTCCAACTGGTACTGGGTCACATGACCAGCATGTGGTGAAGGGAAATCCATTTTCCTTCCAAGCCAGACAAAGAAGGTCCTTTCCTCCCTGCATTACAATCAAAGCAAAATGTGCGGTTACAGAGTTCTGTGCCTGGCGGTTGACCGGTCTAGAATATTGATTTGTGCAGAACCAATACATTATTCTGCCACACATATTTTCTTCTTCAAACTAACCTCTGCAACCCACAATGCAAGCCAAACTCTAACTCAGTGTCTGAGAGTATTGTCCCCTTTCGGCTGCACTTTGCCTCTCTGCTCATCAGAATCCATGAGGTGCACAGACCGTCGTAAATTGTTACAGAATAATTGCAGTGCTCGAGACAAGGATAGCGGGTGCTGGAGTGATCTTCTGAACAGCACGGCAGTCTGCCAATGTCGTGCGCTGGCGAGTCGCTTCATCAGAACTCGAGTCGACAAGATTCAAATGCGGCTGTCTCCAAATGACACCATCAGTTTCTCAGCCCTCACTGAAACGAAATCAGTCAGTGCCGGGATTGTGATTTCTACCTGCTGGGAAAATATGGGTGGTATACCTAATGATAGGACTCCAACAGATTGAAAAATGCATTGGAGTCACTTCAGCCAACTTTCAGAAAAATAAAGAGAAAATTCCTCTACTGATGAATAAGCACTTTGAAATTAAACTATTCGTGAGAACCAGTGATGACTGTCGAAGGCATGGGTTTCTTTGTGCTGTTTAATTTGCTTTTGTAGAAATAGAAGACCACTTCCGGCGGCCACCAAAAGGTTCAGCAAGTTCAGCAGCCTTTTAGGGTTCAATGCATGCCGAGCGCAGCAACACCTGCATTCTGAAAGGGATTAAATCTGTTCTGGGAAGCATCCATTCAAGGTAGAATGCCTCCACCCATCGACCAGGCCTGACGCGATGCACCCCGTGAGCTATGTTGTACGGGGCATTAGCCCCCAGTAGGGTTTCCCAAGGCGACGGGTCGGGTTCTATGTGGACGGGGAGCCTGGAAATCACACCTCCTGCCGATTACATAGTTGTAGTTCATAGCTGGTAGACTTCAATGCTTACGTGGGCAATAACAGGGAAACCTGGAGAGGTTGGATTGGGGGGAACGGGCCTGCTTAGACTTTGCTAATCATGCTTTCTCCATAACAAACACCATGTTTGAACAAAAGGTGGCTCAAATGTGTACCTGGTACCAAGACCATCTTAGGCCGGAGATGCCTCCTGGATGCCCGTGGAAGAGCCAGGACACGTTGGAGGGATTTTATCTCCCAGCTGGGCTGTGAACGCCTCTGCTCCCTCATGAGCTGGGAAATGTTATAAATGTTATAAATAAATAATCATAATAAATACTAATAAATAATCAGAGGGAAATGGATGGATGGATAGATGGATGAGGTTAGTTTTACTGGGAGAAGTGAAACCAACTTTTAAATGTAATAAAATAGGTCATGGCCAATGAGTGACAACGGTTTCTTTACTCTTTTTAAAACTAAGATGCACGGCGAGCCTTTAGCACAGATGCATCTTTAAATAATCAGGTACTTGACAGATGTCTAGTGACCAGTCACTGCACCAAAGGAAACACCAAAACCACTTCCTTTTCTTGTTATAGGCCAAATAGAGAAGTGAGAATGAGGTAGCGGTTTCAGTGTTCCACTCAATTTTGATTGCCGTCATTCGACATTGCCGGTCGTTTGCTCATCTCACTTTACTCGTGCTACGAACTTCACACACTTGAAACAAAACCTCCTTCTTGGAAATATATCAAGATCTCCAGCAATGTAAGTGATATAAATTGCAACATTTTGTTTTAAACGTGATCATATTATAAGCTTAATTTTTAAGCTATTAAGAACTATATGAAGAAAGAATGCGTGTTAATCATCGGTATTCATAGTCAGGGTTGCATCGTTCTGTCCGGAATCCTGATGATAAAGACGGCCATAATTTTGCCTACTTTAATGTCAATTGCAATACAAGGTTTAAGGGTCATCAACATATTTTTAGTGTGACCATCGTCATGGTAGCTTATGAATTGTAAGCTACATAAAGTTCTAATGACGGAAACGTTACAATAAGTTTTTATTAACCATTTTCTAAACCTCGCTTTAGGGCAGCAGCTGGTCCTGGTGTACGCACGTTGAGCAACGAGACATTTAGACAATACTCAACTCACTGTTATTTTTGTCCATTGTGTAGTCAGAATACTTTTGAAATGGATTTCCAAGAATGGCTTTTAAATACTCTGCGATGGATTCATTTCTGAATCGTTGAAGTTATTTCAGTACTGTGCATGTTGGTGTAGAAGGAAATAATCCATTAAATGAAATAGTTGGTCATGATGAAATTGTTGTACCTTGTTTGCCGACTCAAACTGTGGGAAGTTGGGAATTTAAAGTACCAAAAAATGGAATACAAAAAAATATACCGACCGGACCGGACCTTCTCGACCGGTCCGCAAAATATTGTCTGACACGAAACCGGTCCGTGAGGTAAAAAAGGTTGGGGACCACTGAGCTAGAGCATAAGCACAATGAAAACACACACAGAAAAAGATTTCTGTTACACGGCCCGCATAGATTATTTAAGGTGTTACTGTGTCTGCATTTTCTCCTTATTCCTCTTTTGGTATTACCTTTGTGATCAAAATCTGATTTCAAACTAAAGCGCAATCCTATGTTTTCTCAGACATCAACATGAAAGGAATCCTCTTTGTGTTGTGCTGCATAGAAATACTGGGTGCAGTATTGTGTGGGACCTCTACCATCTCCAATTCAATTGCCGTTTCATCATCCAAAACTTCTCCCGTCTCTACCAGTGGTTCACAGCAGGACTCCAATAATCACAGCACTCCCACCCTCACTCCCACAACCCCCACCAACACAACTTCATCATACTTTTGCAGTCCCCAATGTCATCTAGTGTTTATGGTGGCTGGCGGACTGATTATAGCCTGCACTATCCTGCTGATTTCCACTCTGGTGCTCGCGTGTACAGTGTGTCAGTTGAGCACACACGTCAAGGTGCTGCGCAACAACGCTGACCTGATCAGCAACACTGAATACTGGATGGGAACTGACAAAGAGAGCAAAATCGTGTCCGGGACGGAAGCCAAGGAGACCACCATGTTGATGGTAGACATCGTTGACACACAAGAGGACGTTGCGGAAGAGGAGATGGGGGAGAAGAATGAGGTGGCCAACACTGCTGAGGGCAAGAAAGCTTCCTCTGCACCTGAAACCGCTGCGAAAGGTGCGTCCTCTTCAAGGCCGCCAGAGGAGGCCACTGATCTCCAGTCCGTCAAAGCTGGAGCAGCCCCCTCCGCTGGGTGCAATGAGGAACCAAAAGAGAAGGTGTGAAGATGTGTTTCCTGAGCACCTGTTGTGACCACTCTCTACCTTTGCATACCCTTGGGTTAAAAAAAAAGGAGTTTTTTAAACTGCAGCTTTTGCATTAGAGTAAGTTGAGGGCTGCGCGCGCTGCAAATCGGCAAATCTGGCAATCCGGCAAGCTGTCACTGCTGCTACTGAGCATTTGTAGTTAAAAACAATAGGTTCATACTGTATTTTTTTTCATACATGTTTGACATATAATTGCAACAACCAGAGAAATAAAAGACCTCTAACCTCAGTCCTGACTTTTTTAATTTGCAACATGTGTGTGTGCATGTTGGTATGTGCGTATGCGTGTGTTGCTGACTTACATAGAGGGATGTTTTTGGAAAGTGAGCTCATTTACTGTAAGCTGATCCTCACCTCTTTAAAAGCCCGTTTGAGGTTTAAGATTTCCTTTTTTTTAAAGTTCAGGCGTGTGTTAGTGTGTTAGTGTGTGTGTGTGTGTGTGTGCTGCTTGATCAGCAGGCAGAGAATGCGCCTCCTCCAGGCACTGCCACTCAACTCCCAGAGAACACTCTCTTTCAACTCACCCAGAGCTAACAAAGCCAAACAAAAAAAAAACTTTTCAAAAGCCCAATAGGAGGTTGTTTCCTCCATCTGGTGCAGATATTTGTTCATCCGTTTACTTGTGACGTCATGATGGATGTGCACCCTTCATTAAAACTCTGAATAGTATGTCACTTTCTATGCAACGCTCGTTGCAAGTGGGTTAAAACGCTCTGAGTTGTGGAAGCTCTGGGTCACGTGCGAGCTCAGAAAAAAAGAATAAAAGTCAAAATACTTCTTGATTGTGTATCAGAAGTCCAAGGTATTAAGGTACATGTTAGATCTGAGAGATTTGGATTTTGTGTTTACCTTCTACTGCTCATATAGTAGCACAAGGCATGATGTATAGTGTCTCAGAGGGGAAAACAGGATTTGACTTTGAGTGCTTGCTGTAAGGGGCAGTGAAAGGATACTCATTATTGATGCAGGCTGCTTCAGCAAATATAGGCAGACAAGAGAGGAAAGTACAGAAAGAGGTATTTAAGGAAGTAAGAAGCACACACTGCAAAAAATGATACATGTATACATAATGATATCAATAATTTGCCACATTTTAGACCCTGGTGGCTGTGTCACTTTTGAATTCTTCCATGACGATGTGTGGTCGGAGTACAGCAATGCAGCACCACGGCAAACTGCCTGTATTGCTGATGACAGAGAGGAAGCTGCAGTGGACTAGAGTCCTCTGCAACAAATCTCCGAGGCTTTTTCTATGTGGCAGCTTCTAAATGTACACAGGGATAATAGCAACATACTTAAAGCACCGTGTTACTTTGTGAAGCAATGCTTTAGGGGGGGGGGGGGGGGATAATATTGATTTGGGTGAGAACAGTTTGATTCATTTTGAGTACAAACAGGATTGAAATCCGTCAGTTAATCTAACCACAACAATAGCTGTCGCTTTAAATGCAGTGGTAAATCCTGACCACAGCCGTCTGAGGGATTGAGGAGTTCTCTATGCAGCAGCCTGTGTGCAGGGACCTCTCTGTTTATGTGCTCCATTTCTCCTTAGTTACCCCCCCCTCCCCAATACTCCCGACCAATACCCCACCCCTCCCCACTGCACAGAGCAAATCCACAGCCCGCAGTGCCTGATGCCAGTGCTATCTCAAAGATTCATAAAGGCAATATCAAACTCTCGGCTCTTCGGGCAGGACTAACTGGACGGCAGTGAGGGAAACCTAAAGTAAGCAAGGGTTCTATCAAGGCACTTCAGGCATATAGAAGAAGAAGAAGAAGAAGAAGAAGAAGAAGAAGAAGAAGAAGAAGAAAAAAGCTTTAGCAGAGCAGCAGCTGGTACCGGGCTTGAAAGCAGGAGAGGGGACCGCAGCCGGACGGCGGAAAAAAGAGCAGAGAAAAGTGACTGGAATGATAAGATGAGAAGGTGAGATGAATTTCTTTTCACATACACACACACACACACACACACACATTCTGCCCCACCCTGGCTCACATACAGTACACTGCAGTTTCAGCAGCGCAGAGCTCCTGGCTGTGTCTTTGCCTGCCTTTGCAGCAGCTGATGCATGAGTTCTCTGTGGAGTCATTAGTACAACCCATCTATTGAGCTAGTTTCCCTCCTCTGGGAGCATGGGACTGACTGCTCTGACAACCACTGATGCCAGAGCAGGCAAACTGACTCCAGGGAAGATGACTAGAGGAATTTATCCTCCTTTATTCTTGAATGGACAAGAAATACCCTCTTGCAGATCAGGCCGGATGTTATGGAAAAAGGCTGCATTTTAAACCGCTGCTGTTACAGTATATGTGCAGTATATAGGCAGTATATGTGCCTAAAATAACCCCAAACTTCCATGAATGGTGAGATGACTATTGCATGTAATGTGAATGTGAGAATCTGCAAGCAATGCAGTACAGCGCACACTGAGCTGCTTGTGCAGGTACGTACAGCATGCATGTCTCTGGAGAGGTGTGCGTGTTTCTGTATGAGAACGAATACATTGTATTTAGCACAGCATTTTGCAGTCGCTGCACTTCAATACATTCCCAGTGTTCCATCCAAACACTATGCAGGCGTTATTTCCCAGTGTGGGTCCTGGAGGTGAAGAGGATGCTGTGTGAGACAATCGCTAACATTGTCTTCTTCTGTCCCCCATCTCTCTCGTTCAGCAGGCGTGTGCTGCTGAAGCCGCCCCCAAGCGAGGCCCTTCTGGAACTGCTGCTGGTGCTGCTTCTGGGCTTGCATGTCCTAGCCGTGTGTCCCCACATTTGCTCCTGCAGCCGCACCCACAGGGAGGTGGACTGCTCGTGGAGGGGCCTGAGACAGCTTCCCGACGGCCTGCAGCACAACGTGCGCTCCCTCAACCTGTCCCACAACCGACTCCACGGCCTGGATGGCCAGCTCACCGCACACACCCACCTCCGCTTACTGGATCTGTCTCACAACAGGCTGAGCCACCTACCCGCCGGCTTGCCTCGTTCCCTGTGGCAGCTGTATGCCACCTCCAACCGCCTCCAGCTGCTGGACAAGAACGACACGGTCCACCAGTGGAATCTGCGGCTACTTGACCTCTCGCACAACAAGTTGGAGCGGGCCGTCTTCATCAACAACACCCTGACCAATCTGTGCACGCTCAACTTGAGCCACAATCACTTCTGGACTTTGCCGACAAACATGCCGGCGCACCTGGAGAACATCGACCTGTCACACAACTTGCTGGCGACGGTGCTGCCGGGATCTCTAGACCGGCTCCTCCGTTTATCTCACTTCTATCTGCATGCCAACCGCTTGTCCACGCTGCCATTAGGAGTTTTTGACAGGATGTCGTCTCTTAGGGTCATCACCCTGGGCGACAACCCTTGGGCTTGCCACCTTTATGCCGACATCACCCACTTGCTGTCCTGGACGCAACAGACGCCTGCCCGCGTCCTGGGATGCCCCTGCCACACCCAGCCGGTCTGTGGAGGGGTGCGCCCCGGCAGAACTGGAGGGTGGCACTATGCCTCCTACAACCTGCCCCCTCTTGCAGCAACCGCCCCGGACCTGAGCTCCATGCCGCCTGAGGCCAGTGCCACCGGATGGTGGCACTCGTCTGGTTCGGCGCTAAGAAGCACCCTGGACACCCCAAATGACATCCCCTTACGCACCTCCACCCAGCAAAGCAGAAGCACAGGCACACGGCTAACGACCTATCAGCTCTCTGCATCTGTCAGCCCGCTCCACACGGATTCCACCGACTCGGCCCACGTCACCGACGCATCCCCTTTTCCCGACACGAGTCTCATCTCTGAAAGGCCCGTCAGGGCAGACACGACACCGGCCACAAGTCAGTTCTTCACAACAGAGAGCGCCTCCATCCAGACAAAGAAGACAGCAACTCTCCGCACCAGGAGCGTGAGGAGGAAGAATCAGTCCGTTCCCAGCAGCACCAGCCACGGCGGGCCGGCTCCGCCGACCTTCTGCTCTCAGCCTTTCCTCCACATGCTTCTGACTCTCGTAGTACAACGAGTCCTCTAGAAGACAAATATCCTCTGCCTAAACAAATACAGCACACACGCACAAGCGCTGGCTATTCTAATACTTGTATGTTTGTGTATTACACACTTTTGAGAAAAAAGATAATTTAGAGTTCCATATTTAACAATCCCTGCTATTCTCAGTTTGGTATAATGCTATTTTTTATAATAATTGGCCCAAAAAAAGGATTACCTTTTATAGCAACCTTTTTTACTAGCCTCCAAAAGAAAAAAAAATATATTGTAATGGACATAGCAAAGCACATGGTGGCACTATACATCCAGGTACGATTTTCCTATCTAAATGAATGTAGCATTGTTGCTTATCTGCAACTACGGTCCGTACGATTCAATGATGCCCAGCGCACATTATGAATGCTTTTTTGTTGTTGTTGGAATTTGGCAGATGTTGCTTTGGTCACATTGTGATCATATTTCTTTTTGTATTTCATTGCACTGGCTTTCAACAAAAGCATGGCACTCAAAATGTTAAATCACTGAGACTCTTTTGCCAATTTTAATGAATGGATAACCTTGATGTCTGCTTATGTCTTTTCATCTAAAAAAGCATATCACTGACCAAAGGAGAGATCTCTTCTTGGCAAAGGATGAATGTAAAAAACTGCTCATGCCAAAGGCCAAGGGCATGCCAGGCACCACAGCGGACTCTGAAGAGCGAGGGCGGTGAGCGGATAAATGGACAATGTTGCATCACTATCTTTAACAAACTGAGTGCCAAGTAGTAGCGCTTCTGTATTTCGATCACATCTCAAACTTAAGTGTCCTTCATGATTCAGTGATGCTCGTGAAAATGATTTGCATGGTGATTGAGCGCTCCAGGTATGCTAACCTATACTGCAATATTGCTGCAGAGCATCAAAGCACAGACTTAGGAAAAATACAGCGGAATGCTTTGTACTGGGCAGCTTCTTTAAATAAAACTAATGAGACATCTATGATCTTTTGATGATAGTTTGAATTGTTTCATGCCACATTTACTAAACTGCTAAGACAGATGTTTTTGTGTCTTCTCCCGGGAGAGGGAAACGACCACATCTCTCATGGGACTTTGACATAGGTGTCAACCCTCATGGGGGCTGAAGTTGTTCTGTGCTATAAAAGAGATCAGAACAGTTTCTCACTCGAATTTTCAATACGCAATGATTTGCTTTTAAGTGCGTTTATTGAGGGAAAGTTCACTGAGTACAAAGGCACTTATTCCGGAGAGACCTTGCTTGGCTGCTCAGAACAAACAGAGTCTTATCTGTAGGTCATTGGGCAATCAATCTGTGTCTAAGTTTGTTTTCTAAAAGATCAGTGGAACAAGAATCAATCTACTTTATTTAAGACCAGCATAACAGCTGACGTTCAGCCAGTTGTGACATGAATCCAGAAACTATTTTTTCAAATGAGAATTAAGTCCCATCTTTTTGACACAGAAAAAATACTATCCAACTGAATACAATGACATCCTGTTTAAGCTTTACCCATTGTGATAGTGATAGAAACAACTGATCATTTTATTTGCACACCATCCTTCTTTAAAAAATTCAAATATCTGCTGAATAAACGTCTGTATTTATAACTGACACACATCAAGTGGAAACAGGAACTAGTGGTTGGTGTGCTATATTTATGAGCATGAGTCAATGCTCAAACTAAGCAAAATGTACTTTGACTTCCTCAAGTGTCTTTATCGCCTTTAAATGTTGTGTGAATCCCTTACTACTTTACTCCGACAAATGATTATTGCTAGTATAAAGCACCATCAAAGGGACAGTTTCCCCCTCTCGCCCTGGTTTATTGGACATTAAAACAGAAATCAGAGCTACTACTGAGGTGGGTCTTTATATTGGTTCATGTACAGAGATTCTTTTGTTGATGGTGTGGTTGAGAATTGTTCGAAAATAATTTTAGTTTCAATTGTATTTAATTGTTAATCAAAGAGCAAACAACCCCACTACTGAAACATCACTTGCCCTTCTTTTAGTCGCCACCATTTCAACCTTTTCTAACCCGTAACAAAAACATCACAGACTTCCTAACTTTAGCCGCAGAACTTTCAAACGTCTCTTTAAAGTACTGTAGGTGCCAGCGAGCCGGCCTGCCGGCCAATTATTTTCTCTGTCGACAGCACGATGTAATGTCAGATTTCTCTTCTGGCTTCTCCTAATAACTGACAAGGTGTAGAAGGCTAGCATCATTTACTGCTGCCTTGCCTCCCCTCTTCATCTCTCCATCCGGGCTTGTTTTGAGTGAGCTGCCTTCTTTCTTTCAGCCACACTCACACCCAGAGTGCTCCTTTGTACCCAGCAACCCCACTGCCCTCTGTGTTCCTCGTACATTTAAGTCTCCATCAGCTTTATGTACCACAGCGTTCAGCCGGTGGCATACAGAGAGGCTTAAAGAACATATAGTGTAGTGCAGTCTTTATGCAGGCAATCTGTGTGATTGTGCGCAAGGAGTTTATTTCATAAGTCGTTCAGTGCGCTTTGCCAAAAAAAAAGTTCCTTTTCTTTTGTTGTTGAAGAGCAATGCTTTGCAGAGCTAAATTGCTCACCCCCACGCTATCTGAGCATGGAATTGGACCTTTTTTCTCTAACTTTTAAAATAACAGGCAGCCCAGAAAACAACACTTTGGCAGCATTTTAGCTGTTCCCCACACAGCCGTCTGAAAAGGGTCACACAGTCTTTCTCTTTGGTGTGAGAGGGCATGAGGCCACTTTAGGTGTTGTGATTGTAGATTAGGCTCTCCTAAAAGGAACACAACAGGCGCGTCGCTTCTAACCGCCTCCATGAGCGCACACACACACACCAAACGCGCTAATGACATCAGCCCCTGTTCTTATTACATGTTCTCTAGGTGCCCTCTTGTGGTGGCGGGACTGATATGAATGTTTATACCGTAACATTAGAGCCCGAGACAATTATTTGAAGGATTGTGTTCCTCCCCAGGACACAACTTTACCCTTTTTTCTCAAGGACCCGTTGAATAAAAATCTAATATGTTTAGAATGCACATACAAATTGGGCTTTTTTTGTTCTGAAACAAATGAGTTTTAGCCCACAAAAAAACAACTTTGTAATAAAAATGCCTCTCAATGCGGACTGTCATGACGGACCAAAGCTCACACACAAGGAGATGCACCCTGATATGCCCTGAAAAGGCGACTGCAGCCTGTTTGTGGCTGAAACAATGGCCGAAGATCTCGACCTCCTTAGAGGCTGCGTCACAATATCAATTGTGCACCAGAATCTGGCTGGTGCCCAGCAGAAGGACGCTCAGATGTTGCAGATAAAGTTTATCCGATAAACCTAATCTGTATCGACAGCTAGGGTCCGCGTGCCGAGGCTCGCCGGCTCTTTGAGCCGCGAGCGATGTTTTCCAGTCTGGCCACTGATCAGCTGAAAGGAGAAATGAGAAAGAATCGGGAAGAAATAACAAGGCATACTCCAGCAGACGGAGGACTGATGAGACAGGCAAAAATTCAAACCCTGCAGCATAGCAGGAGTCGGGCGGGGGTGGGGGGCGGCGGGGGGGTTATGGTATCTCTCGCTCTCGTCTCACTGGCACAGACAAGGCAAGGTCAGTGTTAAGGTCGGTGGTTGTAGAATAGGAAGTTGTTGGCAACTGGGAGAATAAATGGTGGCAGCCAGTTAGGGGGAAAGTAAATAAGGTAAAATAAAGAAAAGGAAGGGAAAGGAGAGAGAAAAGGCTGATGGAAAAAACATAGAATTAGCTGGAGGACCGAAAGCACCACTTAGCTGATGTGTCCAGAAAGGTCTGCTTATTTTGCCGTTGTGAGCCTGAGGAAGATATAAAAGAAATGTCTGAGGCATAGCATGTGCACATATAAACAAACTCAGAGAAAGTGAACGAAACCGGGTACAACGTAGTTCTTCGGGGTAGCAATCTGAAGGCTTCTTGTGCGTCGGTTTATCCGTAGAGCAACAACAAATGCAGCTGTGCTGTGCATCAATGAGTTCAGCCCTCAACGCTGTTGAGCGTGTGCAGTAAATTTGCATGACAAACCAGAGAGCATTTTGCACAGCTGTCCTGAGGAGGATTTCAACAAAATGTACTCAGACAGAGAATGGCAGGAAACAAGATTTGTGGAGCTCGAAATCAAGCTCAGAATCCCCCTAAAAGATTGATCTAACTTACATGACTGGGTCTCTCTGCAGGGGGGGGGGGGGGGATCCCGCCGCTCCCTCTGTCTCGACAAATCTCTCCAAAAGGCCAACATGCACATCTTCCTCCGCACTGCTGACTGTACAGGTGATAGGATGGCTCCTCGCGGTGCTTTAATGCCACTTGTCATCATCTGTAACACACGGCTCTCTCTGGAGTCGTTCAGAACGGCAGCCAGAACATTCCGGGGAGCAGCAGGGGCATGAGCTTATCTCCCAGCCCAGTGGAGCAGGTAAATGATGTCGTCATCGCCCACTTGTGCCAGAGGCCCACATGCAAATGGTGTTTTAATACTGAGGTAAAAAAAAAAAAAGAAGGAGACTTGTTCGGCCTTTATTGTTAGAACAGAAATGGGTGTAGTTGGAGAGATTCTGCAGATGTGTTCCGATCCGTGACTCTCGGCAGTACCGCGAGCTACGTTGTGGTGCCAAGAGCTGCTTTTGGGACACTAAGTACAGGGGATTACAGAATATTTCGACTTTTACAAGGGAAGTTTGCAGTCTTTGAGAAGTCCCTGATTGTTCAACAGTAAATATTACGTTTTAGTTCTTTTTAATAACGTGGACGTCTGAGTATCACAGTGGCCCATCTACCTGGAATATTATTGCGTAGCCTCTGGCAGAGCTTAATTAACTCATCTGCGTAGTTACAGAGGGCATAATGGGGGAGAGAAATCACTCATCACCAGAACATCCGTCCCCACTGATCTGACTTCAAACAGCTTCTCTGTGCGGTAACAATCGCACGCGGTCCCAGTGATCCTCACATATCACAATCAGTCGGCTACGTTCTTACACAACCACTCATTGGAAAGGTACAAATCCACAACGAGAGCAGAACATGGAATTCATTAAAGTCATCGGTTTATTAGCAAGTGTGTCCAAAATGTACCCGCACAAAAGGCTGAGCCATCCTAGGCGAGATGAGCGAGCTGGTCGGCTGCAGTTTGGTGGGTGGCTAATTCCTGAAATACGACTGTCAATTATGCATGTCTCGGTCTGGTTCCTTCCCTTCAGTCTGAGAGGTGCTTTAGCTCATGCAGCAACGAAGAAGCAGGCGGAAGAGGACACTAGAGGGAGACAATTTGTGCACATCTGTAGCCTTCTCAAAAGCTTTTTCTTCTGGATTTTGAATTTCACTGTAATAGGCCCTCCAGAGGTCCACACAGATCAATGTGAAATCATTCACACAATTTAAGAGATCAAATTAACAACGTCTCAAGAGCGTTTGAATTATATTCCAAACAAATTCATGGAAGTGATAGAAGGTGTTTAGTCTGATCTGATCTTTTAGTGCTGGATTGATACATATCGGATTCCTTTGCATGCTGAAAACAGATGGGAAGCCTCTGTGAAAATCATGCAAATTGTGTAGCAAAATGACAAAATACTCAAAGACTTCAAGTTTCGCTATCATAAACACACATTCAAAGGTTAATATATCTTTGTGATTCACAAACAGATTATATGTAGGAATCAGTGTGGAACAAAAGGGGTTATACATAATCCATGAACAATTTCTCCAAGGTCAAGTGAGGATTCTGAGGGTGTAAAATGATTACTGCAACAGGAAACAGGATGCCTCTTCTGAAAACAACATCTCATAACACTGTCAGCGAGTCTATTGCTTCTCTCACTTTCTTTTCCCCCCACAGCTTTCACACACTATCAATTTGACTTCTCCATCTCCAAATCATCCAGTCTTCATGCAAAGGCTCGGATAGTTACGAGCTTCTTCGTCTTCTCCTTTTCTGTTTTGTTTTTTTTGCATGCTGAGTTTCCTCTCTATTGAGATGCGGTTCATCTTTCAGCACTGAATGCAAGCCACAATTGCACTGATGCAACTGTGTGATTCCAGAAATCGTTGCATTGTCCTTGATTCTAAAGCGAAGGTTGAATTATTATTCAACACACAGATGAGTTCAAAGCATGCGGGATATAAAAGAAAAGGTGTCTATTTCTTCTTACTCGTCATCCCCTTCAATGATCAGAATGTCTTCAACAGCTGCCACCTTTATTAGAAACGCTTCTACGCTGCGGTGATGTTCAGTTTCAAGGAAATCTGTTTGTTCATACTTTGTAGAAGAAAAAAAAAGATACACGCCTTCTCTTTCCTCCTCATTTGATACTTAACGCTCAGCTGCTCTGAAAGCATCGCTGTCAGAGAGCCTAAGGTTGCTTAAAGAAGCATTAGCGTTTTGGGCACTTTCATCAGGCGGTGGTGGCTGCTCAGATTAAAGGAGAACACCGTTTTATTTAGAAATCTATACATTTTGCTCCTTCAATCGGTGTGAAAAGACGAGCTTGAACGTTTAACTAAAGTACTATCCAAAACACATGAAAGGTCTGTTGTTGAAATGCGATAGATCGGAAACAGAAAAGGGAGGTTTGCTTTGGTCCAAACCTGGTTCACAAGCCGTGATCGTATATTATAAAAACGTCACACCTGATGTTACCTTTCTGTCACGTTTGACTTTGCACTCTTCACGGAGCAACAACAGCAAACAGAAAAGCATTGATAACAATGTTCAAAAGGCGGAATAATGCACAACCCCACTGTGGAACCGGAGACCCCAGTGTTTTTATTTGAGCATAAAACAAGTTGCTCTTCATGTGTTAAATCCACTGTATTTTTGCACACCTTGTGATCGTTTTAAAGCGTGTTGTTCTACAGAGCTCATATTCCTGCATCAATTTATAGCCTCCCTCATTCTTCTCTCTCTTTCTATCTCTGCTGCTGCATGAGTGGATGCAATTTTTTCTCCTTATCCACCGTCACGTTGGAGGCACATGCTGTAGGGTACCGTCACACATTTGACAACTTTTGAAACTTGCAACAGCAATATAATCTTAAATGTTTCACTAAATGACATGGAACAGAAAAATGGTGCGTAGAAGGTAAGTAAAGTGACAAATCTTCATTTTCTTTGAGACTCCGGAGCTACAAGGACTGGCCACCATTTGCCTCCATTAATTTGTTTCACAGATAAAGACAGTCACAACGTGGGGTGTCCCCAAACTAATGACAGAGTCTTAGCTGTTAAACTGTCAAAAGTCATGTTATTTGTGGTTTATCTTAGTCATTGTTTCAAAAACATGCTGCTTGGCTAGATAAGAAATCCCCTCTGGTAGTGCCCCGAACAGTCAGCACAGACGGGCCTATTAAAAAAAGAAAACTGTGAATAATGAAACAGGATCACTAGTCACGTTTCACGCGGAGCTTGGGACGTTTTGTTGTAATTATTCTTGTGCCACGACAAATGGAAAGTGCTTTTATAGAGAATGTATTGTCTTTTTGTCTATCGAGTTCTGTGAGCGGAAATGTGGCGCGGATGCAAGAAAATGTATAATGCATAATTTAAAGCATAATTTGTACATGAGATTTCCTTTTCTTGTATTCTATTGATAGCACTGTGTAAGAAAATGTGTACCGAAAACATATATTAACCCACCGTGAAATGTTGTGCACGTTTGTTTACACATTCCTTTCTTTGCCTTCCTCGTCTTCTTCCTCGGGGTCACCAGGGGGCAGAGGCAGATTATCTCAACATGCCAGCTCTGCCCCCTTGCAGCTCATTACAGGTAATCTACATTAAAAAATGGCTAATCAATCCACTGCATGTATAGATAACTGTATTGATGTCTGCTGGTTATTCTTTGTTGGCTTTCATAAAGGTTCACCTCAATGCCTAACGTGTGTTGGGCACCTTTAACTCATTTCGAATTCTGATACTCTGCATATTCTGAGCTGTAACTTAAACATATTTAAATGTACATGTTGTTGTTTATATTAACATTATAACATTGCATTGTTGATGCTGTAGCATTGCATTGATCATTTTTAGAGCTGAAAGGACCATTAAATGTACACCAAGATAAGATGGGTTAAATGACCTTAATAAAAATCATCTCCAATGTGAATATGCTGTGTCATCTGTGTGAATCACCATTTTAAAGTCATAAAGTGCAGAATTTCATTTCAAATATTTAATAATTGTAAAACACTTGCAAGCCATATACAATCAGGGTCGTTTCAATATTAACATGTATGAGGAATTAACCCATTATCTTCGCTTCTGTCTGAGGGACGATATTGCGCGTCGGAGGAATAACAAGTTATTAAATTAGTACAAAGTAATCTTTGTAAAGGCTCACCTGTCGGCGGGATTATAATAAGCAAACATCGCTAATTAAGAGGACCCTTTCTTGGACAGAGCTTTTTTTTTTATTTTTTATTTTTATTTAAATGCTATGTGTCCATTGATTTAGAAGAGCATTAAGCCACTTTCACCTCCAGTGGCTTAGTGCTTAATTAAATGACAAATCGGAGGATTGGTTTGCAGATTGCCTGAATTGACGTCAATTGGATTGGTTAGGTGACAGAGGCAGGCTCCGCCCCCTGTGGGCCAAGGTAGCGCGTGCTGAGAGAGGGAGGGAGGGAGCAGGGGGCTGAGCTGATCCCACGTGTGACGCTTTCATTCCCGGCTCAGTAATATTCTCATAGCGGGGCTTTGCATATCTCCTGCCCGTATCTGTGTGTGTCTGTCACTGTTACTGTAGTCCCAGCCTATAGTTTGAAATAGATATGGAAGCAGACGGGAGTCAAGCCACATCCGGAAGCCTAAATGATTCACAACATGACCCGGGGTAAGAATCTTTCCAAACGTATTCTACGGTCCGTTTTTTTTTTTTGTTTGTTTTGTTTTGTTGCTTTTTTTTTCTTTCTTTCTTTCACGTTACAACATCTTAAGCGAGGACTTCGACTGCCGTGCTGGATTCGTCCCCCCACAGTACGCACTTAAACCGTGCACGGGTCCGTTTCCACGTTCAGTTGAAAGCCCCCCCTTCAGCTTTTGTAGCGAGAGTGTCCCCCCCCCCTTTTATGTAGCGAGACTATATCTATATTTATACATTTGCTAAGCGCCAGCGCGTTTCCACAGTCTCGCTTTTATCCCTTAAGGTCGCTTTTAGAAGTAGTTAGTCGTCAAAATGGCCGAACTGACATCTGGACTCACTTCTGTTGTGTTTTCCCCTTACAGTAAAATGTTTATCGGTGGCCTCAGCTGGCAAACCTCACCAGGTGAGACACTGTTGTTCTCTGTTCCGCCGTGTCCCGGTATTCCGTGTTGTTTTGTCGCTGTGACTGAGTGCTCGTTTGTCGCCGCGGCGGCGGCGGCGGGTGTAATGTGCGAATGTGCACCGTGCAGCAGTGTACTGTACGGGATATCTCACTAGTGTGTGTGTGTGTGCGTGTGTGTGTGTGTGTGTGCGTGCGTGTGTGCGCACCATGTTATTCTTGATCGCCGTCCACATGAAGTCCTCTATTCGACCCCTATGCGCATCGCGGGGTTTTTCTTTTTAAATGTTGTATTACTGTGTGTGTGTGTTCTTGTTTGAAATGCAGTGACAACAGCATAGCCATATGTTTCTGTCAAATAACACCCCCCCCTCTCTCTCCCCTTCCCCGACATGTTTTTTGTTCTCTATCCACAGACAGCCTTAGAGACTATTTTAGTAAATTCGGAGAAATAAGAGAATGTATGGTGATGAGAGACCCCACGACAAAACGCTCAAGGTAAAAACGCCGGGCTTTTCCTCCTACTTTTCCCCTCCCCGGTGCATGTGACGGTATCGCTCACTTTGCCCGTGTTAATCCGCCGTGCATGTGTTGTGTCCGTGTGTTTGTGTGCGTGCGCGCGCGCGTATGTGTGTGTCGCTGTGTCCGCGCCTGCGTGTGGTTTCCCAGCGAGCCAGATAAGCTTAAACGCTCACTGCTGTAAAGCTGCAGCCGCCTGCAATTTGACATTGACTTTGTGACTGCACCGCAATGTTGGTGTGCCGTCGTCTCCCGTCGTAACGACCCGCCGCGCGCTCCGTCTCTGTTCCGGATCGGCCACAGGACGGACCGGCACGCTCTCCTTTTTGGTTGTTATTTTATTTTTTTATTATTATATATATTTTGTACATGTTTGCTCGGAAAATATCTTAAGGATAATAAGGTCACGTGAAAAAGCATGCACAGTGTTGTCTCTGCCGTGGTTTTAGTATTTGCACGTGAACTAACATGTATTGCAGAAACATATTTTGCAGCGTGTGCATTTCTGACGTTCTCCTTCTGTGTCTTTTTTTTTTTTTTTTTTGCAGAGGATTTGGGTTCGTAACGTTTACAGACGCCGCCAGTGTAGATAAAGTCTTAGCTCAACAACACCACGAATTAGACTCAAAGACGGTAAGTTTAAGCCATCCACACACCCACATAAGTGTTTATTCCTCCCCGCCACAACGGTGTGACTTTTCACTGCCCGCCAGGCCTTGTGCTCGAACACCTTCTAAGTTAAACAGACTGCGTGGATCAAGGTCGCGCATACGGGCTAAATGCGTGATGGTCCCTTCAACACTGAGCGTAGCAATAAAAAAAATAAAAATAAAATAAACGCACAACTCCAGGGTGAATACTATTTGTGTTCACTTTCACTTCTCTGGCTGAATGGCGCTGACATGCATCTCCACCCTCCCCTCCCCACCAGCCGCGACACAGCCACATGTGCAGCGTGCGCACATCTCACACGTCTCATGTTCCAGTGAAGGGCACGCTGTCTCAGGCCGCCCCCGCTTCTGTTTTGACCCCCGCAGATATCGCGTCGTATCGCGCCAGATGCACTGATACTGTATGTGCGGGACACAGCACTTAGAAGTCCTGCCCCCCCCCCCACGTTGAAGAGCTAAACTAAAGCAGAATAAAACAACTCCCTAAACGGCAAGCATGTTATGCTGCCAACAGTTACCGTGATAAAATTTTTTTTGGTTATAGATATGTGTATATATATTTAGCAGTTTATTATCAATCCATTACTAATATAAATGTGTTTAGCTTAGTAAGTAATATTTTAATTTATTTGAAAAGATGAGCTAATGGATCCACAGACGCACACACACACACACACACCCATGGAGAACTCCAACTATTGTGGATTCTACTGGCCCTTTTGAAATTTGTTAGTAGATGAATAATTAAGGACGCTAGTCATTTTCCTCTTTTCTTTTGAGAGATGTCTGCACTGATGGATTAGACAGGGTTCAGCTGAGATTGTATTCGTCAGGGATTTCTGCTCGGCATGGCGCTGATATCCAGATATGCCAGCATAGTTTGGGAAATGGAATCATTGCTGTGCTACCTCGGCTGAAGGCAACCATAGACGGAGGAGTATTTGTTTCCCCAGTATTTTCAAAAGAGAAGAAGGATTCGCACTTCAGGGCACTGAAATCTGTGTAGGACATAGCAAGTAATTTAAAGATCTGTTGTCCATTTCAATCGACATTTTTGAGCTCAAGTGTGATTGGTAAAGAGATAAAACGGCTTTTAGTTGGAAGGTGGATCTTATTTTAATTTGCCAGTAATTTGTCTCCTCTTGTTTTATTATTGTTGGGGAGCTTTGAGTGTTTCGGCCAATTTTACAACGGCTCAGTAATGGAGGCTTTACTTAACCAAATGGACTTTTGCGAGTATTATTTCTACTAGTTTTAAAAATGAGTTATTTACAATAAGACACACACACATGTCCAAATACATTTAGGGGCACAAAGTGTTATATACTGTGTGCAGTGGGCCCTGTGTTGTGAACAGAGGAGACAAGGCTGGCGGTAAAAGCACCAATACACACGCTGACAACAACAACAACAACAACAAGCAGCGCGTAGAAGCAGGTTATGACACAGACATAATTTGATGCAGAATGTGGAGCAGTTTGGTAACTTGAAAGTTGAGGTTTAAATGAACTTGCCTTTATGAACTGTGTTGCACATACAAATATACTCGCACCTGGGAGTTGTTCCTGCAGCTGGTGCGATGCCTCATTCGAAGGCGCTTTAAGCGAAGTAAACCGTAAGTTATTTGATAAGGATCTTGGTTGAACTAAACTTGACGACCTCATGCTCATTCCGAAGTATCAACTCGCGGCTACTTCTGTGCTGCAACTGGATTATTGATTGCAAAATACTTTTCTTTCTTAGATAAAGGACATTCTTTCTGTTAAAGTTATTCAACTTTTTTTCAGCAGCTTTTACAAATTATCCTTGTGAAAATGTCCAATATTCTCGGTTTGCATTTTAATGTGTTTACATGCCGGAGTGAAAATCCAGGTTTCTGAAGCACGTTTAGTGGAATGCGTCATTCGTCATGTGTAATGACCATTGTTTGGGCCCAACCCTCTTGTGTTCTATCCAGAGAGAGATACAGAAGCTTTCAAAGCTACAGATGCGTACATAAACACTGTATTGTAGCCTGTAGGTCATTTTTGGCAGAGTTATGTCACACTCTTCAGATCTGACAGGGCTTCACCCTGAGAAGGGAGCGCTGACATTTTAAGGTCTGACATCTAATCATCATTTCTCTCTGAATTGTGGCCTTACTGCTCAGGAACGGCAAAGTTCTCTACACTTGTTGCACATCTGTCCTTATCGAATGGGCAAGTCACTCGAGGCTTGTTGCGTAACCTTTCCCATTTCATAATATTTATCATTACTTCTGTCAGGTAGTATCTTTCCTAGAAGAATCTGTATGTTGTAGAAGTGGATTTTCATTCCAAACCGGTTGAGGGTATTTTTAGGGGCTTTCTTTTTTTGGGGGGGGGGATATTTTATTAGATAAGAAACAGTGTAGCTCAGACAGGAAATGAGGGCGAGAGCGGCCCGGCCAGAGTAGATTTAGGGGGGTTATTTACGAGGTCAGCGTCAAAGGAAGCCTCCAAAATAAATTGTTTTTAACCACAATTAACATCATCATTAAGGATGTTTGCCTTTACACAGTCTATATTTTAAAATATGTGGAGCCAAGTAAGATTTCTTTTGTTTTGTGTATGATTTATTTGCTCTGTGGCCGCAGATATAAAACATATTGACGATACTAATAGTCCTGTAATAACCACTGGCTTCATCAAAACAAACCACGTAGTGAACCTTTTATTTTTTCTGTTTTTTTCTTGCTTGACATTTTTATAATCGGATCAGTGTTTGACAGTCTAATTGAAATATCAAAGATCCTGGCTCAAATGCATGCAGAAATTGATATTTCCTGGCTCCTAATGTGCCGTTGTTTCTCCGTCGGGGAGCAATAGAAGATTACAGCTGTCTGAGCTCTTCTCCTCACTATTAGTCACTGTGCCGTTGTCTATCTCACCACGCGCACTATCAAGATGGCATTGCATTAAGATGTATTGCAACTCTTTTTCCAAAGTTGCTCGGCACGAATCAAATGAACGGGTCCGGCAAATGCGGCCGGTTCTCGATGTGCTGGCAGATGTCTGTTCGATACCAGCCTCCCACTTTCGCGGGGCTCGAGCAAATCCTTCCTGTGTTTTTTCGTCCTTGGTAACCTTGAAGGACGCGAGTGCCCGGAGGTGCTGCAACTGTGAACAAGTTGAGTCATTGTGTTCGCTCAAGGACAAGTGGAAATCATACCTAATTTACATTTTTGTTTCCTTTTTGTTTGTTCACCTCATTTTATTTATTTATTTATTTTTTTTAAATCTGGCCGGATACTCGAATGGAAATAACGGGGCTTTCTGATTAGCACAAACTGAAAAATAGTCATGATTGTTAAGTAATTACATCGATGCCTCACAAAGAATTATGGTATGGAATGTCACTGTCCCCCGACTTTTCCTGGCGGTTGGGAATGAAAGATCTGTCGAACTATGGAATCAACAAAACCTTCACAATAACGCCGGGATGTTAAATTACAAGCCCACAGTCAAAGCCCTCTTATGCTTTATTAGTATTTATTTATTTTTCGTCTTTTTCAAGCATGCGCTGAGCCCTTTCGTCCGGTTATGAAAACACTCCGATTAAGATGAATTTGAATGAGACATATGGGGAAGCACAGCCTGGGGCTTCAAAACACACATGCTGGTAATTCAGAACATATACACCATTTTTCATGATTCTTTTGTTGAGTTTAGAAATATGCAACTCGCAGCATCTGTTACTGAAGATATTTCAAGGCAGGTCGGTACGCAGAACACAATTTGGCATTTGGGAAGTAACAATTGAGAGCTCAAAAACGCAGTTGATAGACTCCAGGTTGGCTTCTCTTGTTTTATTTAAAGCGAGTATAATGAAAGACAGCTAATATTCATCATTGGTCGAAATGCAGAATTCATCTTGACCGTGTAACGTCGTTCATTTTATTTTTAACAACAGAGATACGGTTTGAATCTTAACCGAATTGCAAAGTTTCCACCCCACAAACATCTACATTTTCTTTTAAGAATAAGATATGCTATGTTTGCCTTTACTGAATGAAGCGGTCAAGGTGTCACTGTCAAAAAAGCATGCATAAATCGCTGTTTTGGTCGCATCTAAATCATACCAGGGAGGATTTTGGAAGTCAAGTCAGCGAGCTAAACTCGCCCGTGTTTAAGTATAGCAGGTGCTCCGTCTTCTGCAGTTAATTATGGCTGAAGGCGTTATTAGTTCACGCTGTATCTGTCTCTTGTCGGTATGCACAGAACATCAGATGTTTGTTAAGGCGGTAATGTAGCATCTTGTGTAACACGGCTGAATCTGGATCACACTCATAATTGTGTTGCATATTTTCTTTAGTAAAATGAAGGAGAAAAAAAAAAGAATGTCCTCGTTGAGCGCGAGCATCGGCAACGTTCTCATTATTGGTTCGACGAGCATAACAAAATGCCTTTTCGTGGCGTTGTCCCACCGCAATAAAAGAGGAATCGCTAAGATTGATAGCACAGATATGAATTTTATGTTTTAATTTCTTGTCTATTTGGTATCGTGCAGACACACCTGTGCACCCCCTCTTAAGTTAAGGGGGGAAAAGCTGCAATCTTTTGATAAGCCTTTTTTTCCTCAAGCTTAAACACCACGCCATCATGCTACAGTAGATATGTCGTATGCGAGAGGAGCACAGTTTACCCAGGAGCCACATTAATATGTGAAATCCTTTTCAGAAGATGTCAACCTAAGATATACACTGTTATTCAGCCCTGATCTCCCACAGTTGTGGCCCACAGAGGCCCGCTAGAGAAAGGTTCTGCAAGATAAAAGATGGAGAGGGGATTCCTCCGTTGTCTCTTCTCATTTATTATTCCGGCATATCGGGTTGTGTGATGTTGTGAGGAAAATCTGTGTGAGATCGGTTCTCGTCGCATACGAAAGGCCCACCGGTACTGTTGATTTAAAAACGGTCCCGTTGGAATGATGTGCAGCCACTTCACTAGTAGAGCATCTTTAGCGTGTTTTCAGTCACGCTCTCGTGCCCCGCTTGAACTCAACCGTGCAAACTCAGATGGGAGATACCCACGTTGTAAAAGGCAAATGTAGCGTAATTGCAGAGGCCCTTGAAAATGACATCAATTTAGAGGCTGTCAGTCACTTGTACATAAGAGGTACGGCTACCATTAGCTGGTACTGCTACCATTAGATGGTTGGGGTTAACCCAGGAGAGGAGTTGTGTCTGTTTGGGAGGTTTTTGATTCTAAAAATCTGACAAGTTAGACAACCATTTATTGCAAAGTTGGTCGAGCCACTGGTATTGCCTCTTGTGGAAAAACTAGCAGCCACAACAGCTAACACGCTAACCTGCTAACGAGCTAACCTGCTAACAAGCTAACTCGCCAGCCAGTTCCGCGCTACGGCCAGAATCCTTCAAAATACTGTGATAAGAGTTTTCTGGCCATACCGCCCAGCCAAAATAGGAATATAAATTCTGACTTCCGACAACAAGGGACAAGCTGGTCCAAGTCAGTCCAAGTGAAGTTTTATTACTGTGCTCCTTAATGAATGAGTAGCGAACAATACACAGAAGGCGAATTTCAGGTGTCTACCTGCTTGATAGCGTTGGTTTCCCTCGTTTGAGCAGCTAATCTGGCAACCAATGAAAGGTAATGTTCAAAGGTGGAGCACATCCGTATGCACAGCAGATTTTTCCTTCCGCCCCAGGTCAGGTTTCTAAGTATCTAGTATTCGCTGTTTAGTTTGCATGTGCTGCTTGTGGGGTTTCCATGATAGACATTTCCTCGAGGCGGATTAATAAAGTACTTTAACTGCTCCTAAATGATAACATAAAGCTACAGCTGGATGGGGGAGGTCTGTGTCTCTACACCGGTGTTCTGTGTCTTCAATATATCTGTTTTTAATGTGGATTTTGGTACATATGTTCCCTAAAAATGGGCTCCTCTACTTTTACATCATCCTTGTAAATCGTTCCCAGAATCCACCCAAACAAACCAGAGTATGTCTAAACTTGTTGCGTTGGCTGATGAAGGGAAAATTAGAGTTAAAGCATTGGCGAATTAAGGACAAAAGTGTTTCCCACCCCCCTTCTCCCCCACAAACCCATTAAGAAAAGTACTTTTACAAGGGAACAAAATGGAACACAACATGCAAGGTAAATCACTAATGGCACATTTCCTTTTGTGCCATGCGTGTTTCCCTTCATTATGTATCGATGGATAAAAAAACGCATTCTCCACGTGGAATTACTGAAACGAGTGAACTAGCCAGGTCAGGTTGACTGATGCCAAACCTGACGAGATGTGTGTTGCATAACCACACGTCCAGTTCAAACGTACAGCTGTCCCGTGCAAAGGGTGGTGCGTACTGGAACGGTTGGCCTCAAGTATGGAGGTACTTTCTGCTTAAAACCAACAACAAGAAAACCCCTTTGCACATGAATATGTAAACCAAGGAGAAACGATTCCTTCCTCTCCCCTCCTCGTGTTCACATTTCTCAAAGGAGTCATTCATCATAAGTTGTGACCTAAAAAGGTACTGCCACAGGATGTCTCACAAGGATTGTTTTTTGTAAGTCCTGTTTGCCTAATTTGGTGGCATTGCTCCATGTGCGATTTAAACAAATCTGCTGTAGCCTCATTTTGAAAACAATTCTGTGCATATAATTGGCCCCTTTTTGATCATTCTAATGTTTCAACGGGAAACTATGAGACCCCCATCGCCGCTGTGTTTGAGAGCTTTCTTGTGTTCCGAGAAGCAGGAAGCTTTGCCATGAATAGAAAAATCTCAGCGGGACTGAAAAGCGATTAGTTTGTGTATTATGTTGAAATGAGGCTTGATGTGTTTTTGTATATAGGCTTAAAAGTAAGATGCATGTAAGTACACAGGACTTTTGAATTCTGAGCTGAATGTGTTGTCTTTGCTCCAATAGGACACCCCAAATAATTGACTTTGAATTTGTAATTCATGGGGCTAAGTGCTAAAACAAATCTTTCAATGAAATTCCAAGCAGGGTTGCCGTACCCAGGTGTTATTAAATTCATCTCTCATTTTCACTCGATTCGGAGTGATCGCCGTTATAACTGAGATTGACGGGAAAAGATGACAATGGCATCGCACATCATGCGTTCCCTTCAAATGCATTAACACGTAGTCGGCCTCGTTGGCTTAATTGATCTGTGCAGATGGTGCCTTTTTGTGCTTGTGTTCCTTAATTCACTTTCTCTCTATTGTCTCCCGCAGCAGGAAGAGACGTCTTTTTCTTAAATGTATCCATCTGTGCTGAAGTAGTGGCTTTTATGAAAGCATACAATTGCTGCACTAAACTCTGGATATTTCAGCACGACACGTGGCAAAATATGGCACAACATGAAAGCGATTTTCCAGGAGTAATATTACGCCAAAAAGCAAATCTTTTCCCGTTTACAATTCCTTTGGTAACCAGGCCAGCACAATTTAGGGTGACATGGCTGTCTAAGATAGTCTCTCTGTGCAAGGTTGATGAGCCCCCTCCCCACGTACCTTCCTACAAGTGAAATTAATGAGGAAAATGTAGCTAATGAGGTAACGAGCACAAGATGGAGAAACAGGCTGATCTGACGCATCCTCCTACTTATTTGGCAATATCTGGAGGCGTCAGTGGCCTCAGACTCTCATTTTCTCCCTGTCATATTCAATCAGCGAGTCCTACCTAAAATAAAGGCCACTGTGGTGCGGCCGTGACCAGCAGAATGGGGACACAACGGTTCAGTCCCGAAAAGAGATGGCAGAATCTGGGCTTTGGGTTCCTGCCGAGTACAGATCCGATACCGGTGTTAACCGGCTGTACGCCTAACCGAGAGGAAGTGACCGGGATCATGCGTTTATGTGAGGCACCATCAGGCCTGACGCAAACATTCTTTCTTTCTAGTGTGGATTTAAAACACAACAATTGTGTAAAAAAAAAAAACGTTGCTTCTATCAACGTCGCCTGGAGAAGATTTGAAATTTTAAGATTTTGAAACCTCTCTCCATTTCGGTACATGTGAGCAGTCTTAGGCCCTCCTCCAAATGCTCTCATTGGTCGAGGCGCGTGACGACGTCCCTCCCAAGCCGAACCTGATCAATAGCCCCTCCTCTTTTAAGCCTTTGTTTGTCTGTGTTCTTAGAGATGGTGAGCAATTGACATTCAACACAATAGTCAATGCATACAAATATTATTTACACACGGTGTCAGTGGGTGCAAATTAATTTAATAATGATTCACTAGAATTACTGTTGCTACCCCTTGGTAAAACCTGGATTTGGGGGGGATCAGATTTGACGAAATTCAGGTGTGCTGTGGCGAAGTCTTTTGCGTTACACATATTACCTTCCTATGTGCTTATTGCCACTTTGTTGGGCTATTCATGTGCACTTCATTAAGAACAGGAATAATTTTGACAGCTCTTGAATGCAGCTTTCTTGTCAAAAAAGGGTTCTTAAATTCAGGAGCGGCCTGTCTTGTCGCCACAGGCTGATTATGCAGCCCTGTAAATCTTAATGGCTCTGATATATTAACGTTGTCCGCACAAAATATCACACTTTAAAAAAATTAGGCTTTGAATATGTATTAAGATGCTAGTGTTTATTCCGGACCGTAGATGATTTACAAGGGCACCGCGTGCTCTCTTGCACTCTGGGGGGGCCCTTTTGTGGACGTGCACTTTTGGAAATGTTTTCATCACCTTTTCGATATCGCACCTTTTCTTTTTACAACAATTTTGTTATTCTCTTGTCATTTTCAGATTGATCCTAAGGTTGCCTTTCCACGTCGCGCCCAGCCTAAGGTAAGAATAAATTGGTCACCAACCTCTGCTCAGAGAAAATGATTATGTCTCATGTCACTAGCTTACCTAATTTGCTGTGCTCCCACAGCAGATACAAAGAGGCGGCGTTTGTTTGTTATTGTAGAGAAACGGCTCGTCTGCCTCCATTGTTCTCACCTCTTTGGTGCTGCTTCACCATAGCAATTAAAGTTGAACATATAAGACAGAAATGTTCGGCGTGATTGAGGTTATGGCGTTCTTTTATACCACAAAATTGTTAAATATTTTGTTTTTTATGCTTATATTTTCATTTCATCCCTCATTATAGTTTTCTGTGTTTTGAAATTAACTTTGCGTCGTTATTGTTACAAAATGCAATAGCATGAATCAAGCTTTTATTGTTGGTTTGAGTACAAGTGTGAAAGCATCAAATTTCGGCAGCGTGACTGACAGGAAGTGGGCCCAAGTGTTGCTGTTGTTTGTTTTTGAAGGTGCACATTATTGTTATTCTCTAATGAAAGGAGGTGACTGATTTACGGGCTGTATTACGCATCCATCGAGTTGTCTTTTGTCGACGTGAGTGATTTAAGGAACGTATTCTTCCCCGTGGCGCGTGGTCACAATTAGCATCGGAAACAATGGGGGATTTGAACATATAAAGCCAAACTCCCAATCAGAGAGGAACTCGAGCTACGAGCTAACGAGACATCGTCCTTTTCCTTTTTCTTGATTACTGGTCTTTTAAGCAGCTTCACCAACCATAAAAAATTCAGCGCGCACAGATGGTGGCGTAGCTGAGGGCTTTGTTGACATGCCCCCTCACACCCCCCCCCCCCCCCCCCCCCCAGCCACCCAGCTCCGGTGTGATGGCACAGTACAGGATCGTGCCGTCGGCCTTTTTTTTTTTTTTTTTTTGCTCCACCTCAACCAGGTGGAGATCGATAATGGACTTTCTCCTTCACGCTGGAGGCGTTGTTAAAGAGTTGGTCAGGTTTCAAATGAGGAATTGGCAGTGGCAGCTTTTAAAGCCGGAGCACATGGTGACTTAAGGATATCGGCATATGGTTGAGAGACTACCAGTGTTTCTCCACATTTGTCTCCCACGCTGAAACTTCCTCTGTTCAGAGCTTGCAATAGTCGAAGGTGCAATAAAACAGCTCAGATGGTTTCTATTTCTTTCCATTTTTTCTTTTTTCAGTCGGCGAGAAACTTGTTCGTCTTTTGTTTAGATGGTTTAGCGCTCCTTTCAGCAGTGACTCGAGAGCAGGAAACGGAAGAAGTCGAGCCGTCCTACCGCTTCTCAGCAGATTTCTCATTCTACCTTGTGTGGAGAAATAATGACACTATAGCATCATTCGTCGCACTGCTAAAAGCCTCGTACCGATGATTTATATAAAACGACCATAGGGGCACGCTTGTTAGGGAAGAAAAAGGGACGTACTGAATGTGGATTATAAAAGGTCTTAAAGCAATGGGATTAAGCCAGAAAGATTAACATTGCATGGGTTTGTACTTGTACGTTAAATTGATTTTAAGACTTTTTAATAGAAGAGAGTCCCATTCTGCAGTTCCCATTCAGCAAGTCTTCCCTGTTTTGCATTTGCTTTTCTTTCGCCACCCCCCCGGCTGCTCATGCAGCTGTTGAATAGGCTCCGTCTCTCGTTTTAAAGAAGCCCGTCTTGACAGGTGCCTCGGTGGCACAAGCTTCGGGCGGGGGGGGGGGCACGCGGCCAATCAGCGCTCATTTTCTCACGGCTAACAATGACCTCGCAAGCGACCCCGCCAATGATCCCCCCCTCCCCCCACCCCCCGCTTGCTGCCAAAATGCTGCGGTTGGGTAAAACTATACAGTATGTACAGCACGTAGAGCAGTGCTGAAAAACAGACAGGAAGTGAAGGTGAACACAGAGGACATTTCACTGTAAACAACTGAAGGTGTTTGCACCGGGATGACAGGATCACAGGAAAAACAACTTGTATCAGCGGCCACAACTGACACCGCCCCAAAACATTTCCATTTTAAAGAGGCGCTCAGAGGAGGGAGTTTGCCAGCAGATAATCATTAGGCCGTATATCGAGGCGGACATCATTTAATTTAAATCCTATTTGACACGTGTGACAAAGTCAGAGGATTTGTATAGTTACCTACAATTCTGGAAACACTTAAAGGGGAGAAGCATTTTCTTTTCTTATTTAAAGGCGCTGAATTGTAGGTTATTGGCAGGAGAATGTTCCTGAATGACAAATTGGTCACAGAGTGTGGATTTCAGAGTCGCCTGTTGCGTTCTGGAATCTTGTGTGAGTTAGAATTTAGTAATCCTATGTTTTTCCAGCCATCTGCACGAGGCCATTGGCTAAGTGCAGACAACCACAGCTCCTGTCAATCAAAAGGAAGACGCTGAAGGAACGTCCCAAATGAATAATGCTAATCTTAAGGCGCTCGCGCGTCATCTAAGGTATCGCTGCAGGCTGCTCCATAGATATTCACGGATTAGGTCTCTGCTCCATGACTGACAGATGAGAAAGAAAGGATTAAACAATGGCTAAACAATGTGATGGAAGGTGCTAAATGCACCTTTGTTTGTGCTATGTCTCCTCCCAGTCTTTCCTGCCAAGCCTGGGGGTCGGCCATGGTTCTATGAGATAGGCCACCAAAAGCAGCTTTAGGATTCCAGGATTTCACCAGTGTTTGTGTGTTAGAGCACTTTCAGTCCTTCTAGACTCTAGAACAAAGGCTGTGATAGTCGCTCTTGAATCTAGAGCGTCTCTATCACAGCCTTTGTCATAAGCTATCTCTGAAGATAATGCACGTCCAGACACTTTAACACACATTTTGGGGGTCTTAATAAGTGATGATTGAGAGGGATACTTTCATAGAACTATTGGTATTTCATGGTAAAGGATTGTATTTATAATGTTTCTATATTTTATTTGTCAGGTCGGTTGTCTTCATGTTTAAAACTATGCTGGAAACACACATGGCTAAAGACTTTTTCATTGGACACTTTCTGGTCCAGTTATGATGATTTTGAAAGGAGAATTTGCTTTTGAAAGAGTTATTGGTCACTGCAGTAATTTGTCTTGACCAACTCTGTCCGTAATGGGAACCCTAATAAACGCAGCCTGTAAGGGACAAACCAGCTGAATGTGATGTCTCAATAACTCCCAAATTATTCAAAAGCTTATTTTGAGCCGTTTGAGATGCCTCCAATTCTTTAAAAAAACAACAACAACACATGCTGTCTTCTGTATTGTGTGTGTGTGTGTGTACAGACGACCTAGATGAGATGTCGCTGTTTCCTCGTTTGATATTTCCCTGTAAGGCTCACGCTGAAAGATGAGACCGAGGCCCCGGTCTCCGGTTCCTAGAGAAATCAAAGCGCCGCCGTCCGCCGACATTGCCTCGAGATTTACCACTCAACCGCCGCCGCTTTTGTTTCCCGGCGTGGAGTCGCGCACAACCGTGGCATGTCCCAGCATGATTTTAATTGCCAGTGGGACTGTGGCCACTTCAGTGGGAGATGAGTTCTGATGGCTTGTTATGGAAATGAAAGGAAGGAGCAGCATCCGATAACAGAGCAAGTTACCTAGCTCTGATTCTCCCCTCTGGCGCCTCGTAAAGGGGTTTCTGTGGAGCAGGTCGACCCCGCGTCTCCGGCTGTCTTCAGAGAGCAGCGGGGACAACCCTCCCAGAAAAGTCTGTTCGTCTGGTATGAAGCCACAGTTTGCAGTTTCCTGAGACGTCTCGTCTTGCCGCCTTTGAGTTATTTTGAGGTTTACGGTCAGCAAAAGAAAAACGAAGTATCCAAGCACAGCCCCAAATTTGTACCCCAGCGTGGGACAGCTGTGGCCGCGGTGTCCCTCTTGCGTCGGGTCCTGCTGTCGGTGGCAGCGTTGTTGGCTTCTATCCCTTGCTGCTATCTGTCTTCTCCCTCACTCATTCAGGGACGGAGAAACACACCTGGGTGGGTTGTGTTACTGGAGGTTTCTAGCCTCTTGTCAATGAAGTTTAACAATAAACTTGCACAAAGTAAACAGACAAATCCCCCGTGCCGCCGTACGGGCGCGGCACAAACACGCACTCACACACCCGCACAACCAAGTGTGCGCCTACTGTAACAAAGAGCCACCGGCGTTTAGGTCCTTTTTTTCTATGCAGATTCAAAAGTAACTCGTCGCTTGTTCTCTTTTCCGTCGCTGTGTCTTTCCCTCCGTGCTCCTTTCTTTTTCCTCTTCTTTCCTCCGTCTTTCAGGATTCCAAGGCATTGCGCAGTCAGTCTTGCACCTTGCTCAGTTATTTGATCTAGATTTAGCGTGATGATATTCCTCCTCTCAAAATGATCCTTATTTTAAATGACACAGCTCACTGCTGGGAAAATGAAACCTCTGTAGCTGCCAGCCCCTTTGAATGTCCCTGTGGGTTTATTAAAAGCACCAGCTTCCCCGTTCCAACTCGGATCCGTGCAGCTGCGCCAGTGTGAAAGAATATTCAAGGACAAAAGTCTCTAATGTAGGACGGAACGCCGTATCAATATCTTTGTTCAGCCTCGCAGTTTACGACAATGAGGCCTCGGGAAATATTTATTACGACAAAGAAGATTATTTCTTCTTTCGAGGCATTTCCACTGCGGTGGCACACAGAGCGGAAAGAAAGAGAAAGGCGGTTATCGCGCGCCGACTACTATCCGGAACCTGACGGCGCATTTTCAAGGCACGGGGAGCGGCCGACGGAGATGTCCTACCAAGAAGATATCCGCTGTATTTATAACAAAAAAAACTCCGCACTTCTGAAATGTTTTCTTTTTTCTTTTTTTTTTACATCTGACGCCAAACGCGCTGACATGGACGGAGGACGACAAAAAACTGACCAGCGAGTTTATGGGAATTCAACACGGTCACTCTGTCCTAACCCCTCAAGTAAAAAAAAAGAAGAAAAAAGAAAAAGGAAACCACAACACACGTGCAGCCAACATAAATAAACCCCTGTTTGAGATGGCGGGGGACACCACCAGTCGTCGCCC